AACACAGTGTTGAACATCCACTGTGGAAATGCACCTTAGTGATTTCATTCAATGCAAAACAAAATGTAATTAGCCTTTTCTTCATTCTTTCTTCTACCACTTTACATACAGTCACCTTGTGTGTGTACGTGTGTGTGTCACTGTTAATACCTTTCCGATATCCAGAGGAGAGAATTCAATGTTGTTACCAGGGAGCATGATGCGGCTTCTGAGAAGAATGCAAAGAATATCACAGAAGGATACAAAAACCAAATGAAACCGTTCTCATGGAGACAGATGAGAGTTGTAAACTTATAAGAACTATTAGACCCAGGCAGTCAATGATTTTTGGACATATTCTGAGAAGGAATGGACTCGAGAACTTGGTTAACAACAGTCGATATGGATGGAAAGAGAGCAAAAGGAAGGCAAAGGAATAACCACCTGCATGGCCTAGCCAGATGATAAGGCAAGAAATTAAACTGAATTGATCCGTGATTCTGGTGATCGTGTGAGATGGCCAAACATACAGCCTCAGCTTACCAGCATAGCACATGATGAGGATGAGGACAGGAAGGCATAGGAGTCACAGTCCATGGTGATGGTGAGTGTGACTAGCAAGCCCCACTTGTGGCGAGAAAAATCTTACATAACAAGTGCATGAGATTTCAGGGACAGTGTTGCCATCACAGGTATCCGACACTCTTCCTCTCAGATGATCAGCTCTTAAACTATGTGGAATCTTTTACTCCTTTGTCCTTGTTCCCTTCCTAACTCTCCCCTTCCACTGTTCCATGCCACCCTGTTCCTTTTTAAATCCACCTCACTACCAGTATCATTCATGTCCCACTTGCATTTGTAAGCCTCGATTGTTTATTTACTGGTTTTAATTTTAGCATACATGAACATTCACTGGTCTGCCCATTGAGTTGTGTTAGGACTCAAACCCTCAACCTCCATAGTGTTATGCAAGTAAACTACCCTTCTACCATGAGGAGGCTTAGCATTCTTCTTCTTACAATCCATGCCGTGTGGTGTTGGTAATCCTGTCTATTCCCAACCTTCTCTCTCTCAACCTCATTAGCTTAGCATTACCTAAACAAAAAGTCAGTGCCATCTCTTTTTCAGGATAATTGGTACGATGATACTATCATCTGTCGCGACTATCATTGTGAAAGTCAATGCATTTTAGTCTGCTACCAAATCACCTGCAACCGACTTAAAACCTCAGTATATTGGAATTGTGAAACTTCATTCACAACAATGAAGCCTCAGATGTCAATATTATCCAATAAGCAGTCAAATCTGCTAGTGTTTATCTGTACAAAGAACATTATTGGTGCCATAAATGATACATGACATTCACTTCTTTAGCTGATAAATGTTGATATTAGCTCAAACATCAATTGTATGCACTGGCTGATATCTGTTTTTGGTACCAAATGATATGAAATTTTAGCTACGAGGGGCTTCAAATTAAAAACCTTAAATGTATGAGAGAAATTAAAATAAGCATGCAATTGTTTTGCAACATGTCAATATTGTTAAGTATGTCACGACTGTTAAGCACATGACATAACAATGTTGTTTAAAGATGGCCACCCCACTTTTTGGCATGCACCAAAGAGAAGCAGCATTTACCTGTTGTTTTTCTTTAATCAATAAAGGGGTGAAACCCGTAGACATTTGTTGACAAATGAAGGTCCTGTATGGTGACGCACACCTGTTAGTCCAGCAAGTGTATGACTGGAGCAGGAAGTTTCAAAACGGTGTGAATCCTATGATATAAACTACTCAGTGTGGCTGGCGTGGTCGTGAACAGATATGATTGTTAATGACGAACAATATAATCTAAGGAAGACTGGCAGCAGAAACTTACACTGTTGGTTACAGGGCCCAATTTTGGAGGAAAAACTAAGATTGACCCACTGCCTCCCAGCAGGCATGTGGTAAAAAATGTCTAATTATGAATGTGCTAAAACTCAAAATGTTAGGCCAAAAGATGTAGATATTGCAACCCAGCTGTAAACTTCAACACAGTATGCCAACAGGGCAAACGCAGCAGAGTTGTAACACTAAGAGAAGAGATAACCAAACTATGTTGCAATGAACTAATACCTGCAGGGGAAGACAAAGAGAGAGAGAGAGATCAAAAGAAAAGATGCTGGACAGTTTGGTGTCATGATATGGAAGATCAAAGAAATGACTGACAGCACAGGGAAAAGAAGGCTGTGGACATATGATTACCAACAACGCACAGCAAAAAACTCTAAGACTGGCGTCATGAATATATCGATATCTGGATTTGCAATAAAGGATTGACATGCAAATATATTTTTGTTTAATATCAGGTTATTAATTTCATTACAACCATCAATCCGATGAAAGGCAGGCAATCAGTTTAACAATTACACAGTGTTGAAAATATAGGCTATCGGACATTTTAATTCTTTGAGTCGCACAAGGTCCCAGCTAATGTAGGAGGGAGTTACAAATGGCAATACCTAACTTATGGGTATACTACTTCCACAGGGGCCAAATATACAACCCTTGCAGCAGACAAATACTGTATTTAGGCGTATATAGGCTGCGCCCAGTTTCTGTAATGATAATTTTAGGAAAAATAATTTTCTCAGGTTTTGTAAAGAGATCAAAACTGAAGTACCTGTAAGAAGTGAAAGATGGGCCACGTAAGAGCAAGTTACAGTTGTAAATTTAAGTTGCAAGTAGTGCGTTATGTGCAAGTAAATTTAATGCCAGTTATCGCTGGGCAGGGGCGCTTTACGAGAATGATATGATTCAGCAGCAGACAACAATAGTGCAGTGATATCACAACATCTACCAAGAAACACTTTTTAATTTCAAAAAAATATTCTGAAATTTTAAAAGACACACAACTAAAGAATGGGGCCAATCAGAAATACAGAGAAAATTCCTATTTATTAATAAATTTTGTATAAGTGACATATAGCCCTAATATCTTGAATGAAGCTGCAGCCTATTAGACGTGTAAATAAGGTATGTTGCCAAATTTCCTTCAAAGTCCCTAACTAAACATAAGAAAAGATGTAAAAACACAAAATAACCTGTTGATGGGCAGTAGTTAGTTGCGTATCCTTTACAGGACGTTGCAGAACCAACCCCAGAATTTTTTTTTAACTGTTATGGCAAGTTTACACCCAGTAGTTGCCACTGTCATAACCAGCGTAAGGTGCAAGGACCGCAGCTGGGATCGAATCCGGCACCCTGTCATTAATAAGCGCGTTCAGAACTCTTAAGCCACAGACGCTGACTGTTGATGGGTACTCAAAAATAATACCTAATCACACGTTGTTTGGGACAAAAAGAATTTAAGCAACCCATCAGCAACATTATCATCAAATAGGTGTTTGAGTTACTGACTTCTTGTAGTTTCATGGCCAGTTAACAGCATATTGCCTCGGACGCTTAAATATTTTGGCCATATCAAGCTCAATGGGTGATAAGAAAAATAGAAAAAAAAATAGCAAAAGGCATGGTACCAGGAAAGCGGAGCAGGAGCCAGACAGCACAAAGAAGGGCACAGGTTATAAGTGAGCCCTTGGGTAGGAGGGTGCATGAGGTGGGAGAACTGGCAAGAAACCAAGTTTCTTTCAAGCAGACTGTGATGAAAGTGAGTTGAACAAAGAACCTGCTACATGATGAAGTCACATCTTCCATGTGTTGGTTCCGAAGATACATTCTGGGGGTAAAAAGCAACAGACCCACTACCCTCAACAAGCATATTGCAAAAGGCGACCAACTAACAAATTGCTGAAATCTGATGTGTTGGACTGATCTCCCAGCCAAGCTGTAAACCACAACATTTAAGGGCGAACAAAGAAGAAAAAGAACATTTATTTTCTATGCAAGTCTGGTGGTGTCCCTTTATTGTTAATACCTTTTTATAAGCAATATTAGTTAAGATAAGCAACTTTTTTTTTAATAACGGCTTTACCTTTTCGCCCCGAAAAGCAAATGTAAATGTCACTTTTCCAACTTGTCCATAATGACCTGTTTAGGAGACGTATAGTTAATGATACTGGCTACTTTCACGCCTCTGCAATGTTTAGTAGGTCAGGATATGAATACTTAAACAAACCACACAAAAAACGCATTTAGGAAGAATTTCTTTTGAATTAAATGGCTTTTAAAAAGCCAAGCTGACATCAGTTTCCCGCAAGCCTCAATGATAAAGGTCACGTGGTCATTCCATTTAATGGTTCACTTTGCTCATGTTTATTGATTACCCCTTCCATATATATATATATATATATATATATATATATATATATATATATATATATATATATATATATATATATATATATATATATATATATATATATATATATATTGTGTGTGTACATATATATATATAAGGGGGCAGAGGATTTATGTAGATAAATACATTTGAACACATTTTTTAGTGAGCTGTGAACAATTTATGGTTTCCTTAACAGAATTCTGGTTTTCTAAAGGGGTCATGGCCTATTTGTTTAATGTTCCCGAGGCGAAAGGCTTATATTTAGCAATTAAAACCAGCAGGACACTACAAAACCTGACCACCTCAAGTCAGTGCAGCTGTAAAATACTGACGGATTCATGAGAAATATGCATGTCCTGGGGCATTCAAAGCACGCACCAAAATATTATCAATACAAAATAAAATTAAAATAAACAATTAAGGAATGCAAGACTGGATAAGATAGAAGAGATTTTAGTCGCTTCCAAAATTGCTTCTGAATGTTTCCGGGATGTGATGTCTGATTAAGCAAAATGAATATTTTCATGTCACAAATGCATAGAAATCTGTATGCAAAAAGGGAAAAATAAAACCTAAAGAACGCTAAGTGAGTAAAAGGGAAAAATAATGAAACAATATAAAATCAACCTCTCGCAGCACACAAAGTGGCTTCAAGTATTAATCCAACGATTCAACTTCAGACCACTTTTACACATTTGCACCAATTGTTTGTACAACAGCAAACAGATTCAACAGTCTATTGTGATTTCTTGTCCACTTCTGTCTTCTCCTCATCTTCCGTGTCAGTGTAGTCTGTGGGCTGTTCTCCGGGCTTTAATAGTTTGCCTACGTACACATATTTTTCTGCAATAGAAAAATGTGCACAATTAAATCAATACATTCCCTATATTTACAATAGGACATGCTAAAATGCATTTTATAAAATGAAGAACATGTTTTGCAATTAAGTCCATGCCATTTGAGGTAGGAAAAAGAGTTCTTGCATGCAATATATGGCCAGATTTACATATGGCTGTGAATCCCTGGTATTTAATAAACAATTCTTTGACGTCTTGAAGATTTTGTTTCACATAAGACTTCCTTGGATAGCCAAACATAAAAAAATAACCAAGATGTTTTCTTCTTCTTCTTTACATTCACTGGGTGGAACCTTCAGAATTTCTGGTCGTTCATCTATTTCTGGACTCTAGTCCTGTTCAAGAACCTCTGTGTTGTGTGCATATCCATTTTACATCTGACTGATGTGTATGCAAACTGTTGGTTCCTCAACTCTAAGGCACGTGCAATCTCACTGTGATGAAAGCGCCAACAAGTTGACTCTTACAATATGCCTGTTGGGGAGGCAGTGTGTCTATTCTTGTTTTCCCCATAATGGGGCCCCAAAACCTACAGGTGGATGCCAAAATTATGAAATAGGGTAGGTCTGGGGCCTGAGGCCCCGGGCCCCAGCATTGAAAGATTATTAAAACAATACAACTGGCAATGATCTGCTGACCACTTGCTAGGCCTCTGCGGCCTGGATTAGCTTCCACAGGGTAATAACACACAGCACATTGTTGGTGATTTGTGTGGCTGGATTGATTGAGTATTCCTGACTAAACTTACACTTAAAAGGTTAGGGCTTATTGAAAGAGTGTCATAACAGAGAAGTAAAAACTATACACCAGGGAGATGAATGGCCGTAGACCACAAGGCAGACCAAGAAGACGATGGAGAGATAATATTCAGACAGACCTGCGAACACTTGGTGTCACCAATTGGAAAGAGAAGGCCAACCAGAGAGATTAATGGAGGTGGGTGATTTCTGCAGCAGTGAACCTCAAGTGCTCGGAACGATAAAGAAAAAGAACAAGACTAAACTTACGATGTACAAATATACAAAACATGTCAACCCCCCTCCCTCAACCAGCGTAGTAAAATGCAACTAATTAATGGGTGTTTCCTTCAGAGTTGGAGTGCATGTACCTGAGAGGCTAGGAACCAAGTCTGCTTACAAGTAAGCCAGATCTGTCTAATGGATGTACACACCAAATTTAGGTTCTGGAACAACACTAAAGTCCAGAAGAAAAGCAATAAGAAAAATAAATTAATAAGAATAATATGTTTTAAATGCCATGAGGATGAAGAAAAAGAACTGTATGGTGGGGGGGGGGGGGGGGAGACTACCAGTTGTCCCAAAAGTTTCAGTGCATAGGAAAAAATAAACATTTTTGTATGAAAATCAAATTTGTTTTTAAATTAAAACATGCATAAATAGAGTTATGCTTGTAATGACACTGATGGTATGTTTATCCTTCCTACGTATGGAAACTTGTGGGATACCCTGCAGAAGTAGAACATGAAGAATATCGCAAGCAGAAGACATGACAACTCATACCTTGGAACTGCATCTCCCATTCCCGGACACTTTCCATCTGAAGGCTGTTGAGATCACTTAGGTCATCGTACTCATTCTTCAAGGCATCCTCTCCCAAGGAGAAGGTTGCTAAGGCCCTAGAAGCATCATGGCCAGCAAACAGCCCATATGGACCACCTGAGGGGAAAACAATCATTCTTTTCCAGAAATCTCAAGTTAATGCCAAGCTTTTCATTTATTTTTATTTTTAAAAAGACACGTCAATATGGCCAAGAACTAACTGACTTTCTGAAAAGAGACATGCTTAAGCTAGGTTTTGTTGATGCACATTCCTCATTTCTGGACTGGCAGCTCAAAGTTCCCTCTCCCAGCTACTGAGCTGAGTGCTTTGTGGGACAATGTGAGCTGCAAATTTCACATGGAATTTGTTTTTATTGTTCCCGCAGCGTGTTGCGGACTGACTAAAATTGCAGGTGGCCGATTACGTGAAAATTTCGGCAGAAAGATCCGGCTGTTTGTCTACTTCAGGACTTTGGTCTTGTCTCGAGGTCTGCATGCAAATTCAGTTTACAGATTGACTTGTATGCAGACTGTTGGCTCCTGACCTCAAAGGCAGATGCACTCCTAATTTCGAAAGAAATGCCCCTCGTCACCTTTTATGACATGATTGTCAGGGAGGCGGTGGGATCATTCTTTGTTTTTCCCTACAACAGTGTGCCAGTCAAGCCATGGAACCCAAAAAGAAACCAAAACTTTGGAAACTTTTCAAAACTTCCTTTCCTCTTGTAGAGCTTGTTAGTCATATTTTGTAATGTTTTCTTCTTCGATCCTTCTGTCAGAAAAACGTACATTTTTTTTCGCCAACTTAATTTTCGGTAACTTGGTATTCAGGTTAATGAGTTTCTGTCTTCTGCTGCTGCCCTTTATAATGAAATAAATTATTCCGCAGAAGTATTTTTTTTTTATCTTCTGGTGGAATTTTTCTGTTCATTTTGCATCTAGTAAGAAATTAGGGTACATCATGACAGTCAGTAGGAACAGTGGAAGGGGAGGAGAGGCAGAGGTTGAGACAGAGAAGCTGCTGGACAGTGTGACATCATTGCATGGAGCATCATTTGTGTGAAGAAGTGACTGAAAATATATAAGACTGAAGGTTGTGGATAGATAGGACTATGGTTTACTACCAACACCACACTGCAAAAAAACAGGAAGAAGAATAAACTAAATTAGAGTTTAAATGATTGACCTAGTTCTTCAGTGTTCCTCTTATAAAGGGCAGTAGGCTCATTCTACTGTAGTTCACAGCCAGGCTGTGATATATGCGCCATTCGGCCAAACACATGATTTCAAATAATGCTGACACAAATAATACATACATTGTACAATCTACTGCCAAACATATCTCGATGTATCTAGTCAGGTGTGTTTCTACAGTACACTGTTACATCAACATCAATGTTCAATCAACATTAGTAGTAATGTCATTACAACATAAAATGAAGCATGCAAAAAACAATAAATCTAACTGAACATTTCACTTATAAAAATCCATTGAGTTGCTTCACTGTTGGTGGCGGGAGCTGACGTTTGGGATATTCCGATTTCATCATCACCTTTTCAGATATTCGCATTCCAGTTGAAATTATTCAGTTTTGTGCTTTATTTTAATGTTGATGTAACTTATTTTGTAACTCTGTACTACTTTTCTGACGAGATACAGTGAAATATGCCTGGCAATAAATTGTGCAATAAATGTATTGTTTGTGTCCGCATTATTTAAATTCATTATGGGAAAACATTGTTTTGAATATCTTTACAGATATGCTTACTTTTATGTTATAATATTCGCCCGGCTTTCTAGCGTAGTTGGCTAAACCAGACTGCGCAGTGACCTGGTGACGAACTCCTTGTGGTCCGGGTTCACTCCCGGGGGTAGGCAGAAAAGCCACATTTCTCCCAGAGTTACGGTATTTACAATGGAATCAAGGCCGAAAGGTGGCGATATCCATAATACCGAGCCTAAGGGTTAACAACTCATGGCTTCGGCTTCTGGATACTAAAACAAACATGTTATTATATTCAGACACCATTCAATAAATTTCATGGTCCTCCTAGCAGATTTGGACGCAAGCGGGACGGCTTCGGTCGCTTTAGTGGGAGTTCTCTCCCTTGGCCGCACTCAAAACAAGTAGCGGAAAAAGTCACAAATCAAATGACATACTTACTTATCATCATCCGGGTGCGTGTAGGGTTGCGTACGGTTGCGTCTAGGGTAACCTATCATCATACGGTTGCGTGTAGGGCTGCGTAGGGTGTCTATCATCATCCTACGGTTGCGTGTAGGGCTGCATATTGCGTGTAGGGCTGCGTAGGGTTAGGGGTAGGGTTAGATGTGAAAATTTGGTCGAAATAGTGGCCGACAATCTGATGCTTGTATGAGTGGCACCACTGAAATTCTGCCAAATATGACGCCAATAGCGGGTGGCTGGTGCCCAATCGGTGGCGAATTGTCCGTGTCAGTAGCATCCACCGTCCGTCGACTGTTTGAGTGTGTATGTGACTGTGCGCGATTATAGGGAACTACAGCGTCCAAATTGTCACATCTAACGCTAAACCTAACCCTAACCCTACCCCTAACCGTAACCCTAACGCTACCCCTAACCCTAACGCTACCCCTAATCCTAACCCTACCCCTAACCACGCAAATTTATCGGTCATTAAAGCATACAGATTGGCAAAACACCCACACAAAAAACCCCAGATATCCCTGCAGCGTCAAAACAAAAACCCAGATCTGGGGGACACACCCAAGCATTGGCAGCCCTGATGTCGACCTCACTGTCTTGTTAGATTCGTGACTCTTTCCGCTACTTGTTTTGAGAGCGGCCAAGGGAGAGAACTCCCACTAAGGCGACCGAAGCCGTCCAGCTTGCATCCAAATCTGCTAGGAGAACCAATTTCATAATACTCATAATGGATTATACTGGCAATGGCGAACCTCATAAATCTTAATCATTCATGCTCGCAATAACCAGATCTTTTTAAATACAATGTCAAAAGTTTCAACAACATCTTACCTGGACCATAAAAGCGTTTCCCCCTTGTGACATCAAAGACTTTCCCATTAACAGCGATCAGTACCCGGCCTTCAGCTCCTTTACCGTCAAACTCCCTGAGTTGTTCCAACGTGAAGTCTTGCTTCTTCAGCGGGGGAAGCTCCGGCTCCTTGGCAGGAATTGAGTCTGCCGAGCGTCGACTGGCGACTATTTTGTAGATGAGAAAACTACATATTCCCAGCAAAGCTAAATTCAGCGGGCTGCCAAACAGTTCGGATATAATCCTGATAATTAAACTACTTTCCACTTGTTCTTCGACTCTTGCCTCGTCCGCCATTTTCTATAAGATAGCCTGACGTGTGTTTGGAAGGGCAAGGTCGTGACTTTTGACCCCGGTTCTCAGCGTTGAACACTGGCTGTTTTTGTGAGCAAGTGATGCTCAAACTTGTGGATAAGGGGCCAGCTGTTCTTCCCCCCCCCCCCCCCCCCCACCACCGTGAACAGAGGTTCCTACAGTCTCTGAGTCTGTGCTTTGGAAGCGAGGAGTGTGGCGTGTGTGTGGGGAGGGGGGGGGGGGGTCACAAGTTACTTGGTTCGTCTCACGAATAGGCTATCATTGTATGTTGCGCTCAAACGTGGGGGGAGGGTGGGGACCCTTTGTGGTACCCTGGTAACTTTAGGTTGTTTTGTGTGTCTGTCGGTAGTTTTCGAGTTCTGTGTTTGGAGGGGGTTAGAAGATGCATGATTCGTCTCCCGAATAGACTGTTATTGTGGATATGTGGTGCCCCAACAAAAGTGTGTGTGGTGGGGAGGGGGGGGGGGAGTTGATACACTAGGGAACTGTGTGTGTGTTGTACCCGCAGTTTCCGAAACTGTGTCGGGGGGAATATACAGACATTTCCTGGTTCGTATGTTACAAGAATGCTGTTGATTGAAATTAAGAGACGCACTTACACACATATTATATACATAACAGCACAGAGAGCCTGGTGTATCTATGAATACAACGCATTCCACTGAGTTTAGAACCGACTTCACAGCACTCGGAACATTCTCATAAGCGCCATTTCCACATCTTCAGCAACCAGCAGAGTTCTAGTTCCGATGGTACCAGCAACAATCGGGTTGTAGGTCCATCTCCCCCTTCTCCTGAGAGCTGATCGTCGACCAGACCACCTGGTCATTCCTCGCTGCAATTTCTCTTCAGACCGTGATGGTCTTTTTGTGCCTTTGTGCTGTTAACTCGCTCCCAAAGGTTTGGTATTTATCAGTTTACCACTAAGTCGTACAGAACTAGCAAATCCATCTGCTTGTTCATTTCCCAACACACCGGTATGATCTGGAGAAAATATCCAAAGGACGTTAACTACCCGGGACCTCCATTTGTTTTCGAATGCATTTAATTGTCCTTCCATGATTCCCCGTGTGGGAGCACAAAGAATATACCCACGGTCCCCTGTGTAAGCATGTCGTAGAGGACGACTAATCAGGGATGTTTCCTGCAAAGTCGGAGTACATCTGCATGCGAATCAAGGAACCATTAATCTGCATACAAATAAGCCAGATCTGCAAAACGTATGTGCTCACAAAACTCAAATTCTAGATAGAAAAAAAAGATAACAATCCAGAAGTGGACAAACAACCGGTACTTTCTGCCGTCGTTTACAGCTTAGGAACGAACGAACCCCCACGATAAGCTTGAAAGACGTTTATTTTTTCTTTTTAATTTTCGGTACAAGTTTTTCACAACTTTTTGGGAGAGCAGTTAGAGATGGACGCTTTAGTTTTTGTTCTTTACAGTTTAAAAGTACAAGGCATTTGAAGGGATCGTGGTATCTGGTTTTTTAAAGGGAACAAAGTATGATATGATACAGGCTTCTGTAGTTATTGATTCTTACATGCAGGCCCGATGAACGTCTAACCGCTACGCTACAGGGACTCACAAAGCGAAAAACTTAATTTCTAGCGGATTGAACAAGTTAGGGAAGACGTACTTACTTACTTACTTAGTCGCTCCTCTTCTACCTTGGGGTGTAGAGGTTTGCCAGAGAGATCGCCAGAAGTCTCTATCAGCAGTTTTCTTTCTGGCTTTGTTCCATTCCAGTCCTCTGTCAGTCAGGGACTGTCGGATGTTGTCTTCCCAGCGCACCCTGGGTCGTCCCGGAGGTCTGGTTCCCTGGTTCTTAGCCTCCCATGCTTGCCATGGTGGCCGATTTTATCCCATTCTGCACACATGTCCAAACCATCGTAACTGTGACTGATCCACTCGGGTTAGTAAGGGCTGGGTATCAAGATCTTGACGTATTGTCTGATTGCGGACTTTGTCCCTTCTTGTCACTTGGACCACCTTTCTCAGGTATCTCATTTCCGAGGCCTGCAGCTGGCGTCTGTGAGCTGTTGTCATTGCCCATGACTCACACCCATAGGTCAGGACTGGTACATAGGTAGAGCGGTAAACAGCCGTTTTCGTCCTCTTGCCAATTTCTCTTTTGCTAAGAAACCCTCGGTTTATGGCCTGGAAGAGTCTCCCAGCAGCTGCTTTTCGTGTAGCCAGCTCAGTCTTAATGCCTCCATTTTGGTCTAATACAACTCCAAGGTATTTGAACTGGTTAACCTGCTCCAACGCATACTGACCCATCATGATCTGGTGTTTCTTCTCCTCTCTTGAGATCACCATGGTTTTAGTTTTGGAGACACTGATGGTCATCCCTTTCTTTTCAAGCTCTTCCTTCCAGACCAGTAAGTTGGACTGAAGGTGTGCCTCTGATTTAGCTATCAGGGCCACATCGTCTGCAAAAGCCAGCTCTGATATACAGATTGGTCTCATCTTCCAGTACCCTACAGAGTACTTCTTTGTCTTCTCCTTACAGGTCTTGATGACATCATCCATCATAAGAATGAAGAGGCAAGGTGAGAGAATATCACCTTGTCTAACACCGCTGGTGGTCTTAAATTCTTCTGACTTTTGGTCTGCTGTTCTTACATAATTTCTGCACTTTTTGTAGAAACTCTGTATTGCACTGATCAGGGGTGCTGGGATGTTTTTCCCTGCCAAGCAGTCCCAGATCTTGTTCCAGGGTACCTTGTCAAATGCCTTTTCCAGATCCAAAAAACATAAGTGAATCTCACTCTTATATTCCAGGGCTTTTTCACTCATCTGTCTCAGTGTGAAGATGAGGTCTTGAGTACTTCGGTTTGCTCTGAAGCCGCACTGGGCCTCGTCCAGCTAGGGAAGACGTAACTTTTGAAATAGTTTCTCTAACAAACTACATTTTATTAGTTCCTTCCTGTGATGTTACAACGGGGAGTGACCATGAGATCTGACCCACACTCAACACACAGGGAAAGGCAAGACGGATATACAGGCAGACTGCTACTGGTACTATCGGAATTGGAACTCAGCGCTGGCTGCTGAAGATGGGGATGGTGCGCTTATGGAAATGTCCCGAATGCTGTGATATTGGTTCTTGCTTGCTTGCTTGCTTGCTTGCTCATTGCACCCTAACAGGACATCACACAAGCGTCAAACACCTCGTGACACAAAGTGCCACCATGCGGATGAGAATCACCCATGGAGAGGTCCCAGAAACCCCTTTCAGCCGTTATGGCGACATCTGGGACCAGATATATTCAGGGCTCCCGGCAAAAGCCAGGGTGGGGCTTCAAATAAGGGAACGACAGTTACGATATTGAAGACAATATATCAGTTCTTAGCTCAGTTAAGCTTTTATACCTACTCTGTACAGGCATGGTGGGGAATTTACAACGTTTTCAGTGCCGCAGACAACCTCGGGCCGAAGACGACAACCTCAGGGGGCATTCTGTTCACGGCAATCAAAACTGAATTAACGGCATTAACTGTACTGCAGGGGCTGTAGTAAAACATGCAGAGGGCCAGGTCAATAAATGTATTAACTACAAAGTCAGTCGATGGTGGGGACTTTACAAACGTTTTCAGTGCCGCAGACAACCTCGGGCCGAAGACGACAACCTCAGGGTGCATTCTGTATACGGCAATCAAAACTGAATTAACGGCATTAACTGTACTGCAGGGGCTGTAGTAAAACATGCAGAGGGCCAGGTCAATAAATGTATTAACTACAAAGTCAGTCGTGAACTACTCGTGTCATGACAATGCATAATACAATATTGTTTGAGAGTTTGGTCAAGTATGGGAAATGCACAGCGCCGAAACGGAATTCGTGTGTGACGCATTTATTTTGCAATCATTTTTAGTCACGTTATGAAAGGAGGGAAAGTGAAACATTCTGTGACCACTGTACATATTTGTGGAAGGAGAGATATAGGAAGACAACGCAAAAATATTCTTAATCGTCTTTTGTCACAAGAATGTAGAAGTGACATTTTTTTTTTAATGACGAAATTAGAAAAAGACCAGGTCTAAAAACAGCCAACCCGTTTATTAAATAGCAACATATGAGATGAGTTGTCCATCTGACGAGAATGCTCTGGTGCCTACTGTTACAGACAGCAACACTAAAGAAATATAATGTGTACAGATCAAGGGGAAGAGCACGCAGAAAATGGAACGATGGTATTAAAAACAACATCGGGCAATGAAGATGAACTTATGCAAAGCATTGGGAAGAGCACATAAAAGATCCTTACACTCGCCAACCCCTACCAGCAATTCGATGAAGTTTTGGGAGTTTATAAAAAAGGGGGTTGGGGGGGGGGGGAGGATAAATCTCTTCGTTCTTCTTCGGCGATCATTCTGTCAGAAAAAAATCTTACATCATGAGGCCAGTAGCCTTGATGAAAACTACGTGGGGGCTTTAAATGAAAATTGTAAAAGTATGATCGAAATTGCAGTAACCACGCCATTGACTAGTGTGGCCATGTCACTTTAGAATCAATCGGCTGTTTTTCTTATGAGGCCTTTAACCACTGCAGTCGACTATGGGGGTCACAACTGTGTGTGCCTGATCCGGACGTGACTAGTCTGTCACAGAAACCACGACGTTTTGAAACTTCCTACTCCACTCACACACTTGCTCGGTGGACTGAGTTGTCTCGAGGTATGGTGTTCACCTCGAGTGCTGGGGGTCCCGGGTTCAAGCCCAGGTAAAGGCTGGGAGTTTTTTCACGGGGACTTCTAGTACTCTCTCCTGGTCTCTGGGTAGTAAGGTCAGACGCCCATGTGTATTGCTGCTCACGTAAAAAAAAATCCCTTGTCAGTTGGAAATCGAAAAGAGTAGCCTAACTGTGCTGCTCGAGCAAAATTTGGAAAATTTGTGCACTGCGCTGAGATTCTTCATATTCAGGCTTGAGAGAAGTAGAACAGAGCACTTATGGGTTACACCCATGTGCCGGGGCACTTATGGGTTACACCCGTGTGCCGGGGCACTTATGGATTACACCCGTGTGCTGGGGCACTTATGGGTTACACCCGTGTGCCGGGGCACTTATGGGTTACACCCGTGTGCCGGGGCACTTATGGGTTACACCCGTGTGCCGGGGCACTTATGGGTTACACCCGTGTGCCGGGGCACTTATGGGTTACACCCGTGTGCCGGGGCACTTATGGGTTACACCCGTGTGCCGGGGCACTTATGGGTTACACCCGTGTGCCAGGATGTTGACCCGTTGAATAAACACATAACCATCAGACACTTGCTGGACTAACAGGCATACATCACCATACTAGGCCATCATTGGTCCACAACTCTCTACGACGGAGATGACAAGAAGAGCCAGAAACGGAGCCTTCTACCTCCTTTGATACCCGAAATGTTTTTTTTTTTAAGTGAAGGATGGAAGGACTGATCTTTACAAGATACTATTTATTCCTTCGCAAAAGTGGACAAAGATACCACAGTTTAGATGGCACCTAATGACGATGAAATGAATCATGGACATTTGACATCTGGTAAAAAATTATATGGAAGAGGCGAAGATACGGTTTTATAGACGACAGGAGAACACTCCGGTCAAATACAAAGAGTAATGAAGATGTCTTGAAAGACACTGATCCAGGAAGAGAACTTTTCCACATCAAAAGGAAAGGAGACAATTTTCATTCTTTGCTTATGTCATAAGAAGGAGAAAACTCGAGTACGCTGTGACTGTAGAAATGTCGAAGTATAAAGGCAGATGCAGACCCAGGGGAAAGATGCTAAACAGCTTGGAGCATGATCCGGCAGATCGAGGCAGGGTGATAAAGCATACAGTGGTTTGAGTCATTGCAAAACTCTCGCGTGTGTGCAGTTTCCTTCATATTCGTCCTAGGGAATGCAGGCGTTGTTGGTATTTTTTTTTTTTAATCGATCACCGGCTGTGAATTCCAGTGGAAGGTCCCGGTTAATCGTCCGCTTGGACTTTTGGCTTTCACCTGGACCTGATTTTTGCGTGTACAACCGTTTTTCATTTCCCTGCCTCATGGGGTTGTTGGTAATGAAAGAGCTGATAGATTGGCAGGTGCTGCAATAATTGAAGATGGCCGGCCCATGGATCACGCAGATATTGCCATTGCCCTTATAGAGATAGCACGTTCTGAGGATTTTGGAAGCAACGTGTCCACATCACTGCTAAGAATACGCGAATTGGGAGTAAAGATCGGCACATCAAGCATGAGAAGCACACCGGACGCACCGGAAGTCTTGTTAACCAACATAGGACTGGAACTATTTACCGCACGACACTGATGAATATGTTGAGAGGAGAACCTGAGCTCCTATGGATGTCTCCGAAGTGCTGTGAAGCTAATCTAACTCATAACTCAGACACGGAATATGTTGAAATAGAAGAGCTCTACAATGGAATTAATCTGACAAGAAAGTGTAAACCGATTGCTTTCCCCTGAACCATTATGGCGGCCCCCATTGTTTACTTTGGCTGTCTCTATTTGTTGATGAACATGCCCGAAAGAAAATAACGCAACGATGAAAGCTACTAGCAATATCATCGGCCTATTTTTAATGTCTGTCGTACACTTCGTGTCGCCAGAAGAAGGTGGTATTGCTTCCAAAGAGTTTTCTGGAAAAATTCACCGACGGTAGGAGGCTTTTTTTTTTTTTTTTAAGAATGAATGAATAAAATTATAAGTTCAACAAGACTGTAAACTATAATGAGTAATGATGTTGAAGTATCACACTTAATGTGACATTTCAGTAGTTTTTTTGTGTGTACGTATTATATTTAATATTAAGTTTTTAGAATTCAAAAAAAAAAAAAAAAAAAAATCTAATTGTCTGAAGCTTGTAAGTCAATTCTAAGCGGAGTTAATTAGTTAATAATTAAAACAGGTTTTGGCTATCCTCCGAAACAGTGAAACAGCGGTCCCAAATTATCGAGGCTGAAAATATACCCTTACAGGGCCTCAGTCACGTGTCAATTGCAGACTTCCGGAAACTATACCGCCACCACTGAGAGTATCTCCCAGGCTGAAACTCAACGCTCAGAGGAAAAGCATGATGGGCATTAAGCCAGACTGCTATTGGTGCCATCAGAACCATGCACAGGCTGCTAAAGATGGGGGACTGAGCACTAATGGGAAAGTCCTGAGTGCTGTCAAATCTATTCTTAACTCAACCCAACTATTCCTATTGTCTAAATAATTTTTTTTTTTAAATAAAAATTTAATTCCTATTGCCTGACTTCTTCTTCCTCTTCTTCTTCTCTTCCTCCTCCTCCTTCCTCTTATTCTTCTGCTGCTGTTTCTTCTTCTTCTTTGTCTACACCCGTTGTAATACAGTGAAAAATTCAGGTTGTTCGCCCACTTCTGGACTTAGCTCTTGTTCCAGACCTTGTGTTTTGCATGTACATCTGTTTTACACTTATTTGTATGCATTCCCACTCCCCCCCTCCCCCCCACCCTTTTGCCGGCCATTTTGAGGAGAAAAGAATAGACCCACTGTCTCCCTAACAAGCATATCATACAAGGCAACTAATTAGGAATGTTCTTTTGACATTGGAGTGCATCAGCCTGAGAGGCAGGGAACCAACAGTCTGCATACAAACAAACCAGATCTATGAATGCAAAACTCAAGTCCTGGAACAAGACCAAAGTCCTCCTTGTTTTGGGTTCTGGTGCCCCATTGTGAAGAAAACAACAATAGACCCACTGCCTACCCTAAAGCATGTTATAAGAGTTGACTAATTGAGAGACAATGAAGATCAGTCCAGAAGTGAATAAAACCCCATAACTTTCCTATGGAGTTTACTGCCTGAGATCGTTCATAAGATGAAATCTTGTTCACACCTTTCGGCTGCTATAATGATAGATACATTTACTATATGCAGATGTCCATACAGACTACGAAAACTGTGGCAGACAGACATCAGTTCCTTCCCATTTGCAGCCACCCCACTAGTAGTAGATGTGGATGGTGATGGCGGCCTGGACGTTGTTGCGGCTCCAGTTTGGTGAGTCATTGGCAGTCATTGAAGGAGAGACAGGCAAACCCCTGCATGATACCAGCTGGCCTCAGCACAACTTGGACAAGTCAGTGCACTCATCCCCGCTGCAGGTTAGGTTGCATTTTTTGTGTCAATGTCTTGCATTCTCAACAGTTAGGTTGGTTCAAGTGGGTGTATGCTTCCACTGCTGAGATGTTCATGGATATAATGATTATGGTTCAGGAATTACTATTAGAGATCAAAGGAAATGCCAGTTTCCATAGGAAATTATTGAAGGCGGGCTTTAGATGACCATTGGCCAGATGGCAAACCCTGGTCATAAAGTAGGGCATGACTGTAAATAAAGTTCTGCCCGTTGAAAATGGGTCTGTGAGAGAGGGTAGAAACACAAGAATTAGGGGGATGTGAATAAAGTTAACTGAATGCCTCCTGTATGTGTTTGGAAGAGATAAATAATCAGAGTAAAACAGACCACAGGATTCTATTGTGAGCAAGGCCTCGGGTGGTAGGGTCAGTTTATGTGTGTGTCCAGATTAGACCAGGCAGAATGGAGCACCTGGTAGTGATTCGACAGCAGTTTGGTTTTGTGATAAAAGAGATGTGTGGCAAGCTTGATGTATGTTTGCAGTGAACCAGACAATTCCAACTCACTTTTACTTGTGAAAGTGAATAATTGCAACTAAATGTTAGTTGTGGAGTGTCATAGACTTGTGAACATTTCCATACATAGACAGATAGACAGACAGATAGATAGATAGATAGAATGATAGATAAATGATTTAAGAGATGGATGGATGTATAAAAGATTGAATGAATGGATGAATTATTGAATGGGTAGATAAATTGATCTGTTTATGTTTGTATTTTTTGTGACATTTTCAGTACGATATTGACGGTGATGGAGTCTTGGACATACTGTTCATGACCACGCAAGGTGAGGGACTGTTCTACACTGGAGTCGGACATCCCCTTGGTAAATACTCCTTTCAGGTAATTTTTTTCTTTAACCCTCTATGTTTTAAGTTTCGGCTCTACTTGGAATAACAGTTCTAAATGAACTACGCAGAAAGTTAATCCCAACAGAGCCTCATTACGTCCTGCCCTACAAACATTTAAAAGCTGTAACTCGGAAATATAAGTAACGGAAAGTATGAGGAAAATAAGGGAATTATAGTAATTACCGATATTGAAATCCTTTATACGTTAAAATTGTGGCAGAGAAGTTGCAAATAGTGCCCGAATATCTGTTCTTTCTCGTTGTGACGCCATTGGAACTCTGCCAGATAAGATGCGAAGAGGGCGCGGCTTGTCCCCAATTGACAGCGGAATCTTCGTTTAAGCAGCATCCATAGCCCCTCAATGGTTTGTGTGTGGACCTCATTGTCTGTGCTGTCGACAAAATTAGTTCCATGCACTACTACTGCGTGATCGTAGATGCCATGTTTCAATTTTCCGACGTTCCTGTAGCCTCGCCAAGCGTCAGTCACAATTCTGGTTCCGGGCAACACATGATGAGTTATGACGCGTTCTAATGTCGGCTCTTCTTTCGCCGACTATAGTGCCACCTCCGAGAGTATCCCCCGCGCCGCTACGCGCGGCGCAGAAGGAACTAAACTAGATGGCTAGGACTCACTACCAAATACATTTGAGGAAGCTGAAGGAGCTGCGGTAGCTGCTGCTCGTGAGTCCCAGCCATCTAGTTTAGCCCCCTCCGTGCGGCATGTAGCGGCGAGGGGGATACTCTCGAAGGTGGCACTATAGTCTGCCGTAGGATAGCACTATCGGGAGTATTGCCGCGTGTCGGTAATTTTTTTGTATGCAGTTAATCCTTGTTTTGCCACCATCTAATCGCCCTAAAAAATCTGTTGCGTTCCGCGAAACTATTGTGCGCAGTTAATACTACTTTTTACACTGTTAAATTGCCGCAAAATAAATGCAACTTTTACATATGTGTGAGGCTCTGTTTGGGTTAACTGTCTGCGTTGTGAGGCTCTGTTTGGGTTAATTTTCTGCCTAGTTCATTTAGAACCGTTATTCCAAGTAGAGCCTAAGTTTCTTTTTTTTTCTCTCCCCCTAATCCTGAACTGTGTGGAAGTCTTTCCTAAAATGTGTGTTAAAGATCTTGTTTGGGAATCTCCTCGTGTAAGACTTTTGTGTGAAAATCTCCTTGTGTAAGAATCTTTATGTGTGAGAATCTCCTTATGTGAGAATCGCCTCATGTGGGACTCTCCTTGTGTAAGAATCTCAGTGTGTAAGAATCCTCTCATGTGGGACTCTCCTTGTGTAAGAATCTCATTGTGTAAGAATCCCCTCATGTGGGACTCTCCTTGTGTAAGAATCTCATTGTGTAAGAATCCCCTCATGTGGGACTCTCCTTGTGTAAGAATCTCATTGTGTAAGAATCCCCTCATGTGGGACTCTCCTTGTGTAAGAATCTCATTGTGTAAGAATCCCCTCATGTGGGACTCTCCTTGTGTAAGAATCTCAGTGTGTAAGAATCCCCTCATGTGGGACTCTCCTTGTGTAAGAATCTCAGTGTGTAAGAATCCTCTCATGTGGGACTCTCCTTGTGTAAGAATCTCAGTGTGTAAGAATCCCCTCATGTGGGACTCTCCTTGTGTAAGAAATTTTGTGTGAGAATCTGTCTGCTTGTGTGAGAGTCTCCGTGTGGAAGGATCTTGTGCGATAATCATCTTATGTGAACATATCTTTGTATTAGAATAATCTTCTGTGAGAATCTAATTGCATAAGAATTTTGTGTGAGAATTTTGTTGTAGATCTTCTTGTGTGAGAATTTTCTTGTGTAAAAATCTGCTTGTGTAAGAAGTGTGTGTTAGAACATGAAAGAGTTGTGTGTGAGAACTTCTGTGAAAATTTCTTTGTGCGAAAAGCTTCCTGTGTAAAAATATATTTGTGTGAGAATCTCTCTGTGTGATTTATATGTGGAGACGGGACACTTATGGAGTTATCTATATGCATTGGAAATGACCCGTTACAAACTAACCCAACCTGCTGTGTTTGCTTGGATTGACCTTTCCCTTTCACCTTTGCAGCTTGAGCCGGCCTATGTGAAGTCAGACTGGTTCAAGAGTTCTAACAGTGTCGATTATCAGAACATTGCTAGCTATGTAACAGATACACCAGTAAGTTGACTGATGTTGTATGAAATTTCTTAAATGACTATATTGTCATGTGTATCAATGAGATAAAGAACAGAATAAGACAAGCCAAAAGTACATTTCATAAAATGAAGACAATTTTATGCAGTAAACCCATGTAATTGGAGATTATAAAAAATTCTCACCTGCTGTATACAGCCAGTTCTAACATGTGGCTGTAAATCACACATGCTCACATGCTATATAGAGCCAGTTCCAACATGTGGCTGTAAATCACACATGCTCACATGCTATATAGAGCCAGTTCCAACATGTGGCTGTAAATCACACATGCTCACATGCTATATAGAGCCAGTTCCAACATGTGGCTGTAAATCACACATGCTCACATGCTATATAGAGCCAGTTCCAACATGTGGCTGTAAATCACACATGCTCACATGCTATATAGAGCCAGTTCCAACATGTGGCTGTAAATCACACATGCTCACATGCTATATACAGCCAGTTCCAACATGTGGCTGTAAATCACACATGCTCACATGCTATATAGAGCCAGTTCTAACATGTGGCTGTAAATCACACATGCTCACATGCTATATAGAGCCAGTTCCAACATGTGGCTGTAAATCACACATGCTCACATGCTATATAGAGCCAGTTCTAACATGTGGCTGTAAATCACACATGCTCACATGCTATATACAGCCAGTTCCAACATGTGGCTGTAAATCACACATGCTCACATGCTATATAGAGCCAGTTCCAACATGTGGCTGTAAATCACACATGCTCACATGCTATATAGAGCCAGTTCTAACATGTGGCTGTAAATCACACATGCTCACATGCTATATAGAGCCAGTTCTAACATGTGGCTGTGAACCACACATGCTCACATGCTATATAGAGCCAGTTCTAACATGTGGCTGTAAATCACACATGCTCACATGCTATATAGAGCCAGTTCCAACATGTGGCTGTAAATCACACATGCTCACATGCTATATAGAGCCAGTTCTAACATGTGGCTGTAAATCACACATGCTCACATGCTATATACAGCCAGTTCCAACATGTGGCTGTAAATCACACATGCTCACATGCTATATAGAGCCAGTTCCAACATGTGGCTGTAAATCACACATGCTCACATGCTATATACAGCCAGTTCCAACATGTGGCTGTAAATCACACATGCTCACATGCTATATAGAGCCAGTTCCAACATGTGGCTGTAAATCACACATGCTCACATGCTATATAGAGCCAGTTCTAACATGTGGCTGTAAATCACACATGCTCACATGCTATATAGAGCCAGTTCTAACATGTGGCTGTAAATCACACATGCTCACATGCTATATAGAGCCAGTTCTAACATGTGGCTGTAAATCACACATGCTCACATGCTATATAGAGCCAGTTCTAACATGTGGCTGTAAATCACACATGCTCACATGCTATATAGAGCCAGTTCTAACATGTGGCTGTAAATCACACATGCTCACATGCTATATAGAGCCAGTTCCAACATGTGGCTGTAAATCACACATGCTCACATGCTATATAGAGCCAGTTCCAACATGTGGCTGTAAATCACACATGCTCACATGCTATATAGAGCCAGTTCTAACATGTGGCTGTAAATCACACATGCTCACATGCTATATAGAGCCAGTTCTAACATGTGGCTGTAAATCACACATGCTCACATGCTATATAGAGCCAGTTCTAACATGTGGCTGTGAACCACACATGCTCACATGCTATATAGAGCCAGTTCTAACATGTGGCTGTAAATCACACATGCTCACATGCTATATAGAGCCAGTTCTAACATGTGGCTGTAAATCACACATGCTCACATGCTATATAGAGCCAGTTCTAACATGTGGCTGTAAATCACACATGCTCACATGCTATATAGAGCCAGTTCTAACATGTGGCTGTAAATCACACATGCTCACATGCTATATAGAGCCAGTTCTAACATGTGGCTGTAAATCACACATGCTCACATGCTATATAGAGCCAGTTCTAACATGTGGCTGTAAATCACACATGCTCACATGCTATATAGAGCCAGTTCTAACATGTGGCTGTAAATCACACATGCTCACATGCTATATAGAGCCAGTTCTAACATGTGGCTGTGAACCACACAAGCTCACCAGACTCATTATTCAGATTCAAGGATTTTTTCCATCTAGTTCAGGTCTTTTACCTCATTGTTTTGCCTCCTCTTTTCTTTAAAGTTTCAGAGCTGTTTTTTCATGTGACATTCATTCATTGTCCCGTTGTGCCATTATGCATCCCTTAAGGCTCACAGTCTGTTTCTCTGTTATGTTATGTCCTCTATGATAACCTGAAGATCATGAAATCAGTATTAACCCTTTCATCACTTGAATGCTTACAAAACTGGGCCTTGAACCCATGGAAATTCCCAGAAATTTCTTTTACTACTAAAAATTGAATTTGTAAAAATTTATTTGCTTACAGATATATATGTGTGTGTATATATATATATATATATATATATATATATATATATATATATATATATATATATATATATATATATATATATATATATATATATATATATATATATATATATATATATATATATATATATTGATTGGAATACATTCCTGGGAGCCTAAAACAGATATCGATTGGGTAACTCATGTCCTGCCTTCCATCACTCAGGCTTAAAGGAAATTTGATATCAGCTTGGCTTTGCAAAGCTATATGGTTTATAAGGAAAGCCCTCTAAATGGTAATATTAGTTAACATATTCATATACGAGCCAACTAAATACAGTGCAGGCGCACATAGAACCACTTTCATTTAACTACGTTTAATATTATTGTGTCAGGAATAGGTCTGCAGAAATGCTGAAACATAGGCATTTATGGGACTGTTTCACAATCAGGAATAAATAAATTTAGTTTTCTATATACGACTGGGTTTACCTGAAGGAGTGGCTGGCCCAACGGTTAAGAACGCTGGTCTTTCATACTGGAGATCCAGGTTCAGATCCTCGGCAAGGTCATGGATTTTTTTCTGTCAGAGGTAAAAATAAATTCCTAACCTTCACAATCCATGGTCACAGCACTAGCCCTGCGGCCCTAAATCTTCAGACTCAAAGACCCACCTACACCGCACAAGTGGTAAAGTCAGGAGTATTGGCAGTTTTTAAGTGTTTTTGTTGTTGTTATTATTGGCAGTTACCTGATTTGCCCACTTTGTTCATGTTTGATCTATTGTCTCCCCTCTTAGAAAGAAGGCTACATTCCAGTAGATGCCCATATACTGAGCACACCTGTCTTACACCAAACACATCTGTTGATCATACCTGTCTCATTTTATTTTGACGATGATGATGAAAGTAACAGGTATGTTGTTTTTGTGTGTTTATGTGAGCAGTCATTTTTTTAAAATCAACCGGGGGGGGGGGGGGGGGTACAGGTTCTGGAAAATGTTCAGCACTGGGGAGGGGTTCATAGGTGGGTTTTAATAAGGTTGCAACTGATCCTCTTAGCCTGTCGACTCTTGATTGGCTATTGAAGAAGGGGATGGAGCATATGTGGGAACTTACCAAGTGCAGTGATGTCAGTTCTTGATTCATTTGTTCATTTATTAATATTTTTTCTTTATAAATATTGTCACTGTATGACTGGCCAGTGCACTCACCTGCAGGCCTACGTATGTTAGGGTTAAAGGATGCAGAGTGGCTGATGTGCTGTTGTCAGGCTGTGTATAGAACACAGCCTCTCTTTGTCTCTAAGCAGGACATCCTAGATGGTTCATTCATCTGCAAGTGACCATTCACCCTGGAGAGAGAGGCCAGATCACATGGTATCTTCTTCTTCTTCTTCACGTTCATCAGCTGTAAACTCCGGTGGAAAGTTCTGGTTGTTCTTCCACTTCTGGACTGCAGTCCTCCTATTCCAGAACTTGAGTGTTGCGTGTGCATCCGTTTGACAGATCTGACTAATTTGTATGCAGACGTCACACCGGGAGTATGCAAATACTAAATATCTATTTGTATATCAGGGAAGCCTCTCACTTATATTATTCATGATTTCTTCTTCTGGTCTTCTTTGTTTACCGGCTGCAAGCTCTGGCAGAAAGTTCTGGTCGTTCGCCAATTTGGACTTTAGATTTGTGCCAGGACCCGGGTCTTGCTTGTACATCGATTTTACTGGCTTATTTGTGCACACTTGATTGTTCCTTGCCGCTCTGGTAGATGCAGTCCAACTTCAAAGAGAGCTCCCAGTTAGTCGACTCTATGGCGTGCTTATTGGAATGGCAGTGGGTCTGTTCTTGTTTTCCCCCACAATGGGACCCCGGAACCCACCCGGGGAATTCATGATATAAATTGTGGATTAACTTTGCAAAGAGATTCATTTAATCTCTGTTCCAGTAAACTAAATTACTCATGATAAGTATCTTAATTGTGTGTTAAATATGGGGATCTCCATGGCGAAGTGGTCAAGGCGCTTGCCTCGTGTTTTGAAAGACGTGGGTTTGCTCCATGGCTGCGGCCTTCAATTCACGAGTGCAATTTTTACGATTCACAAGGATCGTCGCCGAAGCAATGGAGTTCATGCTCAGTGTGATGCTCTCAGCAGGAGGCTAGCCATTCTGCTGAGAGAGACTGAGCCATATGGGATAAAACTCTGTGCAATGAAGTTGATCCTCTCAACTTCAACCTTGGGTATTACATTTGTGATGTACTGAAATGTTATGTTGAACTGGCAGCTGCTGTATGGCCATGAATCTTGGAATGTGAATGAGCAGATTAAGAACTTGAAACATGAAAAGGTGGTTTCTGAGGCAAGCTGCAGATAGAGGGGACAGACAGAGGGACTAACAACGACTGCCTGGAAATAGCTCATGAAATTGGAAAGCTATTTACAGCTATAAAATAGAGACAGAAAGTATTTTTTGGGCATGTGGTGAGAAAAAAGGAACTGGAGAACATCGGGACAGCTGGAAAAATCAACGGTAGAAGAGAGGCAGACTAAAAGAAATGCAGAAACAGCGCCTGGTGGCCTTGAAGCGATGGCATGGAGAAATATCTTTAGAGGAATTTATTCAAAATTACTAAGGAATGTTATCTTTGGAGAGACATGGGCGCCTCCACTGTGGGCAGGGCACATGATGGTGATCAAAATATGTCATGTTTTTTTTTAAAATATAAAAGCCTGTTATTTTGTAAAATATGTTTTATGTTCTTCTGGTTTTTTGTTGGGGGGGGGAGGGGGGGGGGGGGGGGGGGTATAAATTGTTCTGTTCATTTTTCTATATTTTGAAAACTTCCATATTTACTCCATATTAATTTCCATTACAGTGATTCAGATGCTACCAGAACTTTGGAACATGTTGAAGCCAAAGACAAGTTTTATGTTGGGGCTATTTCAGTTGTGGATCTTAAACAGCTAAAAGTTCATAAAAATCTGGCCGTCACAAACCAAGATGCCTCTGCTGTCAGAACTGTTTTCCTGGAGCTGTCACAGGTAGGACATTACTGGTTGTTATAGAGCAAACGATGACTCATGACTGTATGGCTCTCCGTGTGGGTTCTGGGGCTTCATTATGCGGGTAAAAGAATAGACCCATCCCCCACTCCAAGCATGTCGTAAAAGTCAACTAATTATGGGTATTTCCTACTAAGTTGGGGTGCATCTGTCTGAAAGGCAAGGGGCCACAAGTCTGCATACAGATAAGCCAGATATTTAAAACTGAGATGCACACACACACACACACACACACACACAAACTACAGTTGTGGAGCAAGACCAAAGGCCAGAATTGACCAGGACTTTTTGCCAGAGTTTATAGCGGGCAAACTTGAAGGAAATTTGATAATAGGAACTGGCTTATGAGATATGTGCAACTCTGTGACTTGAAGGTTAGTGACATTGGTTCACACTATCTGTCTTAAAGAGAACTACTTCATTTGTTTTTCTGTAATTCCTTGATATTTTTTGCATTATTCTCAAAAATCATATGTTTTGGGTTGAAACAAAGGATCAACGGCATCATGTGCCCTGCACACGGGTAGTAACCGATAAGTGCTTCATTCTAATTTTAACCCAAGTCTGAGTCCAAAGAATCTCAGCACATTGCACAAACCCCGTTGCACCGGCAAAGATCCTGAAATACTTTTGGTAGATTTTTAAGTCCACATTTTTCCCAAGTAGCATGGCTAGGCTACTCTTTTTCGATTTCCAACTGCCAAGGGATTTTTTACGAGCGCAAGAATACACATGGGCGTCCGATCTTACTACCCAAAGACCAGGGGAAATTACTAGAAGTCCATGTGTAAAAATCCTAGCCTTCACCAGGGCATGAACCCAAGGCATGACTCCAGCACTCGAGGCAGACGCCATGTCTCAAGACAACACAGCCCCTAAAATCAGAATAAAAAATCATATCACCACTACAAGTGCAACAGTAATTGGCTTAAATAACATCTATGGTACTTTTCTTCAGTTCACAGCAGGACAGTTATTCCACAGTAGAGACACAGCTGAGGCCAGGCTGTCCCATCAGTTTCCATACAGCAGAAAGGCTCTGTGTAACAGAGCAGGACAAACATAAACATATCTCCCAAGTTTCACAAGAAAGGCACAGTTCAGCATCACTCCAGCTGAGCTTACTCTTGTTTTTCAGCAGGGAAGGACACACTTCACAATGTGTTTTCAAAACAATGGTATTTTCACTGTGTAAGGAAACACAGGACAAATCCTATCTCAATATGTGAAAGTAAATCATGGACAGTTTGTAGATTTGTGAACATATTTTGGAAGCTACGGAGATGAAGTTTTATAGACAAATTATGAGAATGCCATGGACAGATAAAAAGAGTAATGAGTGTGTCTCACGAAGAGAACTGATTGCCCAAATTAGAAAGAGACAATCTGCATTCATTGATCATGTGATGAGAAGGAGAAAACTGGAGTACATCGTGGCAATAGGGAAGTTGGAGGTGGAGGAGAGGCAGAGGAAGACCAAGAGAAAGGATACTGCACAGTTTGACATCATGGCATGGATGATCATCTGTGTCAGCTGAGCTTACTCTTGTAGCAGGGAAGGACACACACTTCACAATGAAAGTAGACAAGACAGAAGGTTGTAGTTTGTGTTTGTGAACATTTTTTTTTTTTAGGAAAGGAGAGACAAGACAGAATGAGTGCCATGTAGGAGTAATGAGTTGTCTCACGAAGAGAACTGATTGAATTAGTAGACAAGACAGATCATGTGATTGTAGAAAACTGGAGTACATGGGAAGTTGGAGGTGAAAGGAGAGACAAGACCAGAAAAAGGATACTGCACAGTTTGAGGTGTCATCTGTTTGAAAGTAGACAAGACAGAAGGTTGTGGGTAGACATGACAACCAATGCCACATAACATGGGCTTTAAGAAGAAGAAGAAGAAAACTCATGGGACACTCTATATATACCTGATCGAAATCTACACATTTTTTCCTGTTCACACCTGATCTGTAGACATTGTTCATTTAAAGATCATCTTCATCCCACATCGGTCATGACCGTAAGTGCCCCGATCTGCTCCTGAGTGTGTCTCTAAGAAACACATGGCAGGTTTGTCATTGATCTGTTGACAGCTGTTGTTTAGTCCAGTTTCCTCAGCCTTCTTACACCTGCCTTCCAGAACAACTGAGTCAGTTGTTTCCCTGCCCACTCGACAGCTAATGAAACACAAAACCCAAACAAACGTAGATAGCAGTTTATTTGCTAAATCCAGTCTCATAAAATTAAAATTTGCAGCGAATAAGTCATCTGCTGCTACTTAGATGTTAAAAATCTGATATATGTGGCTGGAGTGTTGTTTCTGATAGACTATGCACTACATTAACATCCATTCAGTTTCTGTGTGAAGTGTTTATTATTGACTTGCCTGAGAAAAAGGTTTTTTTCCCCACTCAAATAAAAAGTCCTTGAGATGTTAATCCTAGAGACTGGGAAAGAAAAACCACTTACTTGACCTCATTGCATGATTAAGTAGAACTTCTTGATGACCCACCTGGACTTTGTCGTGGTAGACTGGTTGAAGACCATTAGTCTAATATATATCTCTAATGATAATCTGTACATTTATTCTGAGTTGACCGTACACCATGATTCCTTGTTTTCCTCCTGGCAGACTCCTGTGTTTAACTTGTTTACACCAACAGTCATGGATTTAGACGGAAACTTTGGGGAAGCAGAAATTATCACTGGGCTGTCGTCTGGAAACCTCTGTGTCATGTCCTTGGACGGCGTGCAGAGGTCAGGATATCCCAGAAATATAGGGCCAATATCGGGAAGGGTAAGTCCATTCCATGGCTTTGTGTCATTCTTCTTTTTCTTGTGATTGCTCTCTGATTTACATCAACAGACGGGGATAGAGTTGAGTTGATTCAAGAACTGACATCACAGCACTCAGGGCATTCCCATAAACACTCTGTCCTCATCTTCAGCAGCCAGCGCAAAGTCCTATTACTAGTGCTGCCAGTAGCAGTCTGATTATATGTCTATTTTGCCTTTCCTCTGAGCACCAAGTATCGGCCAGATCCCCTCGTCACTCCTCGCTGCATCATTCTTACCAGACTGATGATCACTTTGCTGTTCCGTTCTATGCACCTGCTCCCATAAGGCCTTAACAACATCTGCCTTATCGTGCATCACTATTCCACAAGATTTTGCAGAGCCAGCCGTCTGTCCACACGTTCATTTCCCAATACACTGCCATGAGCATACCCTGTAGAAAAGATCCAGACAGTGCTCTTCAACTTTGTTCTCTGAAGCAAAGCATGCTATTCTCATGAAGCATGCCTGTCCTCACCTTCCTCAGCATGCTTTCTGAGTCACTTACAGTCATGATGTGTGGGTGTCTATCGTGTTCACTAGCCAGCAGAAAGCTGCAGTGACTGCCTCCACCTCCATTCTTAAGCTGGATGTTGGGGTATCATATGCTAGGCTTTCTTGCACCAAAAGCTGACCATTAGCTTTTGCTAAGAATCCCCAAGCACTTCTTTTGCCTCTTGACACCGGGGCCTCTGTAAAAAGTCATATCACATGAGCACACATTATCCTGAATTAATTGCTAATTTTCAACATCTGTTGCACCTACTGGCCAGTCTCTGCACTTGTGACTGAATGTGATTATGACTACACAAGTCTGACTGTTCTACTGGCGCTCTGACCCACATTTCTCCTTGCCTAATGTTCTCCAGGATGCAAACCTGTCTGATCATGTCCTCCGCCTGAGCCATCCTTGGCTTCCCTCTTATCAGCTGCTGACCTTTAACTGCATCGAGCGCTTCGTGCAAAGGGTGGTCTGTGTTTGTAGCTACTCTGAGGTATGACTATGACCTGCAACAGTAAGCAAACAGAGAATTTATCACATACACACCACTGGGGTGTCCATTACATTCCAGAAGGTCCCGCATTACTGATTTCTGTATGCGCTCCAGTTTAACTAGTTGACACTTTGGGACAATGAGCAGTCCTAGTCCATAATCAGTCACTGAGAGGGCCACGTGCTGATATAGTGTGAAAAGCATTTTCTGCTCCATGTCCATTGCAGTGAGTCCCTTTTGGCATCCTTTCGCAACCATCTCCAGATGTGATTTTCAGAAACTTCAATGTGCTGTGGTTGTTGACATTTCTATCATCCATCTAAGACCTGGGACATAAGCTGTAACAATCCACAAAACAGGTGCCTTTTCTGGGTGGATGACAGCACTCATTTCTTTACATGAGTAAGTCAGTTTGTCTGCTGTCGCCTGTAGCTCCTGGGTTGTTTGTTTCCTATCTCTGCCCTGCCTATAGACAAAATATCATCGCCAAATTTAATTATCCTTCCAACACCTGAGGCTTCTAGACTTGCAGTCTTGCTCGTATACATGTTAAAGAGCACAGGCGAGAAGGTGCAACTCTGTGGCAGTCCCGAAGCTATAATATGTGGCTCTTAGATCCATGAACCCAGAGGAAGAGCAACCTGATGAGAATACAGGACAGCTACTATCCAGTTCACCAACCAGGGACTCACCCCATTCTCCATTAGTGCTGTCATCAAAATATCCTTTCTTACTTCATTATATGCATTTTTGAGACCAAATGCTGCCGCCATTGTTTCCTGTTTGTTCTGGAAACCTTCCTAAACATCAAAGGCAAAAGTCTGCATCTGACCAGGTATTTGCCCATTTAGAGAGATGCTTTGTGACGCCATACTGTACACTGCATACACCAAAAGAGGACTGTATCACGAGGTAGACCAAGAAAAACATGGAAAGATAACATCAGAGAAACTGTACAACAGCACAATGTATCTATGGTCGAGGCAGCCAGAAGAGCAAAAAGCAGAACCTTGTATCTCCCTTGGCACTGAAGTGGTAGAAGAGGAAGTGAAGAAGAAGAAGAATCTTTGTTTCCTGAGGAGTTGCTTACCAAATGGTTAAAATGCTGGCTGTCACATGAGAGACCCAGGTTCAAATCCTTGGTAAGGTAATTGAAGTTTTTTTCTGTTAGGGCAAAAGTAAACATCCTAACCTCCACAGTTTTTGGTGAGTGTATCAGCCATGCCGCCCTAAATCCTCAGCCTCAAGCCCCATGTCCTGATAATTCCTTGGGTGGGCCCAGTACTAGAGTGCTGTCTATCAGCTCTGCATTGATGGAAGCCTCATTGGATGGCAGGGAATGCTCATGCTTTACTCCTGCCTCCCCTTGATGGTCAACCAATTTGCCCTTGGCTAACCTGGAAGGGTGGGTCTTCTAGGGACAACATCTGTGGACAGGGAATGACGAAGTCCTCCACACATAGGAAGCTACAGATGCCCCAAGAAAATAACCAGGAAGGTTGACCTGGATGCAAATGATGGAAGAAGCTGGATGTGTCGACCGAAATGCGCAAATATCTCAGTTTATACTCCAAACAGGTGAAGGAACGAACGAACTTTATTTTCAAAGGGTCACAAATTGGGCACGCAGGCTCGTCTTACATTCGGCCCTTCCAGTCAACAGCAGTTGTATTTTACTAATAAAGCATGTTATGATCATATGATGATATGCATATTATGAATATTATGAAAGAACACAAAAGCGTGAGTTGTAAAGTGCATGCAAAAACCCGCGCGTGCATACATACACCCACACACACACACGCTCACCCACTCACTTACACATACATACATGCATGCATACATTAGAATACATACATACAGGCATATATACATACATACACACATACATACAAACATGCATACAGCCATACACACATACACACAGGCATACATACATACACACAAACATACGCACATAGATACAAACATACAGGCATACATACATACATAAATACATACATACATACATACATACATACATACATACATACATACATACATACATACATACATACATACATACATACATACATACATACATACATACATGCATGCATGCATGCACGCACGCAGCAGGCAGACAGACAGACAGACAGACATACATACATACATACATGAAGGAGAAGAAGAAGTCCCCTGCACTACACCACTCTAACAATTGACAAATTCAGGCTGTAACTTAAGTGTTTTTTCTGTATCAGATCACCATTGCTGAGCTCGGCAGAGAGTCTAGTCTCAGTCTTGTGGTGATAAATACCACGGGTACTGTAGTCTGCCTGGATGCTGTGACTGGCCGGGACAGGTGGTCAGCGAATATCGGAGGGTTAAGCTTTGCTGGCAGCAAGGTTGTGGATGTGGATCTGGATGGGGAGCTTGATGTTGTGATAGCAACAGATGAGGGGTAAGTTGGTGAATAAATTGATTTTGTGAGTGCAATTATATGAAGGTTGAAAATTTATATTGTGATTGTTTACGACTTAGAGTTTAATTTGATGGAGAAATTGATGTTGTGATAGCAATAGACAGTTAATATTGTGATTGCATTATATTCGGGAAAGGGTGGGGGGGGGGGGGGGGGGGTGAGATGTTGGATAATTTAATTTTGTGATTACAACGTAAGATGATGGATAAATGTATTTTGTGATTGCAGTTATATGATGAGCTGTAAGTTAGTGGATAAATTATGTTCTGATTATAGTTATATTGTGTAGAGGGGTTAAGTTGTGATTGCAGTTATTTTGGGGGTAAGTTGGTGGATACAATTATATGTGAGGACCTTACCAAAGTTTAGCTATGTTTACCTAGTGGTCAAGGTCTTTTAAAAAAAAATCTGACTCCATGCACACATCTAGCCTACACCACTTTGGCTCTCACAGTGAAATAAGGTCAAGTAAAGGACCGCTTTCCTTGACTTCAGGTATAGTGGGTATATAGGGCTAGACCTATATTTTGTAAACTAATCTGCACTCACTAGGCGATGCGGTCAACATTCCGCCAGCTGCCTTTATTCCCAAGACTTTACCTGGTACCCATTTAGGGCTAGGTCCACCTAAAGCCAAGGTCATTTAAATAAGAAAAAAAGTCCAGCCTCAATTGGGACCTGAACCAACGACCTTCTGATCTGCAGGCAAGCGTCTAGCCACTACACCATTGCAGCTACATGGCCAAATATGCCCGGTAATAAATTGTGCATTGTATCATTTATTGTCCCTATGACTTCAGTTGACTTCAAGTATATTGTTATTATATTTATTGTGTCCCTATGACTTCAGTTGACTTTGAGTATATTGTTATTATATTTATTGTGTCCCTATGACTTCAGTTGACTTTGAGTATATTGTTATTATATTTATTGTGTCCATATGACTTCAGTTGACTTTGAGTATATTGTTATTATATTTATTGTGTCCCCATGACTTCAGTTGACTTTGAGTATATTGTTATTATATTTATTGTGTCCCTATGACTTCAGTTGACTTAGAGTATATTGTTATTATATTTATTGTGTCCCTATGACTTCAGTTGACTTGAGTATATTGTTATTATATTTATGTGTCCCTATGACTTCAGTTGACTTTGAGTATATTGTTATTATATTTATTGTGTCCCCATGACTTCAGTTGACTTTGAGTATATTGTTATTATATTTATTGTGTCCCTATGACTTCAGTTGACTTTGAGTATATTGTTATTATATTTATTGTGTCCATATGACTTCAGTTGACTTTGAGTATATTGTTATTATATTTATTGTGTCCCCATGACTTCAGTTGACTTTGAGTATATTGTTATTATATTTATTGTGTCCCTATGACTTCAGTTGACTTTGAGTATATTGTTATTATATTTATTGTGTCCCTATGACTTCAGTTGACTTTGAGTATATTGTTATTATATTTATTGTGTCCCCATGACTTCAGTTGACTTTGAGTATATTGTTATTATATTTATTGTGTCCCTATGACTTCAGTTGACTTTGAGTATATTGTTATTATATTTATTGTGTCCCTATGACTTCAGTTGACTTTGAGTATATTGTTATTATATTTATTATGTCCCTATGACTTCAGTTGACTTTGAGTATATTGTTATTATATTTATTGTGTCCCTATGACTTCAGTTGACTTTGAGTATATTGTTATTATATTTATTGTGTCCCCATGACTTCAGTTGACTTTGAGTATATTTTGTGACTGTTTTAGAAATGTGTTTGCCCTCCATGGTGAAAATGGGACATTGGTCCCAAATTATCCTTTTAAGACGGGACGCAGGATAGCGGGACATGTGTTGGTGACAAAGTTCAATGCTGTCAGAGGACCAGTTGATTTGGTAGGTGGATATTAGTATGTTATGTGTTATGTATGTTGGTTGGTATTATGTATGTCTGTGGGTTGGTATTATGTATAGATGGGTATGTGTGTGGCTTTTGTATGTATGTGGGTTGTGCATTATGTGTTTTGGTTTGTCTGTGGGCCGAGTTGTGGTGTGTCAGTGCTTCATTTTCCAGCATGCATCACTTCAATATCCATTATATCTCACTTTCCACTGTGTCTTAATTTCCGGTGTGCCTCAAATTCCAGTATGCTTGAATTTCCAGTATTTGAATTTCCAGTATTCAGTAATTTGCATTGTAACTTCATTTCCAGTGTCTAAATTTCTTATATGTCTCCTTTTCCATCGTATCCTAATTTCCACTATGCCTCAAATTCCAGTATTCTTGAATTTTCAGTATTCCATAATTTGCATTGTGCCTTCATTTCCAGTGTCTCAATTTCATATATGTCTCAGCTTCCACTGTGCCTCAGTTTCCACTATGCCTCAGTTTCCACTGTGCCTCAGTTTCCACTATGTCTCAGCTTCCACTGTGCCTCAGCTTCCACTGTGCCTCATTTTCCACTATTACTCAGTTTTTAATATGCTTCAGTTTTCAATGTCCCAGTTTCCAGTAAACCTCAGTTTCTAGTTTACATCCATTTCCAATATTTATTATTTTCAGTATGCCTCAGCCACCAACCAGCTTCAATGTAAGATATGCTTGACTGAAATTTTATAAGAACAACTGTTTACAATTCTTTCTATTGTTTTCCAGGTGTTTCTATCAGAGGATGGTGTTCTTCATATTTTGGCAGCCGATCACAGCTGCCTGTCTCAGGTAGCCCTGGCCGACTTTTCCCTGGTGGACATTCTATCTCAGAATGTGGTTTTGATGAGTCGTGGGGTTGAGCTAATCATAGCAACATCTGACGGCAGCCTTGTGTGTCTGGGCTCGGGGGTGGACACCCCACCGGAGGAACTGTATGAAGATGAGTTTGTTCTCATGGCCAGCCGGATGGCTTCTCCCAGTAGCCCGCTGGCCCAGAATGATTTTGTTTTTACTGTCAATAAGGTGAGTATTTGTTTCTGTTGAGAGTATTTGTACAGATATCTCTCATTGTAGATGTTAGTAAACAGACAAGAATGATTATGTTGTTCCCTGTGTCGCTTCTGGACTCTATTGTGAGGGAAACAAGGAACAAACCCACTGTTCCCAAACAAGCATGTCATAAGAGATGACTAGTTGGGGGTGTTTCCTTCAAGGTCAGGGTGTATCTGCCTGAGAGGTAAGGAACCAACAGTCTGCATACAAATAAGCCAAATCTATTAAATGGATGTGCACACAAAACTCGGTTTCTGAACAAGACTAAAGTGCAGAAGTGGATGAACAACCAGAACTTTCTGCCACAGGATGCCGAAAAGGAATCCTAATATGAACGTTGATGAATTCCTTCCATGTCAGAAGGATTGCACAGATAGAACAGAAGGATTGCACAGATAGAACAGAAGGATTGCACAGATAGAACAGAAGGATTGCACAGATAGAACATAAGGATTGCACACATAGAACAGAAGGATTGCACAGATAGAACAGAAGGATTGCACAGATAGAACAGAAGGATTGAACAGAAGGATTGCACAGATTGAACAGAAGGATTGCACAGATAGAACAGAAGGATAGCACAGATAGAACAGAAGGATTGCACAGATAGAACAGAAGGATAGCACAGATAGAACAGAAGGATTGCACAGATAGAACAGCAGGATTGCACAGATAAAACAGCAGGATTGCACAGATAGAACAGTAGGATTGCACAGATAGAACAGAAGGGTTGCACAGATAGAACAGAAGGATTGCACAGATAGAACAGAAGGATTGCACAGATAGAACAGAAGGATTGCACAGATAGAACAGAAGGATTGCACAGATAGAACAATAGGATTGCACAGATAGAACAAAAGGATTGCACAGATAGAACAATAGGATTGCACAGATAGAACAGAAGGATTGCACAGATAGAACAGAAGGATTGCACAGATAGAACAGAAGGATTGCACAGATAGAACAGTAGGATTGCACAGATAGAACAGTAGGATTGCACAGATAGAACAGTAGGATTGCACAGATAGAACAGTAGGATTACACAGATAGAACAGAAGGGAGGAATAGACTGCAAGCCCTTTGCGACTTATAATTAGGGAAGAGGACAGGGATGATTTTTTTTCATTTGTGAAAGTTTAGAAAGCTGTTTTATAATCAGTATGTTGTTATGATAGACGAAAGTTCACAAAGCTGTTTTATAATCAGTATGTTGTTATGATGGACAAAAGTACAAAAAGATTTGTTACAATTGACAGGTTACCGTTTTTATAGATGAAAGTATAAAAGTTGTTTTACAATCGACAGATTACAGTTTTGATAGATGGAAATACTAAAAGCCGGAAAGAAATTACTGGCAGCTCATTTGATCTGTATTTTTCTATCCATGGAGCCGAAAGAGGACAGAAATTTGATGTTCGGGTAAGTTTTTATTTTAGCTGCATTAGAAAAAGCTGTTGTTGTATTCATTTTGGTTTATACATTGCACTTTCAGGTCTTAGTCATTTGTCAATGTCCTAATTTCTTATATTTCTCCGTTTCCATTGAATCTTAATTTCCAGTATGCCTCAAATTCCAGTATTCTTGAATTTCCAGTGTTTCGTTATTTGCATTGTGCCTTCATTTGCAGTGTCTTAATTTCATATTTGCCTCAGTTTCCACCATGCCTCAGCTATGACTAAGCTACTGTATAACAGTAGTCTGTACAATCTGTTCTTTCTTAACTTGGTCACATGTGGTTGATCTACTGTATAACAGTAGTCTGTACAATCTGTTCTTTCTTAACTTGGTCACATGTGGTTGATCTACTGTATAACAGTAGTCTGTACAATCTGTTTTTTCTTAACTTGATCACATGTGGTTGATCTACTGTATAACAGTAGTCTGTACAATGTGTTTTTTCTTAACTTGGTCACATGTGATTGATCTACTGTATAACAGTAGTCTGTACAATCTGTTTTTTCTTAACTTGATCACATGTGATTGATCTAGTGTATAACAGTAGTCTGTACAATCTGTTTTTTCTTAACTTGGTCACATGTGGTTGATCTACTGTATAACAGTAGTCTGTACTGTCTGTTCTTTCTTAACTTGGTCACATGTGATTGATCTACTGTATAACAGTAGTCTGTACAATCTGTTCTTTCTTAACTTGATCACATGTGGTTGATCTAGTGTATAACAATAGTCTGTACTGTCTGTTCTTTCTTAACTTGGTCACATGTGATTGATCTACTGTATAACAGTAGTCTGTACAATGTGTTTTTTCTTAACTTGGTCACATGTGATTGATCTAGTGTATAACAATAGTCTGTACTATCTGTTTTTTCTTAACTTGGTCACATGTGGTTGATCTACTGTATAACAGTAAAAGTAAAGTAAAGTAAAGATCCCTTTTCACGCCTTTTGGCGCATCGGGCATATGGGCAGAGCGTCCCATATTTTTACAGACCATCAGCACTCTGTGGGTAATGTGGTCAGCATTACGCCGGCTGTCTTTACTTTCCTAGGACAACCCATCCTGGTACCCATTTGAGGCTGGGTCAACCTGCGACGTCCCATACCACGACAAAAATCCATGCAGCCTGCAGTGGGTTTCGATCACGGTATGCTGGCTTATGTGTCGGACTCGCAACGCCTTAGCCACGGACGCCGTCAGTATTATCTGTTTTTTCTTAGCTTGATCACATGTGGTTAATCTAGTGTATAACAGTAAGTAAAGTAAAGATCCCTTTTCACGCCTTTAGGCCCATCGGGCTTATGAGAAGAGCACCCATATTTTAAGAGACCAATTGGCACTCAGTGGGTAATGTGGTCAGCATTACGCCGGCTGTCTCTACTTCCCCAGGACAGCCATCCTGGTACCCATTTGAGGCTGGGTCAACCTGCGACGTCCCAGTTCTTTCTTAACTTGGTCACATGTGATTGATCTAGTGTATAACAGCAGTCGGTATTATCTGTTCTTTCTTAACTTGGTCACATGTGGTTGATCTACTGTATAACAGTAGTCTGTACTATCTGTTGTCTGTTAACTTGGTCAGATATGATTGAGCTACCATATAACAGTAGTCGGTACTATCTGTTGTCTGTTAACTTGGTCAGATATGATTGAGCTACCATATAACAATAGTCGGTGCTATCTGTTGTCTGTTAACTTGGTCAGATATGACTGAGCTACCATATAACAATACTCGGTGCTATCTGTTGTCTGTTAACTTGGTCAGATATGACTGAGCTACCATATAACAATACTCGGTGCTATCTGTTGTCTGTTAACTTGGTCAGATATGACTGAGCTACCATATAACAGTAGTTGGTGCTATCTGTTGTCTGTTAACTTGGTCAGATATGACTGAGCTACCATATAACAGTAGTTGGTGCTATCTGTTGTCTGTTAACTTGGTCAGATATGACTGAGCTACCATATAACAGTAGTCGGTGCTATCTGTTGTCTGTTAACTTGGTCAGATATGACTGAGCTACCATATAACAGTAGTCGGTGCTATCTGTTGTCTGTTAACTTGGTCAGATATGACTGAGCTACCATATAACAGTAGTTGGTGCTATCTGTTGTCTGTTAACTTGGTCAGATATGATTGAGCTACCATATAACAATAGTCGGTGCTATCTGTTGTCTGTTAACTTGGTCAGATATGACTGAGCTACCATATAACAGTAGTTGGTGCTATCTGTTGTCTGTTGGTCAGATATGACTGAGCTACCATATAACAGTAGTCGGTGCTATCTGTTGTCTGTTAACTTGGTCAGATATGACTGAGCTACCATATAACAGTAGTCGGTGCTATCTGTTGTCTGTTAACTTGGTCAGATATGATTGAGCTACCATATAACAGTAGTTGGTGCTATCTGTTGTCTGTTAACTTGGTCAGATATGACTGAGCTACCATATAACAGTAGTCGGTACTACCCGTTCCCTGTTAACACCAACACTTCCGGTCAAAATGGACACTTAGCACGGTCACTGTTTCTAGCCGTGGCACATTTTTTGCTCCTGTCGGACGGTGACCGTTGCATTTTTGCTCCATTTGTAGACTAAAAGGATATAGTTTTGTCGCCCAGCTTCTGAGTTGAGTTCATGGCGTGACACTGTGAGCTGCTATTTCAAATGGAATGTTTTTCGACTGTGACCAACGTGGTGGTGTGAATTGTAGATTCAGAAAATGGCGTGATGCCCGTTTTCGCAATATTGGTGGTGCCATTATGTAATTAAAATTGATCATGTGTGCAACTGTTGATCTGTTGGTGAATTTTGCTACCATCCATGATGAACTGCATTTATAATGTCAGACTGTTTGTGTTGGCACTTTGGATGGCTACGGTATACTTTTAATGCATGTGTATGCTAGTGCATATGCTGAGACAACAGTCTGTCAATCTTTCCACAAGGGACTGTGTTTTTGCCAACTATGGGGCGACCCGTTTGCTATGAAGCTGAAACTCAAATTATTAGATTACTATAGATAACACCAAATACTGGGCAGTGCTTTTGTATGTCTTTTGACATAAAGTTCTTGTTGTCAAGGGGGCTGATTCACCATCATTTCCTGAGTCATCTATTCATCCTGCCTCCTTTAGAGCATTAAGAACTTCAGCGCAGTCCATTGCCTTTCATTTGCCTGCCATGACCCTGCCAGCAAGCCAGTTCACTTATTCATTGAGAATGTCCTGACATAAAACTCAAACTGATTCTTTTTAGACAAGATTTCCTCAGAGATCCATCTTGTCTCAGTCTTCATAAGCATGCTCAAGGAATTAGTTAGTGTGCATCACATAGGAAAAACATCTGTCTCAGATTTAACTCTGTGTTTTCTCTTACCAGAAGTGATGTTAGCATCTTTCTGCCTTTCTTGTTGCCAGGGTATATTTATATATTTTTGTAAATGTTTTTATTTACTAAGGTAGACACATGCTTATTACCATTTTTTTAAACCTCATCTTCAAGGTCTACATGGGAAGTCAGGAGGTCCACCAACAAATGATGACCCAACTGGGATCCACCTGGCTCCAGATCCAGACCCCAGAACAACCAGGGCAGGCCCAGGTGACTGTAGTTCTCTATGACAAGCATGGTTTGGTTTCCAGCGACTCCGTTTATTTTAAGTAAGTAATTTTTGGCCTGTAGCACTATATAGTTTGAAACATCAATTCTCAACATAAGACATTAACAAATTTTTTTAACCTTTCGTCCCAGGAAGCTGCAGAACCGACACTTTCGATTGGTACTGTTTTCCTGTAAAAAGCTGCTTTCCCAGCTTACTTTTGAGACAGATTAATGAGTTGTCTTGGTAACAGAATTTATTAAATCTCTATGTGCGCAAACATTCATCGTGCCAGGGGATGACTAAATTTACTAAAAAAATAGCATCTATGGCAGTTTCGTTTAAAGAAAATGGCTTTATTTATAAAAATGTCGACCTCTTTTTCTTATTGGCTGCAGTTACTGGGTCACAGGGTCAAATGTCACACTATAATTAGTTTATGTGCCGCACGAGATTCAAACCAGTTAATTTTATGCTGCAGTATTTTGTGTTCATTACTTCCCTTACTCTTCATAGTTTTGTGTTCATATTTTAGATGATAAATTGATTTTATGTAGTGTATGTGTGACATGTGTGTGTGTGTGACATGTGTAAAATGGTTGATTTGCCTAGGAATATTTGTTCTGGGAATATCTGAGAAATACAAATTACAGGAGCTTGATTCGTTTTTTTTTTTTCTGTGTCACCAAGGTGAGAGGGTTAAAGCTTTTGAGACACTGCATTATCACAGGCTCTAAAGAATAAGCTTGATATAAAAGAGATCCAATAAATTCATTTTTAAATCTTTAAGTACGAGGCAGAGAGAAGGAGCTAGAGAAACAGCTGGAGCAGAGTAGGCAAATGTAGCAACTAGATGTTGTGTGAAGAGTTGAGCAAAATATATAATGCAAAGTTGTTTGCTGCTAAATGAGTTAAAGACAATGGAGAAAATGGACATCAGAGAATTTGGGCAGTTTAAGGCTGGGCTGAAGACGGCTTCTGAGAACAGTAGACGGTGACAGGACATGATCAGATAACTCTGACTCATCTACAAAATAAGTGGTATTGTCCTCTTCTCGTGTGTCTCAGCTTATCTCTTCTGCAAGCATCGCTTCAGAGGTCCCAAGTAGTTAGCAATCTTTGGATATTTTCTCCTGGGTCTGCGGAAGTGGTGGAAACTGAACAGGCACACAGGTTGGCCAGTTCTGCTCAAACGGGTTGTGAATCTATGCATGACAAGCTAGATAGTGTTAAGGCCCTTTAGGAACAAGTGAACAATCTGGAGGCACAAATAGATCATTATGATATGAAGAGAATGGTACATCCTGGTGTGGGTTTGGGGTCCCTATTATGGGGAAAACATGACTAGACTCATTGCCTCCCTCACAAGCATGTCGTAAGAGTCGACTAACAGCTTCCTTCGAAGTGGGAGTGCATCTGCCTGAGCTGGGAAGTGACCAGGGGATCTGGTTGACACTCTGCAGTCAGAGGAAAGGCAAGAAGGAACAAAGGAATCGAACCAACAAACTTTATTTTCCAAGGGTAACAAATTGGGCACGCAGGCCCGTCTGACATTCGGCCCTTCTAAGCACTCATTTTTCAGAGTACCAATACAATGCCTGTTATCAATAATGCATGTTATGGAAATATTAAAGAAAAATGCATTATGGAACAATGCATACACACATCATGTGTATACAATCTTACACACTCACACACACATGTCTATATATTCTTACATTCTCATACATGCACATTCATATACAGACATACCTAATACATACATACACGCACAAACAGAAAAGACACACATAACACATATTGACATACATCCACACACACATTCATTCCATACATACACACCTACACAGTATGCAGGCATACACACACATACAATCACGTGTACAGACACCCACATACGCCCACAACCACACATTTACACTCACATGCATACATACATACATACATACATACACACATCTATACACACACCTACATCTTTACACACATACATACATAATTGCATACATACCTAAATACACACACATACACCCACATACTTACACTCATCACATGCATACATAAATACATACATACACACACACACCCACACACACACACACACCCCCACACCCACACACACACACATACATACATACATACATACATACATACATACATACATACATACATACATACATACATACATACATACATACATACATACATACATACATACATACATACATACATACATACATACATACATACATACATACATACATACATACATACATACATACATACACACACATACATACACACATCTTTACATACACCTACACCTTTACACACATACATACATACATACTTGCATACATACCTAAATACACACACATACAACCACATACTTACACTGCTACAATTGCATACAAACATCCACATACATGCATACATACACACATACATACACCCACATACATGTCCACACACATTACATGCATACACACACATATACAATCACCCATACAGATACCCACATACAAACATACATCTATACATACACCTACATCTTTACACACATACATACATACTTGCATACATACCTAAATACACATAAATACACACACATACTTACATAGCTACAAATGCATACATACATCCACCAACATGCATACATACACACATAAATACATGCATACATACATTCTTGCATACATTATATACACACACACCCACAATCGTAACGTAAGGTTGTATTATGAGACCACTACTAGTGCCATCAGAGTTGGAACTACTTGCTGGTTGCTGAAGATGAGGACAGAGCACATATGGGAATGTCTTACTACATTTCTTGATTTCACTGTTTTTTTTCTCTCTCCAGATCAAGATTCTTCTTCTTCATCTTTCCAGATCCTTGAGTTTCATTGCTGCAGATATTACCCACCTCTATTCATCTCCATTCAACTCATGCTTTTGTGTTCGAAAGATGGTTGACTGGAAGGGCCCAATTTGTGACCCTTTGAAAATAAAGTTTGTTCGTTAGTTCGTTACACGTTATTCTCGGTCTGCCTCATGTTCTACTCCCATTCAACATTTTTGTGTACACAATTGTTTATTTGTTGTCTGTCATTCTCTCTATATGCTGCAACCATTCATTAGCCCTCTTTATGCTCGTAAAAAAAAATTAAAAAAAGTTGTATGTCTTTTACATGACATTTCAGAACCAACCACAGCATTCTCTTTTTGCTGTTTGTGAATTCACTAGGCAAATTTTACATTCAGTAGTTTTTGCTTGAATCATTACAAAAATCCACTGTGTGTGGAGTCATCTTTATTTTCGTTTTGGGACACATGGATGTCAATGCAACTGAACAAGCTGATATGTTGTCTGGATACATCATGACTACTGACGGTCAACCTATGGATCATGCTGATATTGTTAACACCCTGCAGGAACTGGGAAGGTCGGAGGACTTTATGGGCAGTAAATCCACATCACTCACCAGAATGATATAGACTTGGGAGTTAAGATCAGCATAGGAATAAAAACGAGACACACACCAGACACATCAGAGGTCTTGCTAATCAACATAAAACTGGTACTAATAGCCACAGGGCGTTGGGGTTCATACTGAGAGGAGAATCTGAGCACCTATAGATATGTCCAGAGTGCAATGATGGTAACCCAACTAACTAACATTCAGTAGTTTGCCATTGCTTTCTGACTGGTCGACTCCTTGATACCACTGATGAAGCCAGCTCAAGGTGTTCTGCTGGTAAATCAGCTGGGATCGAATCCAGCACCACAGACTTATGAAGCATGTTCACAGTACCTAAGCCACTGATGCCGACCAGTAATTGGTGATTACTTGAACTGTTTATGAGTAGATCATGTTTAACCAACCAGATGTGTTTCGTTTAACTTAGTTCTTTGTTGAACTCTCATCCTCAGGTTTAACCAGCTGATACTACTTGACCTTCAGTGGCTAGTCCTTGCCCCTTTCATCGCCATGGTGATCTTGTTGCTAGTCAACCACGGGTTTCCCGCCAAAGATTTACTGCCGGTTACCTTTCCTTTTAAATCAAAGTGATGTCGTTATTTGGATATATCAAAGTAGTCAGAATTAACTCAACGATGCTGGCAGTGGAAGTATTTAAAATGAAAATGGAAACACCAAAATGCAAAGGAAGACCAAGAACAAGAGGATTGAAGAAGTCACTGACAACCTGCTGCTTCACAACATCACCACATACCAACCACCCCCTAACTCAGTTATCAACTGTATAACTGTGATGTGCAGCAGCACAAAACAGATTCTGGCAAACGAAGAAGAACACAGTAGTAACACAATGTTCTTGTGGCTTTTGGAGAGTCACCTGTGAAAAGGATTTAGACCTCACCGTATAATCTTCTGAATGATAGCTCCCTGTTTGGGTTCAAGGGCCCTATTATGGGGAAAACAAGAATAGACCCAATGCCCTCTCAACAAGCATGGCCTAAAAGTCAACTAATTATGGGTGTTTCCTTCGAAGTCCAGGTGCATCTGTCTAGGAGGTAAGGAACCAACAGCCTGCACACAAATAAGCCAGATCTGTAATTAGGCCATGCTTGTTCTGGAGATGGAAAAATAAAAACATTATTCATTAATTCATTATTCTGTTGTATCATATTACTTTACATAGGGTTTGCATTCTGTCCAGTGCATTTTATTCAATATCATGTAAGCAGTTCAGTCCGGCACTCTAGCCACTATCAGCAGTGTATGGTGTTCAGTCCGGCACTCTAGCCACTATCAGCAGTGTATGGGGTTCAGTCCGGCACTCTAGCCACTATCAGCAGTGTCATCAAAGACTTTTCCTTGGCATCCCTGTTTCCTTAATCCACGTTATCCGTTTCAATGTCTGTTTTATAGTTAATTGTAGGTTTTTAAAACTGCTTTTATATTGATGTATGTTGTTTTTATGTGGCTGATTGTAATATTAGTTATGAATTTTATTCTATCCTTCTGTGTGTTTTCGTGGCAAAGTGGTCTAACCATTTGCCTCACTCTTAAGGTTGTGGGTTCGTATCACTGCTGCATCTTTCAGTTCATGAATACAGTTTTTACGGAAATTCATGGGGATCATCACCAGAACTATGGTGTTCATGCTTTGTGCAGTGCCCTCGACAGATGGCTAGCTGTTTTGCAGATAGAGGCCGAGCCATAATGGGATAAAACCCAGGGCAATGAGTTTGATCCTCTCGACCCCAAAAAAAACTTGTATGATTTATTTTCTTGTCGCATGGTTAAAAATAGGTTTTACAAACAATGGAGTTTCGGACTCACTGCGCTGTGAATTAGGAACACTATAATGTCATAAAACAGCTATCTAAGCTTTGTAATCGGATTTAATCTAACAACAATGGATGCAGATGATATCACAGCAGTTAATCTTATGGCACAGAATGCTGAAGAAGAAGATGATGTGTTTTCCTACAGTAATATTTGATGTGATGTTTTTATATCTCTGTTGCATTATTATATGTGGGAGTCGCTGTGGCATAGCGGCTGGACGATCGTGTGCGGATCTTAAGGTCGTGGGTTCGCTCCCTGGTGGAGCTGGACTTTTTTTTTTAAATGACCTCGACTCCCAGGTTGACCCAGCCTTGAGTGGGTACTGGGCGCAGTCCAGGAAAGTAAAGGCGGCCGTCGTGATGCTGACCACATAACCCATCTTGTACCGATTGGTCTATAAAAAAAATACATCTAGTCCTATAGGCCTAAAGACGTAGAAAAAGGACGTTTTCTTTTTATTTTAAACTTATTTTTATATTGTTTGTTCCTATGTGGGTTCCAGGGCCTCATTTTTAGAGAAACAGTAACAGACCCACTGCCTGATGACAAATATGTTGTAAAAGATAGCTAAATAAAGGGTTTGCTGAAATCATGTATGTTGCACCAATGTCAAAGATGTCGCTGTCTAGCTGTAAGCCACAACCAAATGCACCAGCCACCCTTTTAACCCCGTCATCCTGCAGAAGTCCTTTTTCACTGAATGTAGTGTTTTTTTAAGATATGGTGTCTTGGCGCAGTGACCTGTATGCCCGTATACCAGATCTGGTACTGGTTGCAACAGCACAGGATGTAGACATGGCGGATATACAATTGTTCACACACAAAAATATACATATTTTTCTAGGATGCAAACAATGGATTTTTTTCATCATAATCTAATAAGGATTATACTTTCTGATCCTGTCACTTTGTTCTATGTAGCTGTGTCTACGTAACAGTTTTTATAGGCAAAGAAAAGGAAAGCAGTAAATTCTTTGTTCTGTTTTCATTCACGAATTACTTCCCTTCTTTTAAAAATACCTTTGCGTGTTAAAGTGACTTAAAAAGATAAAAAGTAACTTTTTTGGTTTTTATGGCTTGATGGCCATGATGTCGCAGTAGCTGTTAATGCTTGCTTGTCAGCTTGGTGGTCATAGGTTTAAACCTATGGATTTTTATAAGAACTGTTGATGAAAACTCCAGATTTCTTCTGCTTTTGCTGTTCCTCTAGTTTTTTAGTGTCAGACAATTAAAAGGATGCATTTTTAAAAATGCAATTTTAAAAAAAAAAGTTTTTTTTCAACAGATCCGTACACTGTGAAAGAGTTAATGACAAACACAAGAGAAGATCTTTATTGTATGTTTTTTTACAAGGTACATTATAAGTTTATGATGTGTTGTTTTTATAATAATGTTTTATGTGGTGTTTTAGTATATGTGCGTTATGTTATTAAGTAGGATTTGTATGTTGGGTGAGTTTTCTGGTAGACAGTTGTCGTTCACTCACCAATCATTGTCACATTCCAGGTGTCATTTCATGTTATTAGTAAATTTAGACACTATATGTGTTGATGAGAGAAAAGGTAACAGGAGAGATAGAGAAAATCATGAAAGATAAACATTATTTAAGAGATAGAATGATACGAGAGATAAAGCTAGAGATAATGGTCTGAGAGATAGAGATAATGAAATAACAGATAGAGACAGGGAGATTGGTGTAAGAGAGAGAATAATATGAGAGACAGAATAATATAAGAGAATGAACTAAGAGAGAATGTTGAGAGACAGGAGAAAAATGATGAAAAACATAGAAGTTATACCAAATAAAACTAATACTGGAACACTCCCTTATACCTTGTCTTTTTTTTAAGTAGGATTTTTACGTATTTCACTAGAAAATTAATTCAGTTTTTGTGTCCTATTATAATGTTGACGTTACTTTGTTAATTTACCTGTCGTCTTCATTGAACATCAGACTTTACTATTTCTCTTTGTCTACCTGTAGATGTAAATCTTTTGTAAAGCACCTAATGAAATACAAGGAAATGTGCCTCAATAAATTGTGCAATGTTTTCTTTGTGTCAGGATGATTTCATCATCATAATTGATTTTTACTTCTGCTGTTAAGTGTTGTGGGGAGGAACAATTTACGATCCATTGCTTGATGGGCAGCAATGACTATTGTTATTCTGGTGTAGATGTAGCAGCTCTCTAATGTCATCAGTCCATCTTCTCCTAGGGCTGCCTCTTGCTTTCACTTCAGATCTTTTCGTGTGTAGCGCCTGCGTTTGTGGTTATTCTGGCTGCATTCTTACTAGATGACCAAATCATTTGATCATTTGTTTCTTACTGAATGTGCTGCATGTTTTTGTTCCTACAGTCTGTCTGATAACATCATTTCTAACTTTGTCTCGGATGCTCAAGTTGGCGGCTGTTCTCAGGAATTTCATTTCAGTTCACTGCACCCCATTAGGGTTCAGGGGCCTTATTTCAGGGTACCAGAAAAATGGACCCAGCACCCAACAAGCGTGTTGTAGGAGGTGACTCATTCAGTGGGTTTTTTTTCCTTTGAAGATGCATTTGTCTGAGAGGCAAAGATCCAACAATCTGCAGCCAGATAAGGCAGATCTGTAGAACAACCAGTACTTTGCGGTGGAGTTTACAGCTGGTGAACATAAACAAGAAGAAAAGTTTCTGTCTGGAAAAACATTGTTTTGAATATCTTATCTTTTGTTTGGTTCTAAATCTGGCAAGTCTTACACTTACACAAGACTGTTTACCACATCTGACAGCACAGTGTATCAAGTTAAATCTTGTGTAGCCATTATAATTTTAACCTTTCAGGAAATGGAACAGGATATATGGAACTAGCCCTGTTGGATTAACATCAGGTTGCAACTCTTTGGGTCACAACAGTGGCAGCTCAAAGGAGAGCAACAGACAAGTCTTATAAAGTTTAATCCAGCAACAGAGAAGTCTTAGAAAGTTTGATCCTGCAACAGAGGTCTTACTATGTTTAATCCTGCAACAGAGGTCTTACTATGTTTAATCCTGCAACAGAGAAGTCTTACTATGTTTAATTCAGCAACAGAGAAGTCTTACTATGTTTAATCCTGCAACAGAGAAGTCTTACTATGTTTAATTCAGCAACAGAGAAGTCTTACAAAGTTTAATCTAGCAACAGAGAAGTTTTACCATGTTTAATCCAGCAACAGACAAGTCTTACAAAGTTTAATCCTGCAACAGAGAAGTCTTACTATGTTTAATCCAGCAACAGAGAAGTCTTACTATGTTTAATCCTGCAACAGAGGTCTTACTATGTTTAATCCAGCAACAGAGAAGTCTTACTATGTTTAATCCTGCAACAGAGAAGTCTTACTATGTTTAATCCAGCAACAGAGAAGTCTTACTATGTTTAATCCAGCAACAGAGAAGTCTTACTATGTTTAATCCTGCAACAGAGAAGTCTTACTATGTTTAATCCAGCAACAGAGAAGTCTTACAAAGTTTAATCCAGCAACAGAGAAGTCTTACAATGTTTAATCCAGCAACAGAGAAGTCTTACTATGTAAGTAAGTAAGTAAGACTTTCCAGTGTCTCTGATATTTCTGCGGTCCATATTCTGCATGGCTGACCTCTGGCTCTGTTTTTATTCTATCTGTATAACATTGCTCTCTTTGGTGCCCTGTCTGATGCCAGTCTTATTACGTGGCCAAACCATATGTGATTTGTTGTCTACCTATAAAGTTCAGTATTAGTTCTGTGCCGACTCTCCTCCTGATATCGTTCCTGAGTCCAGGATCTTTCCTGGTTACACCTTGGTAGGTTATATAGAATTTTGAATTAAGAATTGACATCACAGCACTCGGGACACCCCCACAAGCGCTTCATCAAGCGAAGAGTTCCAATTCCGATGGCACCAGTAACTGTCTGATCGTATATCCGTCTCGCCCCTCCCTTAAGTGTTGAGCGTCGGCCAGATTCCCTAGCAGGTTATGTAAACATTCAATTTCTGTCATGGCTATTTTCCTTCTGTCATCGACATCACAGCATTCAGGACATTCCCATAAGCGCTACGTTCCAATCTTCAGCAGAAAGTGCAGAGTTTCAAAATCTGAGCATATTATCATAAATTAAGTCTCATCTGTCTCTTAAACGTTAATCCTCGGACAGATCTCCTGGGTCACTCCTTACAGCATCATTCTCCTCAGACTGTGATGGTCTATCCACGACCGGCTCCAGCTGATGGGCCGTGCTGCTGACGTCACCGGGTCGGGCTAACTATGCGTTAACACAGCGGTTCTCAAACAAGAAATAAACTATTTTTGACAATGGCGAAGGAAGGACAACCTAAATTTAAACTCATAAGTATCTACAAGCCTTCTTTAATAATTTCAAAATGTTTAGCTGACTTTTTTTTTTTAAATTACTGCCGCAGCACCCTTGGTATACGCTCACAGCACCCCATGGTGCCTCGGCACCCAGTTTGAGAACTGCTGTGTTAACACATTAGTAGCCCAACACAATGACGTCAGCAGCAAGGCCCGTCAGCTGCAGCCGGTCATGGTCTATCTGTGCCTCCACGCAGTTCACTCGCCCCCAGTGGGCCCTTACACTTATCTGATCATGCATCAGTTCACTACCAAGTTGTGCAGAACCAGCCAGCTAGTCTGCCTGATCATTTCTCAGTACACCAGCATTCCCTAGAGAAAATATCCAAAGAACGCTAACCGCCCACGACCTCTGAAGCGGTACTTGCCACTCTTCACAGAGCATAAATGTCTCTACCATTGTCAACATTTACGACAATATCTGATTCTCAAGCCAGCGGAAGGCTGCAGTGACCGCCTCCACCTCCATTCTTAAACTAGATATTATGGTGTAATATGCCAGACTTTGAATTAATTAAAAGCTATCGTCGCCACCACTAGGGAGATCTCTACACGTGATCCGCGCGAGTTACCATCTGCGTGAGATGAAAAGAACACAGACAAAGAAACAATGGCGAAGTTACACGGCGGTGCATTTGTTACACGCGCGAGAAAATCAATACCAGGTAGCAGATGTATCGGTGAGCCTGTGGGAAAGATGGCGCTCATGAGACGCTGTTGTTGTTGGGAACTTCGTACCGCCACATTCTCCAATTTGATCACAATAACGGTGAGTAATTTTGTAGCAGCAATTTGTTTTCGCATAAATAATAACCGCTTCAACCTTCTGAATGATAACTGGAATTCAGTACAGTAGCAGCAGTGGTATTAGGGGTGGTGGTGGCGATAATAGTGGTAGTGGTGTTGGTGATAATAGTAGTAGTAGTGGTAGTTACAGTGGTGGTGATAATAGTAGTAGTAGTGGTAGTTACAGTGGTGGTGATAATACTAGTAGTAGTGGTAGTTACAGTGGTGGTGATAATAGTAGTAGTAGTGGTAGTTATAGTAGTAGTGATAATTGTAGTAATAGTCGTAGTAGCAGTAGTGATAATAGTAGTAGAAGAAGTACAGTAGTAGTGGTAGTTATAGTAGTAGTGATAATTTTAGTATTATTCGTAGTAGTAGTAGTGATAATAATAAATAGTATCAGTCGTAGTAGCAGTAGTGATAATAGTAATAGTTATATTAGTAGTAGAAGTAGTACAGTCGTAGTAATGATAGTTATAGTAGTAGTAATAATTGTAGTATTATTCGTAGTAGCAGTAGTACTAGTGATAATACTATAGTAGTAGTGATATTAGTAGTAGGAGGTATAACGTGGAAGAGAAGAAGAAGAAGTAGTAGGGCAGTAGTAGTGGTATAATAAAACGTCGTTAACAAAAATGACAAAGTGCCGAAAAGTCCGGAGTTCGTGTTTAAGAAATGCGTGGTAACGGGGAACTAATACTCCTGCTGTGCCCGGCTCGCTAGCTCAGTTGGTTAAACCTGACTGCGCAGCGACTGGGTGACGAACTCCTCGTGGTCCGGGTTCACGCCCAGAGGTAGGCAGAAAAGCCATATTTATCCCAGATTTACAATATCTATCATGGAATCAAAGCCGAAGGGTTGCGATATCCATAGTGCAGAGCCTAAGAGTTAACAACTCGTGGTTTCTGGATATTTAAAAACTATATGTTCCTGCTGTTAGCATTTTTCTTGTTAAAGTGAGAGGATCGACTTCATCGCACAGATATTATCCCATAAGGCCTAGTCTCTTCCCGCAGACCAGCTAGCAGCCTGCCGAGAGTGTCGCACAGAGCACGGCCTCCCTAGCTCCTTGGATATCTCTGTAAAAATTGCACTCGTGAACTGAACGGTGCCGCCGTGAAACGACCCCACGACCTTCAGATCGCGAGGCAAACCACTTCGCCACAGAGACTCCTTTGTGGTGTCATGTTCGCGTTAACCGACTGTTTGTCTTAGGTGAGTTCTTGTTCACGAGGGCAGTGGCTACATAGATAACATGCTGTTAAATCAGCAGAGTTATGATTGACACATATAGTGCCTATTGTATTTCCGATGTCTTCTTCTTCTGCTCTCTAACTGCCAGTAGAGCATAGGCCCTCAACCTGCTCACGCCAAGTCATTCTACCCATCGCTATCGCGTGCATCTCACTCTATGCCACCTCCCCCAACCCCCCCCCCCCCCCCTTTTTTTTTTCAAAACTATACTCTCTAACTCCCTTCTCCGTGTGTGTGTGCACGCGCGCGCGCAAATACATTTTAGTTATGCTGCTCTCACTTTTTCGCAACGTTTGTCCTATCCAGCGCCAGCGTCTTTTCTTCATCTCTTGATTCACAGGAATTTGCTTATAACTTACACAAAGCACTGCAATAGTGATTTTATCATACCACCGAATTCCTTCTATTTGGCGCAGGCACCAGAATGAATGTTTGTAATTTATTTATAATATTTTAACGATACTACGCTGGTCTTCGGAAAGAAAGGTTTTACAAAATAAAAATGTATTTAATTAAAATAGAACCTTATCTCTTAATCACCCTATCTCGAGGAGTCCGAAATTTCGTGAGGTGTTCCCAGGAAGTCTTATAATATAGGTGTTTCAGGGTGTGAAATTAATACCAACTAACACTAATCGCAACCCTAACCCCCCTAAAATATTCTACATTCCCGGGAACTCGATACGAAATCTCGGAGTCCCCGAGATAGGGTAAACAAAAAATAAAATGACCAACTAATATCAAATTCTACAGCGAGAGCAATAATGCTAAGTCGCTAAATTCAAAAATCGGCATGTATCGTTCGGTTCAGCGGTGCAGTTTTTAAGCATATTCCCTGAGATCGTCATCAGAGCCATAGAGTTGGTGCTTTGTTTGATACTCTCTTCAGGTGTCGGGCAAAATAAGCCAGCGGGAGCCGCCGTGGTCCAGATGCTAGACGCTCGCCTACGGATTGGAAGGTCGTGGGTTCGGTTCCTAACTTTTTTTCCAAACATCACCTTGGATCCCTGTTCGATCCAGCCTTTAGTGGATACCAGGTACAGTCATCGGAAGTAAACGCGGTCGGTTTGATGCTGACCACATCAGCCACAAAGTGCCGTTTGGCCTATAAAATATAGATCTAACCGTATAGGCCCCATACGTCTGAAAGGCGTGAAAAAACGTATTTTACTTGTTTACTTTATACTAAGCCAGTGACTCAAATAGAGAGCTGGGAAACCTAGCAGGGGAAACGCTAGAAACCGCGTTCAGCCGTATGAAACCGTTTTTATATTTGTTACGATGTAACCCCTAGTTTACTATGTCTGGGTTGGTGTCACTGGCTCTAGAAGCGGCAATCGTGTGTTGGAAGCAGAAAACATAACAAGCTAATATTTGATTACAGGTTAATTTCGTAACCGTTTTGTGGGAGTTTTGACATGTTAATTCTATAGACTGTGGTCATAGAGAGGTGTGGTGGTGGTGGTGGGGGGGGGGGGGGGGGGGGGTCAAAGAAAGAAAGAAAACTTCAGTTGTAAGATGTTTAGCAGAGATTTTTAACACTGAAATGTCCATTGGGTCATAGGCGACCCAACCTAAAAAGTCGCTAGAAAGTTCAGCACAATTTATTAACATTGACAAATTATGTCCATAAAGACACCGTGTGGCATGCGAGGGACATAAGAACGTTAACTTTAACGTAATTCAACAAATCTGTGCCATTTAAGTCCCTTTAGTTTCTGGAAAATGAGGCAGACAGACCTTTGGTAATGTGGATACAAGATACTGCAGATGCACTGGCGTTGAAAGAAATCACACATGGCTAGAGAGGGGCATCAGGGGCGTGCCGAAACGAGAGAGACGATTAGAGGGCTTACCGCTTGATGGAAATGCGATATCCGCCCTTTTGGACCCTACACTTCCGATTTGAGTAAATCCACGATCAGTATTTTTTACGTCATGCTTGTTGGGGAGGGAAGGGGGCAGTGTGTTTACAATAACCCCTCCCCCCTTTCCCAAAACAGCACCCATGGGGCAGTAGTATTCATTGGCAACGGTTACATGTGTTTCACATTTCAGATTCTTGCAGGCGGGGCCTTGCTGCTGCGTTTGTTGGACTTCGGAGCGATCCTGTCTCCAGATTTTGAAATCAACCAAAGTTTTAAAACTCCCTGGAAGTCTCATCAGTGGCAAGGTTATTGTTTTTGATGTTCTAGCTGTTAATGTTATTGCTAACATGTTGTTGCAACTATCTGCAGGTATTGTTGCAGTTGTCTGCAGGTTTAGTTGCACCTGTCTGCAGGTGTTGTTGCAATTGTCTGCGTGTGTTGTTAAAATTGTCTGTAGGCTGGTTGCAATTGTTGCAGTTGTCTGTGGGTGTTGTTGCAATTGTCTGCAGGTGTTGTTACAGTTGTCTGTAGGTTGGTTGCAATTGTTGTTGCAGTTGTCTGCAGGTGTTGTTACAGTTGTCTGTAGGCTGGTTGCAAATGTTGCAGTTGTCTGTGGGTGTTGTTACAGTTGTCTGTGGGTGTTGTTACAGTTGTTTGTCTGTGGGTGTTGTTGCAGTTGTTGTTACAGTTGTCTGTGGGTGTTGTTACAGTTGTCTGTGGGTGTTGTTACAGTTGTCTGTGGGCTGGTTGCAAATGTTACAGTTGTCTGGGGGTGTTGTTACAGTTGTCTGTGGGCTGGTTGCAAATGTTACAGTTGTCTGTGGGTGTTGTTACAGTTGTCTGTGGGCTGGTTGCAAATGTTACAGTTGTCTGTGGGTGTTGTTGCAGTTGTCTGTGGGTGTTGTTGCAGTTGTTGTTACAGTTGTCTGTGGGTGTTGTTACAGTTGTCTGTGTGTGTTGTTGCAGTTGTCTGCAGGTGTTGTTGCAGTTGTCTGTAGGTGTTGTTACAGTTGTCTGTGGGTGTTGTTGCAGTTGTCTGTAGGTGTTGTTACAGTTGTCTGTGTGTGTTGTTACAGTTGTCTGTGGGTGTTGTTGCAGTTGTCTGTGGGTGTTGTTGCAGTTGTCTGTGGGTGTTGTTACAGTTGTCTGTGGGTGTTGTTGCAGTTGTCTGTGGGTGTTGTTACAGTTGTCTGTGGGTGTTGTTACAGTTGTCTGTGGGTGTTGTTACAGTTGTCTGTGGTGTTGTTACAGTTGTCTGCAGGTGTTGTTACAGTTGTCTGTGGGTGTTGTTACAGTTGTCTGTGGGTGTTGTTACAGTTGTCTGTGGGTGTTGTTACAGTTGTCTGTGGGTGTTGTTGCAGTTGTCTGCAGGTGTTGTTACAGTTGTCTGTGGGTGTTGTTACAGTTGTCTGTGGGTGTTGTTACAGTTGTCTGTGGTTAGTGTTTGTGTTGCAGTTGTCTGTTTGTTGCAGTTGTCTGCAGTGTTGTTACAGTTGTCTGTGGGTGTTGTTGTCAGTTTGCAGTTGTCTGTGGGTGTTGTTGCAGTTGTCTGTGGGTGTGTTGTCTTGCAGTTGTCTGTGGTGTTTGCAGTTGTCTGTAGGTGTTGTTGCAGGTTTGTTGTTTGTTACAGTTGTTTGTGGGTGTTGTTACAGTTGTCTGTGGGTGTTGTTACAGTTGTCTGTGGGTGTTGTTGCAGTTGTCTGCAGGTGTTGTTGCAGTTGTCTGCAGGTGTTGTTACAGTTGTCTGTGGGTGTTGTTACAGTTGTCTGTGGGTGTTGTTACAGTTGTCTGTGGGTGTTGTTGCAGTTGTCTGCAGGTGTTGTTGCAGTTGTCTGTGGGGTTACAGTTGTGTTGTTGTTACAGTTGTCTGTGGTGTTGTTACAGTTGTCTGTGGGTGTTGTTGCAGTTGTCCGTGGGTGTTGTTACAGTTGTCTGCAGGGCAGTTGTCTTGTGCAGTTGTTACAGTTGTCTGCAGGTGTTGTCCGTGGGTGTTGTTACAGTTGTCTGTGGGTGTTGTTACAGTTGTCTGTGGGTGTTGTTACAGTTGTCTGTGGGTGTTGTTGCAGTTGTCCGTGGGTGTTGTTACAGTTGTCTGTGGGTGTTGTTGCAGTTGTCTGTGGGTGTTGTTGCAGTTGTCTGTGGGTGTTGTTGCAGTTGTCTGTGGGTGTTGTTACAGTTGTCTGTGGGTGTTGTTGCAGTTGTCCATGGGTGTTGTTACAGTTGTCTGTGGGTGTTGTTATAGTTGTCTGTGGGTGTTGTTGCAGTTGTCTGTAGGCTGGTTGCAAATGTTACAGTTGTCTGTGGGTGTTGTTACAGTTGTCTGTGGGTGTTGTTACAGTTGTCTGTAGGCTGGTTGCAAATGTTACAGTTGTCTGTGGGTGTTGTTAGTTGTCTGTGGGTGTTGTTGCAGTTGTCTGTGGGTGTTGTTGCAGTTGTCTGCAGGTGTTGTTACAGTTGTCTGTGGGTGTTGTTGCAGTTGTCTGTAGGTGTTGTTGCAGTTGTCTGCAGGTATTGTTGCAGTTGTCTGTGGGTGTTGTTACAGTTGTCTGCAGGTGTTGTTGCAGCTGTCTGCAGGTGTTGTTGCAGTTGTCTGTAGGTGTTGTTGCAGTTGTCTGTGGGTGTTGTTGCAGTTGTCTGTAGGTGTTGTTGCAGTTTTCTGCAGGTATTGTTGCAGTTGTCTGCGGGTGTTGTTGCAGTTGTCTGTGAGTGTTGTTGCAGTTGTCTGCATGTGTTGTTGCAGTTGTCTGTGGGTGTTGTTGCAGTTGTCTGCAGGTGTTGTTACAGTTGTCTGTGGGTTTTGTTGCAATTGTTGTTGCAGTTGCCTGTGGGTGTTGTTGCAATTGTCTGTAGGTGTTGTTACAGTTGTCTGTAGGTTGGTTGCAGTTGTTTGTAGGTATTGTTGCAGTTGTTGCTACAGTTGTCTGCATTTGTTGTTGCAATTGTCTGCAGGTGTTGTTGTAATTGTCTCTAGTTGGTGTTGCAGTTGTTATTGTAATTGTATGTAGGTTTTGTTGCGGTTGTCTGTAGGAGTTATTATTAGCTATTATTCTTGCAGTTACTGATGCACTAACATTCTTGCAGTTACTATTCTGTTACCATTCTTGCAGTTCATATGGGCTTTTGTTCTTATTCTTACTATTATATTATCATTCTTGAGGTCGCTATTGACTTATCGGTCTTGTTGTTACTGTTATGTCATCATTCTTTTAGTTGCTACTGAGTTATCATTCTTGTTATGTTTTCCCTATTGTTACTTTTATGTTACTGTTCTTGTTGTTACTACTGGGTCATTGCTGCTGTAACTGGGTGTGACTGCTATCAGAAATGTTAGTCACACAAAATGCTATTACTGTCATCTGGGCTTTGTGATATTGCTGACCTCTGAATTTTTTTTGTTTTTTGTCACCTTAATTTTGTGATTTTATTACTTTGATATTTGGGATGACAAACAAAAACACTGAAGAAACAAGGACATTCATGAAATACAACTGATACAGAGGAAGACCATGCAGAATATGGACAGAGCGCAGAGAAGATACTTTCCTCTCCCTCCCCAAAACTTTATTTAAGTATCACAGGAAAGTGAAGAAGAAAATAAATAAGAATGATGTGAGATGTTGTCAAGAAAAAGAATAAGAATGATGTGAGATGTTGTCAAGAAAAAGAATAAGAATGATGTGAGATGTTGTCAAGAAAAAGAATAAGAATGATGTGAGATGTTGTCAAGAAAAAGAATAAGAATGATGTGAGATGTTGCCAAGAGAAAAAGAATAAGAATGATGTGAGATGTTGTCAAGAAAAAGAATAAGAATGATGTGAGATGTTGTCAAGAAAAAGAATAAGAATGATGTGAGATGTTGTCAAGAAAAAGAATAAGAATGATGTGAGATGTTGTCAAGAAAAAGAATAAGAATGATGTGAGATGTTGTCAAGAAAAAGAATAAGAATGATGTGAGATGTTGCCAAGAAAAAGAATAAGAATGATGTGAGATGTTGTCAAGAAAAAGAATAAGAATGATGTGAGATGTTGTCAAGAAAAAGAATAAGAATGATGTGAGATGTTGTAAAGAAAAAGAATAAGAATGATGTGAGATGTTGTCAAGAAAAAGAGTAAGAATAATGTGAGATGTTGTCATCACCTGACAAACATAATGCTGTTTGTCATCTCCAGCCTTCCTCGCCAGTGATATCATCCTTATCATCTGCCACGTCATCATCATCATATTCTCCGTGTATATGCTATACCTGGTGACTCACAAGGTAAGTTTTGTCAAACTTTTAGAGAGAAGGAACTACAATTAAGTAATTCCTCATCACGTAGCAGGTCCTTTGGAGAATGTCACTCTCATCACGGTCTGCCTGACAGAAACTCAGTCTCTCTCACCAGCTCTCCCACCTTGTGTTTCATCCTACCCAAGCTGGCACTCACCGTATACCATGTGCCAATCTTCATTCCGCGCCTCTTTCTTGGTATCATAACTTCAGCTTTTTGTGTGTCTAATCTACCGTGGAGCTTGATGTGGCCAAAATATTTCAGTTTCCGAGACAGGATGCTGTTTACTAGCTAATCTTCCTTGATGTTCAGACCTGTTTGCATGTCATTACTTCAGTTATTATTTTTTTGTTCCGTCCATGTTATTCGGACAATCTTTCTATCACATTTCAGCTCTAAAGCAGTAATTAGTACTGTTCCTTTTTGTCTCCCAAGTTTTCTTTTTGCTTTCTCCCTGCCAATAATTTTTGGATAAGGCCATGGTCTCTATGAAGTCTGTGGTGTCATGCATTTCTTCAACTTTCCATTGGAATGCCAACCAGCCAAAACTGAAATCTTTCTACTACTGCATGTAGAAAGCACATCTTTAGCCCATATTCAATATTCTGTGATGCCTGTCCCCATGGGCACAGTTCCGCTAACGCAGCCTGTGGGATACTCTCGGCAGTGGGGGTATAGTCTGAGGAAGTTTGCAATTTGGCAGTGGTGGTATAGTCCCCGGATGTCCGCACTGACACGTGACTGAGGCCCTGTTAGGGTATATTTTCAGCCTCGATAATTTGGGACCGTTATTCGGAGGATAACCCAGTATTTACATAGATCTGAAAAAAAAGGCATTACTTTGAGAATGGGGGGGGGGGGGGGTTAAATGTAATATTGCTCACACATTATGCAGTTGCAACCAGTACCAAAGCTGTTACATAAATGTAGGGGCCACTGTCCAAAGACACCATGTCATCAGAAACCTGTAAAACTGACTTTCCTGGGGGTGAGCATGTTCAAAGTGTGAAATACAGGCAGTACAGACAGTTCATAATAAATAAGAAATTGTTTCACTGTTTTTCTCCAACAGCATTTTGTGTTGTATGTGGAGACACTGAGAACTTATAGCTACATTTTTATCTTGTACATTTTTGCTGAGTTCTGCTTCTCCATTTTTGAATTCTCTTTCTATGGACTCAACACATTTGTAAGTATATTGTAGTTGATGTTTTAATAAATTAGAATGCACTAAATTGTATTTACTGTGGGGAAAAGGGGGGGGGGGGGATTGACAGAAAGTAAGGGATGTTAAGATTTGATTGCTTGTGTGGGCTTTGGAGATGGTTAGGGAGAAGTGGCTGTGGGTTGTTTGGTAAGTATGAATTTGTGTAGGATTCTGATCACATTAGGCCATGAGTCTGTGGACTGGACAGCGGCTGCTACAGAATCAGAAGTTCAAGAGATGATTCATGACAGTGATTATCTACATATGGCTCTGCTGTGTTAGCCTGAAGAAGTGAATTAAGGTTCATAGCAAAAGCATATAGACATGGCTTAGTGCATCAAAGCCTGGCATGTGATATGACATCTAGTTCAAGAATGGAGGTCGATGCGGTCACTGCAGCTGTCGGCTGTCTTGAGAACCAGCTGCTTACATGTCATGATTGTTACTGACTCACAGAGCATGCTGAGTCATGATTGTTACTGACTCACAGAGCATGCTGAGTCATGATTGTTACTGACTCACAGAGCATGCTGAGTCATGATTGTTACTGACTCACAGAGCATGCTGAGTCATGATTGTTACTGACTCACAGAGCATGCTGAGTCATGATTGTTACTGACTCACAGAGCATGCTGAGTCATGATTGTTACTGACTCACAGAGCATGCTGAGAAAGGTGGAGCTAGGTATACTCCATGCAGTGGCAAGCATTGCTGCAGAGGTCCCAGATAGATGGTGTCCTTCTAATATTTTCTCCAGGTCATGCTGGTATGTTGGGAAATGAACTGTCTCGTTCAGTATCATTTGGTGGTAAATTGAATAAACCAATGAACAATCTTTATTTTCAAAGGGTTAAGAATTGGGCACACAGGCCCGTTGAAAATTCTGCCTTTCCAGCCCACTTCTTGCATACAGTTATTCATTCGTACATCATTTCATGGTTCAAAATAAAATAAATTTTCACATCTAAGTCTTAATTAAAAACGCTGGAATATGCTCTCATTATACTTACATTACTAAACTTTTTAAAAAAGTTAGTAATAAACCTAATCCAATAATGTTATAAGCCAGATAGGTTGCATGATATAAACATCAGCGACAACAGGTTAAATATTAGTTACAAATGCTGGAATGCACTCGACTGGCATTTTCATTTTTAAACTGTGATAACTTTCAGTAAAAAATAACACACTCAATGGAAATACATCACATGCTCAACATACTACAGCACAGACTTCTTAAGGGGCATATAGATAGTGTTTAATGAGATGCTTGACACGCTAGATGCTGTAAGGGTCCCTGTTGGGAACAAGTAAACAGTACTGCGGCACAAACAGGTCTGAAGACAATAGGAAGGGCAGGAAGGACTGACTGAAGTTTCTGACTGTGGCTCAAAACTCAGGGGAGGGGCGAGAAGGCCATACAATCGGACTGTCAACTGAAAAAGGCACTCTGCAGTTGCTGCTGTAGATGGGGATGGTGCAATTATAGGAGTGTCCTGAGTGCTATGGTAAAGATGATTGGGCTTGTGGGGTTGGGTGAAATTTTTTGTTTGGACTGTTTTGAGTAGGAATCTGATTGTAAGTCCCCATGTTGTGTGCTGAGGCCCCATTATGGGAGCAGACCCCTGCTCCCTAACAAGCATATCATAAGAGTAATCTAATTAGGAACATTTCTTTGAAGTCGGAGTGCATCTGCCTGAGAAGCGATAAACCAACAACCTGCATACAAATAAGCCAGATCTGTAAAACGCATGAGCATGCAAACTTCAAGTTCTGGAATAAGACCAAAGTCTAGAAGTGGACGAACAACCAGACTTTCTGCCTGTGTTTACAGCTGGTGAATGCTAAGAAGAAGATTGCAAGAGGAGAACGATGTGGAAAAGAAAGGGGAAAAAAGGAAAGGAAGAAGGCACGGAAAAGCCAGAGGTAGAAAAGGAAAGAAACAGAAGATGATGATGTGGTGGTAAAAGAAAGGGCTAAATAGTAGAAGAAAATGAGCGTGGATGACAGAAGAAAAACAGGGAAAGAAGTAGCAGAAGAAAATGAGAAAAAAATGACGGAGGAAGAGATGGAGTGGACGTGGATGAGAACAGAAGAAAAACAGGGAAGGGAGTAGCAGAAGAAAATGAGAAGAAATGACAGGGGAAGAGATGGAGTGGACGTGGATGCGGACAGAAAGAAAACAGGAGGGAAGGGAGTAGCAGAAGAAAATGAGAAGAAATGATAGGGAAAGAGAAGGAGTGGATGTGGATGAGGACAGAAAGAAAACAGGAGGGAAGGGAGTAGCAGAAGAAAAAGCGGGAAGAAAAGAGGGTAAAATATAAACACTAATCTCATGTTCTGTGGGGAGCAGCCAGGGTGTAGTGGCTAGATGCTCACCTGTGGATCTGGAGGTTGTGAGTTTGAATCTCAATGAAGCTGGACTTTTCAGAAATGACCTTGGCTCCCAGCTTTGAGAAGCTGCCAGGTAAAGGCGTCTGACGTGATGCGGACCACATCACCTAATAAGTACAGATTGCTCTGTAAAATATAGTTCTAGCACTAAATGCCCGATAGGCTCAAAAGCGTGGAGAAGGGCCATCTACTTTACTTAATCCTGTATTGTATTCCTATCTACAGAGGCTGGCTTTTATAGTGTTTCTCTGGCTGTACTGGCTAGCAAGAACAGTTGGCAACGTAAGTCTTTGTTTACTCGTTCAAAGATATAAAAAGAAAAAAAAAAACGAACGAAAAGTAGATCAGCGAGCTTCACAATATAACAAACACAAACAAAAAGTGAACGTTGCGGCTACAGAGACTTCATCAGCACATACATAAATCAAACAAAAACACAAAATCACTTAACTGATATATCCTAAAGCAGCCACGTTGTCTTGTCAGTGTAATGAAGAAACGTGTGGTCCAAGAAATAAATAACCCTGGAATACCAAGGGCTGTGACTCTAGAATTTAGGTGAAACTGTGTAGACAGTTCAGTCCCCTTGGTATCTGGGTATGTTTAGTCATACACCATTTTATTATTCTCTTGATTATGTGTATGAATTGTTGGCACCTCTCCAGGTAATGTTCCACTTTGCTATATGTAAGCTAGGGCATCATTGCCCATGGTGATACCATTGAAGCCAAGGATGAAGTTCTTCCTGCCCATACTATAGAGACCACGTCTTACCCAAGCATCATGATCTCTCATTTGGTCTGCAAAAGAAAGGCAACAACAATACATTTATTTATAAAGAGCTTGATGTAGCTGCCTGATCAGAAGAGCACGCTCAGTTTGTCCAAGCGGTTGCTTCTTAGACGTGCTGCCCACCAAGACTAAGTGCCTGGTCTGCTCTGCCATCGCATTCAATTTCAGGTTGCATTTCCTCTTTCTCAGACAAGGCTAATATCCTTTTTTTCTTAACATTCTCTAGATGTAAACTCCGAAAGAAAGTCCATATCTGGTCTTGTAACAGAAACTTGTGTTTTGTGTGTACATGTTTTTACAGATCTGGCTGCCCGGCTCTCTAGCGTAGTTGGCTAAACCAGATTGCGCAGAGACCGGGTGACGAACTCCTTGTGGTCCGGGTTCAATCCCGGGGGTAGGCAGGAAAGCCACATTTCTCCCAGATTTACGGTATTTACAATGGAATCAAGGCCGAAAGGTTGCGATATCCATAATACAACTCATGGCTTCTGGATACTAAAACAAACAAACAGATCTGGCTTATTTTTATGCAGACTGTTGGTTCCTTGCTCTCAGCTACAGCTTTGAAGGAAACACCCCCTATACTCCCTGTGTGGACCCCTTGGGGGGGGGGGGGGGTCGGGGGGGGTAGACCCACTGCCAACCTAACATGCAGGAGCCAGCTAGTATCCTCTTTCTATGTAACAGCCAGGTCATTGTTTGATTGCACTTTCTTCTTTTAATTTCAGATTGGTATGGCCATCATTTTCTTCTCTCGCATCCAGGAAATAGAAGATGACCTGGCACTGGAGATCAGGTCTATAGACAGGAAATATGTGCATTCCTATGTAAACTTTTGATAAAGTGCCTTATCAGTTGTGTTTCTTCTTCTTCATCAATGGAGAGTTCTGATCGTTCACCCACTTCTGGACTTGTCTTGTCCCAGGAATTGACTTTTGCATGCACATCCATTTTACAGATCTGACCTATTTGTATGCAGACTGTTGGTTACCTGCCTTTCAGGAAGGTGTGTTTCGACTTCAAAGGAAACATCCATGATTAACGCCTTTACCAACATGCTTGTTTTACTGCAGAGGAACGAAACTCCGACTCTACAAGAGCCTCATTATGCCAGTTCTTCTTTATGGAGCGGAATGCTGGAGAATGACCAAAAAGGATGCACACAAGCTGTCCACCTTCCACCACACATGTCTACGTAGAATTATTAAAATTTTCTGGCCAGATACAATCTCAAACACTAAACTACTTCAAGACACAAACCAAGAAACTCTGGACAGCATGATAACCAAGAGAAGATGGAAATGGCTTGGCCACGTTATGAGAATGACTCCTGATATACCTGCCAAAACAGCTCTCACACGGACACCAGAGGGAAAGAGAAAACAGGGGTGCCCAAAAAAAAACATGGGAGACAAACGATGGAAAGTGACCTGATGCGGCATCTTTGACATGGAAAACTGCACTAAAGATTGCACAGGACAGGAAAGCATGGAAAGTCCTCTCTGAAGCCTCATGTGCCACTGGGCATAACGAGAACTGATGGACATGCTTGTTAGGTGGCAGTGGATTATTTTCCCCTCCACCAGTGGAGCACCAGAACCTAAATAGAGGAGTTGTGTTTGACATCCTGCTGTACTGGCTCTTAAAACTGTCTCTGCACACCAGCAAATCTGGCAGCAATGACTGAGGGAATTATGATGGTTACAAATATCCTAACTTGCCACCACAAACAAATAATAAAATAGTCAAGCAAGTATGATAACTACACTGGTAGGGTAAAATTCCGGAATTGATGCCTAGAGAACCGCAGGGTCTTTTCATTAACTGGAGGTTTATGCAGCTTTTACCCATTTTGATTGTTATGATACCTTGTCTATCGTACAGCTTGAAATTCACAACTATGGAACATGGACAGAATTCATTTCAAACCATCGAAATGGCAGCATAGGTAACAGAAATGTATATTAACGAAGCATAGGTAAAAAAACAAACACAGAAACAATTTACAAACATAGTAGACTGTAATGCTTTGTCTAGAATACAAAAAATTTTTGGTTTGACAGACATGACCAATGATGACACCTTATTTGGGGTGCCTAGTTGATCATGTTCTTAGTGCACTCGTTTCCATAGCGAAGCGCGCACGCCATTTGGAGGTAACAGGTTCAATTCCCGGCACGGTAACTAAAGCTTTAGATTTTTATGTTGTCTATTGCGCTCTATCTTTCTAAGTGCGGATCAATACATTGTGTTTGTTTATTACATTTACGGCCTCAAGGGTTCCCCGTTTATTTACGTCAATCAGTTAACCTATACTGGTCTAGGCTCCTTGCTCCATCTAAACTCCCACCCACAGCTGTTAAGGGTTATTATAATACATATGATGTGCCATACTTGATCTGCATCTATAGGTGCATGCCCAGCTGTTGAGGGCCTGTACAGTGAGCTGCGGTTTTCACTGTCTAACATGGTTTGTGTTGTGAACTGCAGATTAAAATAATGGTGGTGCCTCATACAGTTGTGTTTACAACTACTTTCGTTTCAACTTGTTTCCATCCACGATGAACTATGGGTGTAGTGCTAGGCTGTCTGAGCTGGCACTTCTGACGACTGCCTTATGCTTTTAATGTGTGTGCATGCTGTTGGATTTGCTAAGACTATAGTGTTTTGTCTTGGGGGGGAAAGAGGGACAATGAAGGATATTCCATATAGCTTTCATTGGCACAGGAACATAGCAACTATGGGATGACCTGTTTACTATAAAGCTGGAACTGGTTACCTGGAATGTAATGAAATATAGGCAGAAAGGGGTTAAACGAATAAAGCATACGTTTCAGAGGAGCATAAAAACACGCCTATCCCTCACTCGTTGGCATGACAGAATACAGTGATTTGAAAGCTGGCCGGGCCAGCTATAAAGAACATCTGCACGATAACTGCCATGACATCTGACAGTGAAGGATGAAACATTCGACGAGTACCCGTGAGCAAGCAGATGCACTGTGACCAGCTGAAGAGATACGTTCATCCAAACGTGACCACCAAAGACAGGTGACAGGGGAGTGATTGAGAAGGCACGCCAGAAAGAGCGGGAAAGCGGGGAGTAAAGTCAGAGCCAGTTAGGACCGGACCGTTTGAGAGACCAGTTGAGAAAACTAGTGCTGTACTTCGTTTAGAAGGTATATGTTAAACTTGGAGTTTAGCTAGAACAGTGATTAAGGAACTCGTAGAGAGACATAAGAATAGACAGTAACAAGATAATGAAGTGTTCATATACTATTGCTTATTGAATTTATGAAGTGTGTGTGAAGAGAATATTGTGAATAAACCAGCTCTTGTGTAATTGTTACATCACTGGCCTTGTTCTTGAGTACGATTGAAGAGAGCTACATCTATATCCCGACACCTTGGCCGAATTAGGCACATCTATTTCTGGGGGGATGTATAGGCACGACTGTGCCACAGTTACCTGATTACCCTACACTGGTAAGTTGACCTATTTTACTACTCATTGTTCCCCCGTGTGGGTTCCAGGGCCACAATGTGGGGAAAACAAGAATAGACCCACTGCCTCCCCAACAATCATGTCGCCAACGCAACTAACTGGGTTCATTTTTGAAGTCAGAATGCACCTGCCTGAGCTGCAGGGGAAAAAAAAAAAGGCCTACACACAGATAAGCCAGATCTGTGAAACAGATGTTTTTGCAGCATTCAGGTTATGGAACAAGACTGAAGCCCGGAGGTGGACGAACACCAAAAATTTTCCGCTGGAGTTTTCAGCCGGTAAATATGAACAAGACTGCTCACTGTTTAGCATACAGATCCGTAATTTGTGGTCACTTTTGCTATTTAAATGTGATACGGAGCCAGAGGCTTGGTCAACATGGATAGGATTGGTGTCATTGAAAGTCGGAGTGTATCTGCCAGACTGGCTAGAAACAACAGTGTGCACAGACACAAAAAAGCCAGATCTGTAAAACAGATGTGCAATCAAAAGACCTGGAGAAGAAGACAAAAGTCCAGAAGTTGATGAACACCTAAGAGTTTATTTATTCTGTGAAAACGTAAAAGAAAAGAAATTTAACAGAAAAAGATTCACAGCTGTTATTTTATATGTTTATTACACACACACAATGTGCCATACTTACAAATGATAATTTGTTAATTAAGATGTTTTAAAATACATTTTGGAAATGAAATGTGTGCATCTATAAATCCCCCCCCCCCCCCCCCCCCCCCCCAAACAAGAAATTGTTTTCCTCTGTGCTTTAGAAATTAAATGAGAAGTGACAGAAAAAAAAATAAGACAAATTACTACCTAACAGTCAGTTCCTTTTTTTAAATGTCAAAATCAAGCATATTGACCCCACCTTCAGAGCCATAACAACTGTGCGCAGTAAAAAAAAAATTTACATACACAGCAAAAGAACAGACTACGCCCACAATCACTGTGTGATGAAGGTTGCATACACAATGATTTTGCTGTGAGCATGCTACAACAATCATCGTGTTACAGGCATGTTACGTACACAATGATTCTGTAATAAACATTATAATGGCAATGATTCTCAGCTTAATCAATCAAAACTGTGCACATCATCACCCTTGAACCAAATGTGAAGGAACAGCCAAAAAAACAACCATTTACCCCACAAACCAGATCTGTGATGGAAACTATGGGTCCTGGAACAAGAGTCAGAGCAAAATGGTGGACACTGGAGATAATGTGGCCTTTTACCCTGAACCAGTTATTTCTGGGGGGGGGGGGGGGGGGGAGATGACCTTTGAAAGGTGTAGGGATATTATTTGCCTGTTGCGTTTAGTGTTACAGGGTCATGGAGTGAGTCAACTGATGCATTTTATGTCCGGCCACACAGAATGTTAACATCTAATGCTTCACACTTCCTTTTTACTGATTATTCATTCCCTTTACACACCCCCCACAGCCTTTTTTAAAATGCAGATAAATAAACAGAAAAATAAAAAAAAAAATAAGTGACCAGTGTTTTTCAGTTTTTTTTTTTCTTTCTTCTCAAAGCTTCCACAGTGTGAACAGATTCAGCAAGAAAATACAGAAATCAGGGGTCCAGTGTCCGCAATGCTGGACACTGGAGGTACCATAAAACAGACATTTCAAGAGGCAAGGATCCCCAGCACAATGCTGGACACTGGAGGTACCCTAAACTGGACATTTCAAGAGACAAGGATCACCAGCACAATGCTGGACACTGGAGGTACCCTAAACTGGACATTTCAAGAGACAAGGATCACCAGCACAATGCTGGACACTGGAGGTACCCTAAACTGGACATTTCAAGAGACAAGGATCACCCGCACAATGCTGGACACTGGAGGTACCCTAAACTGGACATTTCAAGAGACAAGGATCACCAGCACAATGCTGGACAAAGAAGACAAAGTACATTAAGCATGAAAATACACTTGCCAGTGGTGGATCAGCACAACGATGGACACAGGAATAGCTAAGAATGAGAATAAATTCAGGTGCTCCAAGAGACAAGAAGGACAAGTTGGCAGCAACAGAACACATCATGATCTTGAAACCCAGGGTGTACAAACTCAAGTGGATCAGTCAGTTACCATCGTTTGGAGAAGTGTAGACAGAATAGGAGAAAATTAACCACCACGGCAGGCCAAGAGACCTCCAGGACGACAACATTCGACAGTCCCTGACTGACAGAGGGCTGGCATGGAACAAAGCCAACCAGAAAACTGCTGATAGGGAAGTCTGGCAATGTTTCAGGCAAACCTCTAAGATACCATGGTAGTATCCACTAATTATATTCACACCAGCACTGTGCTACCAGTGCCAAAGTTGGACACTATCAAAGCTAACCTGTGTACAATTAATACCTGTGAAATGGGATGCCTCAGGGAGCTACAAACTACAAAATATACAACTATGCATCAAATCCCTTGAGAAAGAGAAGATCTAATGGTTTAGTCATCTCATTAGAATACAATAACATCTACCAACACAGGCACTACACACCAAAATACATGCAGGCAAATGAAGGACCTTTTCTATGCCAGTGACACATAAGCTAAATAAAGACATTTTTATAGACAATCAGCACTTGGAGGGTGATGAGGTCAACATCCATTGACTCCCTTTACTTCCCAAGACATCACCTGGTACACACTAGGAGAACAGACCCATTAAAAAAAAAAATCAACTGTGATACGGATTTGGACAATAGACACTCAGCTTGCAGTCAAGGGGCTGGTTTAAAAAAAAAAAGAGAGAGAGAGAGAGGACCAACAAGTGATGATGATGAAATTTATGAATCTTTAAGGAATCTATAGGCACTATGCTAAGACCCCCCCCCCCCCCCACTTCCACAAATACATAAATGCAGACAGACAGATGTATTCATAATTACCACTTATGGCTCTTCAGACAGCAAGTCTTTAAACCCCTGCTATAAGCACTATGAACCAAACATCATACAATCTTCTCTAGCCTGTAGTTACATCTGAATACATTCATAAGTGGCCCTAGTTTCCAAATCAACCTGAATGAACATTAAAATATACCACACATCATATGTCTTCCCTGCCTGTAGACTCAACTGTAAACATTCATGGATTAATTCTGACCATAGTCTAACCCTCTCGCCTGGCAACACTTGAAGACAACATTTATAAACAAAAATTTGCCATGACCCAATTGGAATTCCAGAAAAAGAATTCTTCAAAAATTTGCATTTAACAAATTTAAAATACAGGTCACTAATAAATTTGAAAAAATATTTATCTCCGTTTTTGTCATTTTCAAAATACATAAAGATGTGTAAAGGGAGTAATCATGAAACAGTGTGAAGCATTAAATGGACATTTCCTGGGACCTAAAACATACAGGTATCGGGCGTCTCATGCTGTGACCTTTAACACTGAGGCTTGCAGGAAAATCTGATGCCAGCTTGGCCTTTAAAGAGTTCTGGCTGAAAGGAAAACGCATCTAAATGCTACTTTTAGTTAATGTATTCATACACTGAGCCCCTGAACGTTTGCGCAAATGCAAAAACAGCCAAACGTATTAATTATGCATAAACAAGTAGGAAAAGTGACATTTACGACGGGACTGTACATAACGGAAAATGTCAGTTTTGCGGCTTCTTGGGGCAAAAGGATTAACAATTCCTGTTATAAACTATTTTATAAACCACACATCATAGATCGCTAGCTGGCAGCTATATCTGTATACATTCATGGATTATTTCTTGCTAGTTTAAGAATCCCTGCTATCAACTATATTATAAAGTGTTGCCAAGCCTGTAGTTGTATCTGTACATATTCAGGAATCAAGCGGACCTCTACAAACAACTGCATTATGAGCCACACATCATACACTCTTCCTTATTCTGTAAAGAACATGCCAAAATGGCCATGTTTTTATTTCTCTGGCTATCCTTCACTTCGTGTCCTGCAATATTCTCCTTGTCTTCTTGTTTCTGATCCAGCTTCAGTTTGTCCAGTTTGAGCAGTTCGGGACTGGCTGTTGTAGTGTTGCTGTTTGAGTTCAGCAAACGGGTTTTGTCCACGGTAAACTGGATGGCTTGAGCAGCAGGTTTGGTTCGGAGATAATACATTCCAGTTTTTAATCCCTGCAGACAAAATTAGATGTACAAGTCAATATTTACATACATCAAAAATTCTTTTTTTTAAAGTATATTTTATTATTTGTACAGTCTCTGTAGCCGGCCACGTGTTGCTGTGGCTCAGCCTGGTTAGGTGGAAAACTAAGAAAAGAGAATGCGCATGCTTCTATTATGTTTAATTTCACAATGCTTGTGGGTATACAATATTTTTTGTTGTACCATTGTGTGCGCAGATACACTGGTTTGCAGACTCTAGAACATGCAACATATAACTGTCCATGTGAGAAGCAAAGCATGTCTAAATCGCATAATTCTAAAGACTGGCCTTGAGCTTTGTTGATGGTGATTGCAAACACCAATCGAACTGGGAATTGCAATCTCTTAAAATGAAATGGCATATTCATTAGAATGAGAGGAATGAGGACATTTTCACCTATGAAAGATCCTGTCAAGACTTGCTTCTATGACCTTGCTCATTAATTTGTTTACTGCAAGCTGTGTGCCGCTGCTCATTAATGTGTTTACTGCAAGCTGTGTGCCGCTGCTCATTAATTTGTTTACTGCAAGCTGTGTGCCGCTGCTCATTAATGTGTTTACTGCAAGCTGTGTGCCGCTGCTCATTAATGTGTTTACTGCAAGCTGTGTGCCGCTGCAAAGCTTTGGCTGGTTGATATGGCTACGGTCAAGGACACAGCTCAATTCCAACGCAATGTCACACGAAATAATTAAATCAAAATCTATGAAAATTAAATGTAACAATAGTCGGAAACATTGAAATAGAATCATTGTATGCGAAATGATCAAATCTAATGACTGCAGGCTCATCACTGATCCACCTCATACCTGGGAAAAGGCTCTTATCACTGGCCCCTCAGTCATTCAGAAATATATGGTGATGTGATCACTACGTAATGTGCAATGGCGGTGAGCATAGTGTTAGTTACCACTGCCAGTGTATCTGAATAGGGTGGAGAACAGTACATATTTTACTTAGCGTCCCCCTCTAATAAGTTTATACCTATATAATAATAGGTATAGGAAAACATGTGCGTATTCGAATGCAACGTTGTGTCAAAGCAATCCGTGAATAACTTTTGAAATTTAAGATTTAGAACAAACAAATTTCTACATTTTCATTTATATAGATATCAAAGCTTTAGCTACGGAACCTTCAAATTTTTTGTGTCCGCTGACGAGAAGTTCTGGCTGCTCGTCCGCTTCTGGACTTTGTGTTGTCACAGAACTTGAGTTTTGCGTGCCAAATCTATTTTAGAGGCCTGGCGTATCTGTATGCAAACACCTGGTTGCTTACCTTTAGGGCAGATACACTCCAACTTTGAAGTAAACCCCCTAATTAGTTGACTACGGACTCTGTTGACTCTTACAACATGCTTGTTAAGGAGGCAGTGCCCCACACAAGGAGAAAAAAGTAAACTACACACACAATGGAACCTGGAGCTAAACAGGAAATAGTCAAGTAACCAATGGGATGAATTCAAGAAGAAGTCAGGGTGATGCCGGGACAACTGCTAAAAACAACATTTACTAGACAAAGAGGTTGTGACGTACAGTACATCACCACCCTCTGTGTCTAAAAAATGTGGATACATTAGGCACATCTTGAGGCAAAGCAGATAAAGAATCACAAAAAAGGGGCACTGAAATGGGAGACAAATAATGGATTTAGGCAGCGACAACATCAAACACAAGAACAAAAGATAAGAAAGGCTGGATTTCATCAATGATAGTGAAAGGACATCACACAACAGTAAGAAAGTGGAATGTAGTGTGAGCTCTATGTAACATATAAACAGTATAATGCTATAGTGATGTGTAACAGTTAACTCATATACAGTTTGCTTATAAGGCGTTGGCAAACCATCAAATAATTAGTTAAGCCCCCGCAAGTCTCGTGAGAATAGTATTATCTCTCTACTGGTTGTTATCTCCTAAAGGACTTTATGTAAAAAAAAATGTTTGTGCTACGTCTTTTGACCGTAACACACACACCCCATCTCTGTGAGTCACTTCCTGTCCAACATTTTACTCCCATGACAACATGCAGGCGCGGAACCTCCACTGTTTAAGATCTCTGCTAGTCAAGCCAGGATGGAGACTAACAGGCCTCACTGTAAGGCTCAGCGATTTTATGTAATCTTACATCTTCTTCTTCTTCTTTCGTTCGCCTGAAATAAGTTGTCTATATCAGCAGTTTTGTCTCATGTATAAATTTCACTGTCGTTGTTAGTTCATTCAGTGGTCCATAGAGTTTACGTTCCACTGTTGTTCTTTCTGGCCAAAAGGTTTGCCTTAATGTGTCAAAATCGGTGCAGTACATGCTCTGCGGTCTGGGGCACATTTCCACAGGTGCACATGGCTGATACACCTATCTTGAATTTTGTGTACATGTGGTTACGTAATCGGTTGTGCCCTGTTCTGAGGCGGAAGATAATGACTTGTTCTGGTCTGTCCATAATAAAATAGTCGTCTTGTGCTGGGGCTGGTGGTTTCCTGATCTTTTAATGATTCTTTTCTTTTGGTGGTATGTGACTGGTACATCTGGCTGCTCTTTTTTCGCACCTTCCCCTGCCAGTTGATCAGCTTTCTCATTTCCAGGCACTCCACAATGAGACGGTATCCACTGCATTACGACTCTTCGCTGAGTGCTGAGTTGTGTCAGCAGTGTTTGCAATTCTGGTAGTTTCCTAGACTGGAGTGCTTTAAGTACTGATTTAGCATCTGTAAGCATTACCACATGCTGTAAGCCAAGGTTGGTATTTAGCAGTTTCTCTGTAGCTATCTTAATAGCCTGGGTTTCTGCATCATAGTTATGGCAGTACTTCCCGGTTGGTACGCTGGACTTATCCCTAGTACCATCTGGGAATTCGATGTACACTCCAGCACCACAATTTCTAACTGCACTTTCTGCGGACCCATCTGTATAGACTCTGACCCATTGTTCTTGTGGGTATTCTTCATCAATATAACTGAGGGTGGCCATTTTGCGTTGTACACTATCTTGCTCTTTCTTGTCAAATATCCCTTTCACATTTGTCTGGATTTGTACCGTTAGTTTACATTTTTCTCTCCATGGGGTTTGTTCCGGAATACTTTTAAGTGGGCAGCCAATTTCTGGAAGGTCAGCAGTTTGTCTACATATTCTTTTTGCTTGGTGTATAAAGCTGCTTCTTTTTAACCGCCCCAAGGCTAGGTTTTTAAATCTATTTTCAATCGGGTGATCTGGCATACTGAGGAACTTTTCAGCTTGTATTTGCAACTTTGTATCTCTGTGTTCTCTCAGTGCCTGTGTTTTCCCAGCTTTCTCCATTTCTAATATGGGAGTTGATTTCATCCCTCCTGTGATGACTCTGAGCGCTTGATTTTGCACTTTGTCTAACTCCTTTAATGTGGTACTAGATGCTGAACACCATGCAGTTGACCCATATTCCAAGTGTGGAAGTATGCTCTGCTTGTATACTTTATTGAGTATTTTCCCATCTGCTCCCCATGTGGTTCCACTTAGTTTTCTTAGAATTGCTGTCTTCCTCCTGGCTTTGGTTGCTGCCTTGTTGATATGTTTTCTCCATGTCAACCTGTCATCAAATGTGACTCAGAGGTATGTGGGCTCTTTATCATCTCTCAGGGGTATTTCGTTTATTTTGATGGTGCCGGCTTTTTGCTTTGGGGAGAGGGTGAATAGTGTGGTGCTACATTTGTCTGTGTTGATGCTTGTAATCTTATATGTAACTGTACCACTGCAGAAAAGATACAATTAGGAATAAAGACATAAGAGAGAAAAATCAGCACAATCCCAACACTAAATTACTTACAAAGACAGCAAATCAAATGGTTTGCCCACTTAGAGAGAATGCCTGGTGACACGATACAACAAAGCAAGGAGAAGGTTGTAGAACTTAAGGTAAACCAAAAACAAGATGGAAAGATAAAATGAGAGAAACAAAGCAGCCAAATTAAGTCGACTCCTAAAGCGGTAAAAGAGAAAAAGAAGAATGGACCCACTGCTTCTTTAACAAGCATGTCCTAAGAGTCGATTAAACAGGCATTTCCTTCAAAGCTGGAGTGCATCTGCCTGAGAGGCCAAGGAACCAACGGTCTGCATACAAATAAGCGAAATCTGTGAAACAGATGTGCAGGCAAAACTCAGAAGTCCAGAAAAGAAGACAACTAGCCCACAATGGAGGTGCTAAACCACGTGTGGTGGTGCTCCAGGACATACTTGACTAGCTTGATATCTTCAACAGAAACTTATTGCAGAACTTACAAGCTTCCAGGCATAGAAATGCATGCTGGACAACTTCCCGTAGTTTGGTTCAGCAATGTGAATGTTTAGCGACTGGCTCTGGTCGATGAAAGCTCCACGATCGGCAGCCATCTCTAGGACAACCTGCAACAATACATGTCATTTAATGTTCACTATTTACATACAGCAATTACAGACATTTATTATACTAGTTTGAATCATCCCCCCCCCCCCCTAAACCAGCCATACGAAACATTGTTCTAAGGCCGCCACTAGTCCCTCACATTTCGTCTTGCAATGTTAACTCAGCAGAGCCAGATCCCTCACCTCTGCCTCACACACACAAAACATTTCCACAGTAGACAGGGTAGTCCAGCAGCCCAGGAGCCTGTCTGCTCCAGTCGTAGGTGGCAGATACTTATGCCCATCTGGTGTAGATGTGCTCTCAGAATGTAGAGCCCCGTCTGAAGACTACAAATTATTGTTCCCTCCTGTTGAGTTTGCTTCTGTGGTCACTGTTACAAATTAGTAGGGTATTATATTAAAATAAATTATATTGTGTACCTAGAAAGTCCAGACTCTAGAACAATAAACTAAATTGTGTAACTAGAAAGTCCAGACTCTGGAACAATAAACTAAATTGTGTAACTATACAGTCCAGACTCTGGAAATATAAACTAAATTGTGTAACTAGAAAGTCCAGACTCTGGAACAATAAACTAAATTGTGTAACTATACAGTCCAGACTCTGGAACAATAAACTAAATTGTGTAACTAGAAAGTCCAGACTCTGGAACAATAAACTAAATTGTGTAACTATACAGTCCAGACTCTGGAACAATAAACTAAATTGTGTAACTATAAAGTCCAGACTCTGGAACAATAAACTAAATTGTGTAACTAGAAAGTCCAGACTCTAGAACAATAAACTAAATTGTGTAACTAGAAAGTCCAGACTCTAGAACAATAAACTAAATTGTGTAACTATAAAGTCCAGACTCCGGAACCCAAATGGGAAAAGAAAAAGAAACCTAAAAACAAATGGACAAGACACTCAGAGATTTGAATAATGTGGAAAAGACATGGAAAAAGCTGTAGGAGATGAAAAAAAGCAGGATGGTCTGGCATGAGTTTTGTTTAAAGGTTTCAGTAAGAGATTAAGAGCAGAAGGTTGTGTTGAAACATTAGCATCAAGCAACTGCTACATTTCCAGGGGCATCAGACAACTCCTGGTCATCCATGTAAACAACTGTGGGCTATAACCAGTCAAACAGTTTATTACAGAGCAACAAATGAAATGGTTTGGCCATCTGACAAGAATACCCTGTTACCACCATGCTAAAGAACTATAAGGAACACATAGCAAGGGGAAAGACCACAGAAAAGATGTGATGAAGTCACCAAAAACAGCCTCAAGGACATGAAGATCAACTTATCTAACTCACTGGAAAGAGAATACAGAAGATCTTTACACCCCCACCCCCTTTTCTTTTAAACACTTCGATAAAGTAACCAAAGGAAGTGAAGAAGAAAAAGAAGTGGGTCACATAAACTCAGCTCTTAAGATTTCAAAGACTGTTTGGTCTACTGGGTGAAGCAGAAACAAATATAAACATTTCCACACCATGAAATGTACTTGCTGCTGGTGGTGGGGTGGAAAGGGGTGTAGAGAAGAGTAACTTGAACAGTGACACCTGTCTATTGATAGCTGAGAGTTGCCTAGAATGTCTACCTTTTGTTTAATCTCCCAAACAGTTTTGTACAAGGCCTTCAGATCATCAGGGATTGAGGCTATGCCTTGGATAGAGCCTCCTGCTGCAATCAACTGATTCTTTACATCCTCATTCCACAAGCCTTGCTCTGTCAGATCTATACAACAAAAGAAACAAAGCTGTCAGATCTATGCAACAGAAACAAAGTTGTCAGACCTATACAACATTAAAACTTAAATCAATACAATAGTAACAAAGAAAACAGCTCTACCAAATACACAACACCGGTCAAATGGATGTTAAAATAAAATCGCTTGGTCAGATCCATTCAACCCACAAGAATAGCTAGCTGAGATAACAATCAACCCCCCCCCCCCTTTCCACACCCAAAAAAATGGCTGACACATAATGTTTCAGGCGACAGTTTTCTTTTTGGCGTTTGCTTTCTAGACAGTTGCATTCCTGAATAGTGGACCTCCACAATCTAAAGATTGTGAGCAAAACATGCAGGCTGAGGCTGTTACCTCCATCAGCTGCCACCCCACTCCAACACAGCCCAATCAAAATACTCCCATGAAAAACACAGTTATTTTATTCTGGAACAAACAATCCAAGAATGGACATCACTGCCCTTGTGACATCCCCACAGTGGCTCCGTCCCCTTCTACAGCAGCCAGCGAAGAGTTTCTGTTCTGATGGTGCTAGTCGTAACTTGATCAACAGTCTTCCCCCCCCCCCCCTATCACCCTGTAGGTAGAAGAAAATCAACCATACCCCCCCCCCCCTTCTGCTCACTTACAACCGAATCCTTCCCTCCAGAGAATCTCTTGTGTTGGAATCACAAAAATAGCAGTTCTCGAAGGAGAACACAACCAATCCAGAAGAAAAATCACAGACAACCCACAATAATTAAACTAAATGGTTACAATGAAATTGGCCACATAGAAAAAAAAAACCGTCACCAATGTATGAGCGATGACAGCCTAACATCATGTGCCATACTCACAAGCGCAAGCTGTTATGTTTGGCCATCTCCCGTGATTGTCTTGTCCCCTTTTATGGCTAACCACCCAGGTAATTATCTTTCTGCCTTTCATTTGCTCTTTTTCCATCAGTCTTACTAGTCGTTACCATTTCTCCATTACATTCCTGCTCACAAACGCTCAAAAAGCAGGACTGTCAATTCTGCAATCAGTTTAAGACTTTCATCTGTCTCAAGGAGCACTGCTTCATTTGTTTTTCTATCATTCCGTATTCTTTGCCTCCTTCTTGTGATGAGTGTGGACAGAAATGGTAGAAAACGCAGAGGCAGACCAATATAAACGATGCTAGTCGGCCTAAAGCAATTGCATGAAAAAATACAACCGGTGAACAGACATGAGCACTTACCAGAACACATAATGATTATTATTATTCTTTATTTAAAAAAAAAACCCTTATCTTCGCTGACATCCCATACCATTAACTAAAAGTTAAACCTAAATAAAATAAACTAAACTATTTAAAAAATTGAACTAATAGATAACACCACCAAGGAAAGAAACATTACACTACCTTTTAACAGATGCTGGTTGACGATCTGAAACTCCCCGGACAGAACCCTGCGCGTGTAAATGTTGCTGGTGTATGCTTCTATGGATTCGTTATTTCCCAGAATCTGTGCGGTTGATGCCGTAGGCATGGGAGCCATCAACAGACTGTTCCTGACCCCAAACTTGGCGATCCGCTGCCTGAGACCGGCCCAGTCCAGATCCGTTGTCTTCAGATTAGAGAATGAAAGATATAACAAGTTATGCAACTGTGGAACTGGTAAAATGGTTGTTAACCCTGTGAAGTTGCAAAACTAACATTTCTGGGCGGGTCTAATTTCCCTTTCCTGACTTGTCTAAAGTGATGTGTCTTCTTTTTTGTTATTGTCTGAGTGGCGTGCCTGTTTGTGATATTTGTACCTGTTGGTAAACAGATACGACTCCATCAAGCTTTGTTGACCAGTTTAATTTCCCGGATGGTTTTGTGGGACATATGAGGTGTCCTCCCTTGAGGAGCGACGTGTGAACACTAAGAAAAAGACTGCCACAATTGTCTGGGGAAGGGGGTTCAATTTCTTCACCGCTAACAATTGGACAGCGTAGTTATAACTAGGGAAAGTAGTGATTTTTCTTGCTTAGTTTTCATTTCAAAATCAGAATTTAAACTCAGCTGAGACAGACAGGATTAAATGTTCCCAAATGGGCTGCAAACAGGTTTTCTGTGGGTCACCAGGCAGTGCTGAGCTAACCAAAAAAAAAAAAAACAAACTTACAAGGGAAAATGCAAAATCTGTTGATATGTTTTTATTTATCCTATTGAAAATCCTATTTTTAATGTACGAGTCAGAGGGTTACTTTGCCTCTACCAAATGGGGTTGCGACTTGAAATATGTTGGGAACCACTAACAATGCTAGTAAATGCAAACTGGACTCACCGAAGGAACCCCCCACATGTCGTGCTGCAGGATTCCCTTGCTGATGGGGCACCCGGGGTAAGTCTCGTAGGTTCCGTACTTCTCTGCCAGCTCACAGCTTGCATCCAGTGCTGCAAAGTACATGGTCTCAAAAATCTCCTTGTTCAGCTGCTTGGCCTCTGGGCTGTCAAAGGGGAAGCGCATCAAAATGAAGGCATCGGCCAAACCCTGGGCACCGATTCCGATTGGTCGATGACGTTTGTTTGATCTTTCTGCCTGAAAATTAAAATTAATATTTGACATAGTAATAGATAACTCCTTGCATTACACCTGCATAAAGTAGGACAAGAAAATTAAATACTGCATAACACAAGTAATAAGAATAGGTAGGCTTTGACAAGAGCAAGAAAATAAGAAAGAAAAAGTCAAAGTAGAAGATAATTATGTTGAGATACTATAGTCAATCAAACGATAAATATGAATTGAATAAATGTTGTTTCAAGGAAGGAAGTGAACTGGTATCTTCTTCTTCACTGGCTGTAAAGACCAGCAGAAAATTCTGTTTGTTCACCCACTTCTGGACTTTAGTTTTGTTCCAGAACTTGGAGTCTTGCATGCATATGCCCCCCACCGGCACTGGAACCCACAGATAAATAAGTTAAACAAAAGCTGTTTTAAGTAAAGAAGTGAGATGGCATTTAAAAACAGTAAAGGGATAGGAATTATTATATAGACGTAAACAAAACACCATTGGGAAGAAAGAAATGATACAAGAGGACGACAAATTACCTCTGAAACAGGACATTATTTGATGCCAATGAAATAAATAAATCTTGTTTAATGTAATGAAATAAAAATGATATCTGAGGATGAGAACTCACCTCTGGTACAGGGTAGTAGTTGATGTCGATGATCTTGTTCAGATTGTAAACAGCAACTTTGGTCACGTGTCGCAGGCGATCAAAATCATATGTCTTGTCTGGTTTCACGTACATGTTCAGTGCTATGGACGCCAGGTTACACACTGCCACCTGATGAAAAAAGAGAGTAGGATCTTTTGAACTAAAAACCCGCAGAAATGACTTTCAGAATACCACAAACCAAGAAGAAAAGAAAAATAATAACATCCCAAATTGTCTGAAGAACAGCAAGGAAGATTAGTTAGTAAACAGCACCTTGCCTCGGAAACTGAATCACTTTCTCTACGACAAGTGCCAGTCGATTAGAAATAATTAGAATAAAATAACAAAAGACATGGTGGCAGGAAAGAGGCAGGGACCAACCATCGTGAAGATGTGCACAGAATGTAGTAACGCCCTGGCTAGAAAACTGCACATAGCAGGAGAGTTGGCGAGAGACGAGGTTTCTTTCAGGCAGATCGACGACAGCGACATTCTGCAAAGGTCCTGCTACACACGATGATGATCACCCAAAGAATTCAATTTTTAAAAAAAAGTCGAAGTCTAGAGGATCGACTCAATTGCACCAAGTCTTATCCCACATGGCTCGCCCCCTCTCAGCACAGCGTGTACTCCGCAGCTCCAGCGATGATCCCCAAGAAATTTCGCAAAAAATGCACTCGTGAACTTGACAGCGCAGCCGTGAAATAAACCCATGACCTTTAGGAGCGCGAAGCAAATGACCTGACCACTTCATCCAAGAAGGATCCCTCAATTTTTTTTAAATATGTAGTTGTAAGTGGCGACGCCTGTGGCCTATGCATTATTCCACCCTTTGTATTTCCCATTCTATGGGTTTGATCCCAGCTGCCAGCAGACCCTGTGTTGGTTATGACGATGGCACTGAAAGCCAACCATAAAATTACCCAGTGAAATCAGCCAAAAAATGCTCTGGTTGGCCCTGCAATGCCATATAAAGGATACAAAACTTTAAAAAAATATAAAAACAATGGTAGTTAAGTGGGTATGATGTAAGCTTAAGAGCAGCAAACTGAGCTCACGGTGAGAGACACAAAGATTATTATTACTATTTTCTAATAATATCTTAAGTGTATAAAGATACCTGTACCTGACCTCAGGGGGCCAGCAGGCTCTGTGTTGGTTTTACGGATAACCATGCAACACTCCTGCCACACGTCCCCATCGTGCATTGTGGATAATGGTGTAAACTATAAACAAGGTTGCTGGGATGACCTCCTCTTCTTAGCACTCCCTGGTTGTATACTCCGCTAAACAAATCTGGTTGTTCGTCGTTCGACCTCACCCATTTTTTCTCAGAACTTAACGTTTATGTGCACATCCGTCCTACAGATCTGGCTTATTTGTAAGACTGTTGGTTCCTTGCGCATAAGGCAGATGCATTCCAACTTTGAAGGAAACACCCATATTAAGTCTGACACCCCCACCCCCCTAAGATAGGGTCCTGGAAAACAGGGAGACAACCTGCAACAACTTACCTCTTCAGGAGAGCTGTACTCTACAATTTCTGTGCACAAGTTACTGCACTTGATCGTGCCCAGATTCTGTTGGTTTGACTTGCGATTGCAGCTGTCCTTGTACAACATGTACGGGGTTCCTGTCTCTGTCTGAGATTCAATAATGGCGTACCAGATTTTCTGAGCAGGAACTGTCTTTCTTCCCTTTCCTTCAGCCTCATATCTGAAACAAACGAAATTGCTTACAGAATAACCCTAGCCATTAACAATCACAGTGAAATGAAAATTCTTTCCTGCGCTCATCCTCAAACCTGTTGTGCGGAGAAGCCACAAAAAGCCACACTAATGGTTGGGGCAAATTCCCCCTAAATGTTACTTTTCCCATATAGTTAATGCTACTGGCTGTGTTCACACCTGCACACATTTTGACGAGATCAGGATGTCAACATATTAAGCAAAAATAGCATTAAGGGTGGTTTTCTTTAGAACAAAATGGGTTTTAAAAAAGCCAAAATGGCGTCACATTTTCTCATAAGCCTCAAAGACAGAGCTCACGGCATGAGTGATCTGACATATATTTTTAGATCTTGACGAATGCATTTTTATTTAAATCTTCACTCTGTTATTGTTTAGTGATTACATCCTTTACATATATCACACATTCTGGTGGTGGTAGAATGTGATATAATGGGCTTCAGTTTGAAAAAGACAGAAGTAATGTATAATACAAGTGAAAAGTGTTATTTTAGGACATGTACAAAAACTTAAGTATCTACACACATGATAACTTTCGATGAAAAATTCATCAGAGCTAAATAACAAAATAGGACAGGCCAAAATTGCCTTCTATACAATGAAGAACATTTTGTGCAATAAATCTATGACACTGGAGGTTAGGAAAAGAATTATCGCATCAGCTTTCAATCCTAGACAATTAATAAACAAGCCGAAAATATCTTATAAAGCCGTGGAAATGTGATTTTACAGAAGAATCCTTAGAATTCCTTGGGCAGCAAACAGTAACCCAGATATTTTGAAAAAGGTAAGTGCTCAAAGGCATCATAACAAACAGCAAAAAGAGACAGTCATAATTTTTTGGGGGGTCATGTTATAAGAAGAGGGCAAATGGAACACGTGACCACAGGAAAGATCTGTGGAAAGATAGACAGAGGAAGACAGCATCAGAAGAATCTTGACAGCCTTTTGTCTTGGAGGGGTATCAGTCAGCACATGAACTGATACATGCAGTCAGAGATCACAGACTATAAGGAGGTATGATCGCTCATGCTAGTGCTCAAGGCACCTGACGACAACTATGTCTGCATTATGTAAATTCACAATGGAAAATACTTGAATCATGACCAAGTCTACAAAGGTAAATAGGCTGGCAGCCTATGCTTCATTTAAGGTTTCTTTCGGCCCAGCACACCCGAAATCAGAAAATCCTTAATCAGTCACCTTTTACGACCTGCTTGTTAAACACCCCCCCCCCCCTTCCAACAGAATATGAGCCCACTGAACCCACAAAGAAAATTTAGGGTTTCAAAGCAGACAAAAAAGAAGAAGACTTACTTCTCATAGAGCCGATCAAACTCTTCTCCCCACACGTCTGCGAGCCCTGGACACTCATGTGGACACATCAACGTCCAGTTCCCATTCGATTCGACTCTGCGCATAAATAAGTCAGGAATCCAGAGCGCGTAGAACAGATCTCTGGCACGTTGTTCCTCTTTGCCAGTGTTTTTCTTTAGATCAAGGAAGTCGAATACATCCGCATGCCAAGGCTCCAGGTAAATAGCAAATGCACCTGGCCTCTGAATAACAAATAAAATCACTGTGAGGCTTCACCTAACATTTGCAGGAAGACCAATATGGCCACACGCGGAATATTTTCACATTTTGAATCAATCCAACACAAAAACTATTTTCAGCACCTTATGGCAAAAGTAAAATACTCAAAATTTTAAAACTATAAAGGGTGGTCCAAGGGACGTGATGCTGAGAAGCTCGCTCTTCTACGAAATACGCCTGGCATTAAGCCCAGAGACGGCGCAAATACCAGAACTTTAGCCATGAAAGTGGCACAAATGAACAAGACCACAAATATAGCCGGCAACTTGGCAGCTTTGGCTAGCTAGCAGCAGGTTGAACATGGTTGAGTTTTTGAATTTTTTCTTAAAAGGAATTGGAAATTGGAACTGAAAATTGGACTGATGGTCTAGATTTCACTGGCGGTAAAGGACTCAGCGGTGTCATTAGTCTACCTGTGACCACACACAAAAAACATCCTTACCTTATTACCTCCTTGGTCAACATAGCGTGCAGTGTTGTTATAGACTCTCAGCATTGGGATGAGTCCGTTAGAGATTCCATTTGTCTGGGGGAGACAGGTAATCATATACAAACTACAGCACCACATGTGTACACACTACAAGTATGTGACTGTATGGTGTTGGGATATTTAAAACATCAGCACACAACCATATATGCAACCAATACATGTGTATTTAATTATAACATAAAGTTCTATTTAGAGTGAGAAATGGAGTCAGGGTACATATATGCTGTATACTTTTATCTGACAAGCAGGTGACAAAGAGGTCAGTACTGCAGCCTAGCATGTATTAGGTCATGCAGCTGCACCTCTCACCTGAAATTATCATCTAGAAATATAATGAAAATCATAACAGACACCCACCACCCCCAACTAAAAATCTCTTAACTTATCCCTGCAATGCAGCTCCCCCAAATCTCCAAACGTATCCTTAGAATGCAGCTCCTGTAAATGCCAAAACTTTGAACTACAATTTCAACAGGCTCACACAGCATGCTCCGGAAAAACAGAATGGGCGTCGTTCAAGAGGAGTAGCTTGCATCACATGAGGTTCAGATCAGGAACACTAGGATTTTGCGCCCAGGACATTCCGGTGTGTGAGACTGTAAGCAGGCTAATAGACTGGCTGCTGCTGCGCTTCTGGGATATAAGCTACTTTATGATAAAGCTGACGTGATGAATCTCTGGAATCACGTGAGCAGTCTAAATGAATAAAAAAAAGAGAGCATCCATACCTGCAAAAACTATTGAAAATTTTTTAGCCAAAGAAAAATCATGAAGTCTACACACATAAAGAACAAATTTATTGGGCAACTGTCAGATATGCCAACCCTCACAGTCCCACCCCAGAACTGCAGCTCATTGTTGGCGTAAATGGTACATCACGAAAGCCAGCATTGCACCCGTGAATGTACACATCATTCTGAACGTAACGGCCACCAGCCATTTTAGCGCAGTCAACAACATGACAGTTCACAACGTCACACCAAGCACTTAACTCAGGCGCTGGGCCCTTTGGACTCCTGGAAACAAATAACTTTCCTGAGCATCAGCGGTCATCAAGCCATCGACCATTATGGCTGAAAGTCAAAAATGTCTAATGTAATGTGGCTTCCTCAGATGCCCAAACTTAAACCTGCAATTGAACTACCAGATGCCCGAACTTACCCCTGCAATGTAGCTACCAGATGCCCGAACTTACCCCTGCAATGTAGCTACCAGATGCCCAAACTTACCCCTGAAATGTAGCTACCAGATGCCCAAACTTATCCCTGCAATGTAGCTACCAGATGCCCAAACTTACCCCTGCAATGTAGCTACCAGATGCCCGCTTACCCCTGCAATGTAGCTACCAGATGCCCGAACTTACCCCTGCAATGTAGCTACCAGATACCCAAACTTACCCCTGCAATGTAGCTACCAGATGCCCGAACTTACCCCCGCAATGTAGCTACCAAAAGACCAAACTTACCCACGCAATATAGCTACCAGATGCCCAAACTTACCCCTGCAATGTAGCTACCAGATGCCCTAACTTACCCCTGCAATGTAGCTACCAGATGCCCTAACTTACCCCTGCAATGTAGCTACCAGATGCCCTAACTTACCCCTGCAATGTAGCTACCAGATGCCCTAACTTACCCCTGCAATGTAGCTACCAGATGCCCGAATGCAGTGAACATTGACACCGATGCCCCCAGCGCTCTTGGAGATCAAAGCACACGTCTTGAGAGTCTCGTAGATTCCGTCGATGCTGTCCGAGTGCATGGTCAGCAGGAAGCAGCTAGGGAGAGAAATTTGCTGGTAACATTTGATTGGTTGGAATGAAACATGTGATTCATGGTAAACACGTAATTCTTCTGTGTTTAAAACGACCATAGGAAATAATTTAAAACCAAAACAGAACTTTGATATTTTATTCAAAACATCAGTACATTTAGTACTAAATGTCTAAACAGAAAGAACAACTGCACTGATATACTAGGCATCGTAATTATAGAAGGCAATATTATTTAACTCAAAAGCTGTCTAGGTGAGTGGCCCTGAGGAGGGTCTGGGTAGTCAGGGGCGGCTGGAGAAACCAGATGGAAGAGACAATGTCCGGAACGGGGGCTGAGAGGAAAAAATATGGATAGCTAACTATTGCCAGAAGCAAAAAACCTTGCCATGACTAAAAGAGTAAATATGCCACACTGAGTGGAAGTGGAGAAGGTCACAGCCACCTAAAACACTCACATCAGCCTAATAAACAGCAGACCTGACAAATATATTAAATAATAATATTTTTTCTTCTTCTTTGTGATAACCGGCTGTCAAGTCCAGCGTAAAGTTCTGGTTGTTGGTCCACTTCTGGACTTTGGTCATGTTCCAGAACTTGAGTTTTACCTGCTCATTTGTTTTATTTATTTGATTATGTGTATGCAGGTTCCTTACCTCTCAGGATACACATCTCAATAAGTTGACTTTTACAGCATGCTTAAATCAGGGAAAGGGGGGGGGGGATGGCTCTATTTTTAAACCAAAATAGGACATTGGAACCCACAAAGGAAAATAAATATTTGAAATGAAAATTACCTGGACAACTGCGGTCTATTTGTGCCTGCATTAAACAGTGTAGGAGAAGCATGGGTAAACCACTTCTCTGATAGCAAATTGTAGGTCTGCAATAAAAAAAATAAAAAAAAACAAGCAGTTAATAGAAACATTACAATAAAGGTAGTAAAACAGAGGCGGTACAACAGAAACATTACAATAAAGGTAGTAAAACAGAGGCGGTACAACAGAAACATTACAATAAAGGTAGTAAAACAGAGGCGGTACAACAGAAACATTACAATAAAGGTAGTAAAACAGGCGGTACAACAGAAACATTACAATAAAGGTAGTAAAACAGAGGCGGTACAACAGAAACATTACAATAAAGGTAGTAAAACAGAGGCGGTACAACAGAAACATTACAATAGAGGTAGTAAAACAGAGGCGGTACAACAGAAACATTACAATAAAGGTAGTAAAACAGAGGCGGTACAACAGAAACATTACAATAAAGGTAGTAAAACAGAGGTGGTACAACAGAAACATTACAATAGAGGTAGTAAAACAGAGGCGGTACAACAGAAACATTACAATAAAGGTAGTAAAACAGAGGCGGTACAACAGAAACATTACAATAAAGATAGTAAAACAGAAGCAGTACATAAAAGTACAATAGACAGAACAAATGAGGCAGTACACAGAAACAGTACAATTGAAGCAGAACTACAAAAATGCCATAGCAGAACAATAGAAATAGCATACAATATTGTGTAATAACATTTTTATTAAAAATTTAAAAGAAAGGAAGTATATGTTAGCTTTACAGAACATACAACAAGCAAAGAATATTGCAGAGACTAGCCTTAATCAGCAAATGACAAAAAACAAAATGCAATCCACAAAGTTGGTCTCATTCCCCTAAGGTTGTTCTTAATGCTGTCATTCATCTGTTGTGTTTTCCCTTTACTCTCGTGTTCACTGTATTTCTTCAGTATGGGTCTGTGTGTCAGCTGGTACCATAGCAAGATCATTAGAGGACCAAACCATCTCTTTTCTTGCTCTTAAATTAAGTGTATGACCCGTTTCAGTCAAATAATTTGAGGAAATCCATTTTTTTTAAAAAAGACAGGAGTTTTTGAGAAACAGAACCAAACCTACCTCAATGGCGGCATCAATGTCGTTTTCATGGATGCCCACGGACACTCTCATCAACATCTGCTGCGGCCGCTCGGCCACTTTTCCGTTTATTTTCAGCAGGTAGGACCTCTCTAAAGTCTGGAAAAATTATGATAATCTTTCACACTATGCAACTTCAAGGACAATTATGACAATTACCCGTGTGGGGTCTTGGGCCCAATTGTATTGGGGTGGGGTAAGGGGGGGGGGGCGCCAGACCTACCCTACCCCTAACATCATGTAGCAAGAGTTGACTAATTAGGGGTTACCTTCGAAGATAAAGTGCATCTGCCTAAGAGGCAAGGAACAAACAGTCTACATATAAAGTCCAGAAATAGATGAACAACTAAACTTGCATCTGCCTAAGAGGCAAGGAACAAACAGTCTACATATAAAGTCCAGAAATAGATGAACAACTAAACTTGCATCTGCCTAAGAGGCAAGGAACAAACAGTCTACATATAAAGTCCAGAAATAGATGAACAACTAAACTGCATCTGCCTAAGAGGCAAGGAACAAACAGTCTACATATAAAGTCCAGAAATAGATGAACAACTAAACTTGCATCTGCCTAAGAGGCAAGGAACAAACAGTCTACATATAAAGTCCAGAAATAGATGAACAACTAAACTTGCATCTGCCTAAGAGGCAAGGAACAAACAGTCTACATATAAAGTCCAGAAATAGATGAACAACTAAACTTGCATCTGCCTAAGAGGCAAGGAACAAACAGTCTACATATAAAGTCCAGAAATAGATGAACAACTAAAACTATGCCAGAGTTTACAGTTGGTGAACGGAAAGGGGAAAAATTCTAACAAGTATACAATTATGTGTGGTAGCATGTACAATGACTAATTTTGCCATACAAATGATATCTAGCCAACTTCACCCCCACAAATTATGATCTAATTTTATAAGGTTAGTTATTTTATACCAGGCAAATTGTTTTTTAAATTACCCAATTTCAAAACCTCTGTGTTTTCCCTTAAAAGAGCGGCTGGCATGTTATGACACAGCTTACTGCTGAGTTGCAATATCTCTGCCTTTGGGACTAACACATCTGATTTCAACAAAGCCCTAATTAGTTGCCTTTTAGGACATGCGTGTTAGGGGTTCATGGAGATCTTTTCCCGTTGCTCAAAAAGGGGCTCTGGAATCTGCGATAATTTTAGAAAACACTTTTACCTCACATGCAAAGAATCCGCCATTGAAAGTAAGAAAAATTATTCTCGCATGCTACATAGAACCATTAACACAGAGCTGTCAATCCTAGACAATTATTAAGCAAGTCCAAGAAACCTCTTGAGGCCTCATAGATTGTTTCACAGAAGAATGCTTCCAATTCTTAACTCAGCTAAAAATTAGTTATCTAGATGTTTTTAAGGAGGCAGAGTCCTCTCACAGAATGCCCTGTTACTATCTGCCACAGCGAGCCACACTAAAACGTTACAACTGGCATAGAGCGAGTGGAAGACCTAGGAAAATATGGAGTGATGGCATTAAGAACAGTCTTACAGAAATGAACATCAGTCTTAACAGTGCTCTTGACAGAGCCCATCAACAAACATGACATCTCCTCTGACACTTCGATGAGGTACAAGGTGGAAGAGAAAAAGTAGAGTCCTCTGACACAACGGATCACAGACATCAGAAAGAGGCAGTTCCTTGTATTGGTTTCTGGGCTCCATCTTCTTTGAGAAATGTGTCTGTGTGTGTGTGGGCAAAGAACTGGCAGCCCTCTAACAAGACAAACATGCCATAACAGAATAATTAGGATTTTGTGGCAGCTAGATGCTCGCCTACAGATCAGAAGTTTGCTGGTTTGGGTCCTGACGGAGCCAAACCCTTTTTTTTTTTTAAAAAACGACCTAGCCAACCCAGCCTTAAATAGGTAGCAAGTAAAGTCCTGGGAAGTAAAGGTGGCCCACTTGATGCTGACCACATCACCCACCAAGTGCTGACTGGTCTAAAAAAAAATATAGGTCTAGCCCTATATGCCTTGAGGTGTGGAAAAGGGTTCTTTTTTAATAAGGGTTTTGCTGAAACTGTATGTGTGAGGCTAAAAAGTGCTAATACTACAGCCCAGCTGTAAACAACACAAGTGCCCAATACCATTTTAAATGCAAAGGCTTAAAAAAATGGACAAAGACCCTGGCGGAAATCCCCACTTCCCCTGTCTGGTAAAAAAACTTTTTTTGTTTTACACCGCACAAACAGACTGGAAAAAAATCTGTTATCTACTTACACGTGCATGCACAAATATAACCAATGCCATTTGACTGATTTTCAAGAAAAGGCAGTTGCAGAAATGCAGATACATCTACATTTATTTATGGGGAATGTGTCACAGCAAGAAGTCATAGATTTAGGCTTTTTCTGGTAAAAGGGTAATGGTGAAAACGAGAAGAAGAAGAAGAATAGAGAGGTAGTTATCTTCTTTTTGGCCATGAAATGAGAAGACAAAAAAGTGGAACATGGAACACATGTGACAAGCTGAAAGATTTATGGAAAGACAGAGGAGAACCTGGGAAGATTTGTGACAGCCTTTTGTCTGGGAGTGAAAGGGTGTCAGCACATCAAATGTAAACATGTTGTTGTTGACTGCTGTAAGTTGAGAGGCATGATCGCTCTTGCCAGTGAAGAAGGCTTGTAGAAGGCAGTGTAGTCTTACCACAAAACTGCATTTCATTCAATGAAAATAAGGTACTGGACTGATACTAAAGATCACAAACTGGCATACCTTGAATCCAAAATAGTTGTAGGAATAGTCTCTGTCATAGATGATAGCAGAATTCAGTCGCTGTTAATAGAATAAAGGTTATAAATACACAGTATGGACAAAGATTATATCTATCAGAAAAACGTGTTAAAAATTGTTCATAAACTAAGATGAGGTAAAATTGAATTAACAGAATGTGGTAGACAACAGGCATATGCTAAGAACATTGAAGACAAGAAAACTATCCAAAACAAAATGCCATTTTGAATTTTCTGTTTATATTTATTTAGAAAACTAAAAGTATATATACAGTGCAGATCTGATAAAAAAAACTTACTGGGGACCCAATAAATGTCTTATTTTTTTTAAATCAGAAATTTCTCTCATATCCAGATATGAGTTGAAGCTAGAAAAACTGTCAGGGATAAATAAATTCTTCTTTACAACAGAAATTTGCCACATCCGAGATCATGATCTGCACACAGAGATGAGGAAAGGATCTTGTTCACACCAGTTGTGCATCAGACATGGTGCTAGGCAGTAGAAAACTTCCAGCCAAAATGGCCAACAGCCGGTGGACGCTCTGAAAAAAGTGATGTTACCATCTAGGTTTTGCTGAAGCAAATTCTCTATTCCTAGACCAGAAGTTCAGTCGTCCAGCTACTTTTCTTCTTGTTTGCTGGCTTAAACTCCAACATAAAATCTGGTTGTTTATCTAACTCTGGGCTTTAGTCTTGCTCCAGAACCAGAGTGTTGCAGGCACATCCATTTTACAGATCTCTGCCTGCAGACTGATGATCCATTGCCTCTTGGGTAGATGCACACATTCAAAGGAAAATTCCTGATAAGCTGACTCTAATGGCACGCTTGTAAGGAAGAAGTGGCCCTATTCTTGTTGTCCCCACAACGCAAGCGAGGAGCCAAGCTATTGAGTTAAATGCTTGCTGCAAAAATGTGAATTTTACGCAGAATTTTTTTTTGGTTCTGTTGTGCACGCGTGTTGTTGACTGCACTCAAATGGCGATTGGTCCAATTACATACAATCTTCTTCACGAGCTGTAAACTCCGGCAGAAAGTTCTGGTTGTTCATCCACCTCTGGACTGCAGTCCTGTTCCAGAACCTAAGTGTTGCGTGTGCATCCATTTTACAGATCTGACTAATTTGTATGCAGACTGCTGGTTTCTTACCTCTCAGGCAAATGCACTCCAACTTCAAAGAAAGCTTCCAATTAGTCTCTTACGACATGCTTTTGGGTAGGGCAGTGGGTCTGTTCTTGTTTTCCCTATAATAGGGCCCAGGAGCCCACATGGGGTACATACAATCAAAATGGCATGGACTTCTGTGGGTGCAATGTTGCTTTCGTGAAAGTTTGAGCCAACATTGAGCTGCAATTCTGGTTGGGACCATTGGTTTTGGGGCTTCAAGATTTTGCTGGGACTGAACATGTTTGTCTGTCACTAGTGTTCAACATCCGGAAGTAAATGAACAACCAGGACTTTCTGCCAGAGTTTACAACTGGTGAGCACAAAAAAAGAAAAAATAATGAAACATTACAACTTCTGCTTTTGCCACTTTATATTTAAGATATACATGAAATGCTTACAAAACAATACTTACATCTGCATTTTTCATAATGATGTCAAAGGTTTCCTTGGATATCATGGGGGAGTGTTTTCCAGTTTTGGGGTTAATCCAGTTGTACAAATCTGCCATGGCATCTGAAAAAAAAAAAACAATAAACATAGTGGCGATTCGTACGGCTCATTCTTTGTGGTTGGCCACTGTGAGCTAGGTTTGCTGATCAAATCACAATTTAAAACATTTCATATAAAACATGACAGAAGAAATTTTGCCTTGATTTATCAAGCTTTCACTTATGATTTCTTCATTTTAGGAGGTTTTCTAGAAAATTTAAATAAATTTGCAAGACTTACAAATGACCTGATATATAAAACGAAGGACTCGATCTGGAGCATTCTTGATGACTGGGTGGTACTGACTTCAGAACTTGACCAGGTCTTAAAGGATGACAACTTAGTCCAACCTCTGGAAACTGTCACTGTCTATATTTACTGCCTTTTATGGCAGTGTAGACAGGAAAGTTGCAAACTTCAGGATTTAGGGCCTCAAGGCTAGATATTAGGATGTTTGTTTTTGCATTTGGGCAGTCAACACACAAAAATTGGTAACTGCACAGAACAGAAGGAAATAAATAGTAAGATAGAGGTCAGTGCAGTTGGCAAAAATTGTGGTTAGGACTTTTTGTTGTTGCTGCCCTTAAGACATAAATAATGTCTGCAACCTTATTGAGAATTTAATTTTGGAACTCATAAGACAAAAACCCTGTATAGTGACCACTTGACCAGCCGTGCTCTAGAAACTATTAAGCAAGATTTTAGCAAGAATTTACTTGTCATTGTGATGAAAGCAAAACATACTACTATAAAATGCAATGAAGTCAAATGGGGTGAAGAAATGTCGGACAACCACTGGTAACAAAAGTTATATATATATATATATATATATATATATATATATATATATAAATTTTTTTTAAAACTACGCTATACTGGACACAACCTTAGAAGAAACCGAAGAATCACCAAACATGCTCTACAATAGGAAATAAGGAAGCAAGGACATCCAAACGAAACCCTAAAATGAAAGGCGCGGGACTGGATTCCATCCATGATACTGAAGGAGCTGCACAGTACAGAAAATATGGATGAACAGACTGAAGGAGCTGCACGGTATAGAAAATATGGATGAACAGACTGAAGGAGCTGCACAGTACAGAACATATGGATGAACAGACTGAAGGAGCTGCACAGTACACAACATATGGATGAACAGACTGAAGGAGTTGCACAGTACACAACATATGGATGAACAGACTGAAGGAGCTGCACAGTACAGAACATATGGATGAACAGACTGGGAGTTCTAAGTGACATATAATGGCACAACGGGACAATGAATGAGTGAAAACATACCACTGAAAACTTTCTTGCTTTCTTTATGTAAGTTTGACACGGCGATGCGAGCAGCCAAAATGGCATAGTCTGGGTGCTTTGTGGTCATAGTTGCTGCAGTCTCTGCTGCCAGGTTGTCCAGCTCCACAGTTGTCACGCCATTGTACAATCCACTTATAACTTTCAGGGTGATAGCGGCCTGAAAGCAAGAGGAGTTGATGCTAAAAAATATGATGTTAATATTCTATTATCTGTTACTCTTTCCATAGTTTTTAGTTACAAGAAGTGACTGGTATTACTGTAACAGAAAGTTTAAAATACTAAACCTTTATAAAATTCTAAACTACACGAAATAATGGATTTAAATGCAACAATTCAGTGATTGCTAAGCCAAGGAAGACAAGCAATAATGAAAAAAATTATAACTGAAAGTGAAAAATATCCGTCCTTTTAAATTATCTGACACTGCTCAGGTTTAATAAAATAAATTTTTTGGGGTTGAAAATGACGTCATAATAAACTAATTATGGTGTCACTTTGCTCGACATAGCTGTGACAACAAAATTGTTTTGATTGTATGTAGTGATTACTTCAATTCACATATATATTTAAAATAAGGCACCTCTGTGCAAAATAATGCACAAATAAAAATATATTTTCATGACATGGAAGTCACAACAGATAGCAGGCCTGCCTGTTTGCGCAGTGACCAAAGGGTTCAACTCCTCCTGCAATTTGAAGAAAAACTGATCAAGACTCAAAAATCAAAATCATTGTGGCTTGTTTCTCTTCCTCATGTTTCCTAATGGAGTTTCTGAGATTTGTAACGTTTATTCTTTGTAAAATAAATTCTGTAAAAAGGTCATTTACAAATATTTTTACAGGTTAAAAAGGTTATGATTTTCGGCTCATTTGCTTATTATCCATGCCTCACGTGCATAGATTAGCATCTTCTTACAATAACAAAAAAGTATAATGAACATACCGGGTCAACAAAGTCCTTGTGTAATCCATAGCATAACTTTTGTATCCTTGAAGTTATCTTGTCAAAATGAACGGTCTCAGTTCGGCCATCTGAAAGAAGACCAGACAGTATTAAAAAAAAAAGTACCTTTTTCCATGTTTGCCATTAATAAGGTTGTTGGGAAGCTGTGTTGTTCACAGCTAGGCTGAGATATGTGCACCTGTTGGCCCAACACACCTACTTTCGGGAAATCTCCCTATTAGTCAACATGCTTCTTGGGGGGGGGGGGGGGGACTATTTCACCCCTTTCCTCAACGTACCCCAGAACACATCTCAATGGGGCCCCAGAACAAACAGATGCAAGTCAATGTGATCAAAATCAAGGAATAGGACAAACACAACAAACAGATGACCGAAAAGTGTTTGTGAGAACAGAAAGGCAACTGTTAAAATATCTATCAAGCTGGTGTCCTCCACATCTTCAGTTATGGTGGTGAATCTGAGCTTACTTGTAAGTAAAAAAGGTATGACTGCTATCAATAAACCTTTGGTGAGATCTCTGATAATTAAGAGTTTAAAACATTCACCTTCTTCACTTTCCCTTTCTCTACCTGGGAAGCTGAAGGAAATAGTGGTACTTTGGGATGCACCTGCTTTCTACCAATTCCACCTCTTTATACATCTTGTTTAGATGCAAAAATTTTTCCTTGGTATAGGACCGTTGTCTGGAATATCAACTTGCATGCCAGAATTTGTGGGCCTTAACCATGTACAATTAGATAAAACAGACAGGAAAAAAAAAAAAGAAAGAAAGAATATCATATTTCTTAAGTTTTATTAGAAGGGGACCATTTTTTCCTTCCCCACATACTACCATAGCAGGCACGATACTTCTCAACAAGGTAAATAAGGTTAAATTTTCATTTATTTCATCGAATTCTTTTTTGTTGTGTATTTTAGCGATAAGCAGTGTATAAATTATTATATACAACCCCATCAGTGTTTAATATGACAATAGCAATTTGGTATGTTTTCATAAGAATGGATTAATCCTTCTCCCTTTAACCTGATGTGGCTTCCATGGCCCTATTTAGGGGTAAAAAAAAATAGACCTACTTTCCTTCAAAAAGAATGTCTGTAAGAGTTGACAAACTGGGGAATCTCAAGGTTGGAGTCCATCTGCCTATAAGGCAAAGGAGCCAACCGTATGCATACAAAAAAGCTAGATCTGTCAAATGGATGCACACACAGTACTCAGGTTCTGGAACGAGACTAAAGTCCACAAGTGGATGAACAACCAGAAACTTTGCACCAGAGTTTACAGCCAGTGAACGCCAAGAAATTATTATTTCTTATAAGTAAATGCATCTAGTATATACACCCAAGGTTCTGGAATAGATGAAGTACGAATATCAAGGTAGGTACTACTATATAAGGCTCTGACTCTTTCTCATCTAGCTGCCTTGGCCACAAACACAACTTCCTGTTTATAATTTCTCTAATGTTATCTTTTCACACTGTTCTTAGTCTCATGCTCTACATTCCTCTCCTCTTTTGGTGTATTCCTTGTATGGCATAGCATTCTCTATGTAGGCAAACCATTTTATTTGCTGTTTACCATGTGTATTCCCAGGCTCATTGTGGAAGTGAGGGAATAGATCCACTCCTCCCTAACAGGCATGATGTAAAAGAAGTTGGAGTGCTTCTGACAGAGGCGAGGAACCAACAGTCTGCGTACAAATAAGCCACAACTGTGAAAGCATGTGCACATAAAACTCAAGTTCTGGAACACAACTTAAGTCAAAAAGTAGGGATGAACAGCCAGAAGTGGACAAGCAAGTAGCCAGAAGTGGACAAACAGATAGAACCTGTGGCCGGAGTTTACAGTTACAGCCAGTGAACATAAAGAAGTCTTTGACTCTTTGTAGTTATAGTTTTGTATTTGTTCTATGCCAACATATTTAGCATTACTGCATTAAAAAAATTCATCAAAGAAACAAGTATATGAGATTTAGATATGGAAGGATTAAAACTGGATATTAACGAAGACTACGCTTGCAGTAATGCTCGTTAGAGGGTAGCATATTTATTTACCAATAAAATCAAAATGTGGAAATACAGAAGGAATGGTGAAAGGAAGGAAAGTGGCCACTACAGCTCATTATGTCTTGAATAAATCAGAATATCCATATGTGAATCATAAAAATATTAATAACATTTTCTTTCTAACTTGACTGTTATACTACACATATTTATAAAATAAACAGAGAAGATGCATATAATATTATAATATATGATTATTGATTATGGCTGACTTGGAACAAAGGTCTTGAGAATTTTTGCCTGGAGTGAGTAATTTGAGGGAAGATAAGATCAAGATAATGTCTAATGAACTAAGAAAGAAACAATAATATCACAGCAGTCATGAGTCAAGACCTTTTCAACAACAATGAACACTTCATTTGCATTCTGATTTTGAATTTTCGGCAGTCACTACATAGAGTTCAAATATCAATATGTTATATAAGTCGGACCTGATCGTCTTTTTTGAACAAAATTTTTTTTTTAGATTTGCCTGGTTCCCTACAAACATCTCTGACATTTCATCATTTGATTCTCAAAAGGACGGTAAAATCGTCACAAAGTAAGATTACAAACTGTAGTAACTGCAAGATTTGATTTCGTACAAAGAAATGAAACTGGTAACAATAAATTTTGAATCTAGGAATCGTATCGTCATCATAATTTTATTTAAATTTGAAAAGACGAAAAATGTTCCCAGCGATGCTCCTCATTTGAAACATTTACTGGACGATTAAACAGTAAATTACCTCGCTTCAGAACAAACATTCTGACCAAAGTGTTGATGTTTCACAACAAAAATAAATAACTGCAGGCAGGAGTCACACAGTGTGAGCGTTTGTTGCGAAAGTTTAGTTGCTCGTCTTTGTTTGCCTGTGAGAGAAAGCGGAGATGCAGCAGACATAGAGAGCTCTCCCGCGACAAATGTCGTCCCGCCAATCGGTGGCCACCGGGGACGGGCCAGGTTTTAGGTACAGGTGTGCTAAATTTTGTTGTTGTTGTTGATTATGATGATGATGATGTTGTTGTTGTTGCTGCTGCTGTTTTTGTTTTATTTACTAATATTCTTCTTCTTCCTCTTCTTCTTCTTCTTCTTCTTCTTCTTCTTCTTCTTCTTCTTCTTCTTCTTCTTCTTGATCTTCTTCTTATTCTTTTTGGTCTTTTTCTTCTTCTTCGTTTTCTTCTTCTTCATCATCATCTACTGCTGCTCTACTACTAATACTATGACTACTACAAATACTGTTGCTGTTGCTGCTATTACTACTTCTAACACTTCATCCCACAACCTTCTCATCCTTATTTTTACTCACCCTTTGAGGCACATGTTTCTGTTGTGAGTGGTTGATTGCCACACAATAAGCAGTATGTCTTATTCAATAATGCGTGTACACCTGCTGGTTTGTCCTAATGTCAAACTTCCATCAGCTAAGAACTGACAGACTGTTGGAGTATGGACATTTAGCCTTAGGCAAGTTTTTGGATTTTGCTATGACTTCCCTTTCTTTGTTCAACCTTTAAAATGGGGCAGTGATAGGCATTTTTTTAAAACTAGTACAGAAATTGAACAATTATGAGTGACTCCTTTGCCTTGAAGATAGAACTATGACTTATAAGTGGTACCTTTGTATACGTTCGCTCTGGTCTCCCAATACAACATTTATTTGGAACACAACCTGTGTGCGAGACAGAACAAGTATAAGTCAAAATTAGTCACGACACCGCGAGCAGTTTCTGATTGCCTCTCTGGTGACAAAGCCACGGACAGAGATGTCAAGGATTTTGCAAAGCTGGATCAGCACAAGAAAGTCTAAACAAGCTGTAATAGCTTTGTCTAGCTAGAATGATTAGACAATGTCATCTTCCTGAAACACCCTTGGGAGAAGGCAGAAGCAAAGTTCTTTGGGCAGATTTTGTATTAAAAGTGAAACCTGATGAACTCCAACCAGATCCAAGCAGGGGAAAGAGACAGAAACACACACACACACACACACACACACACACACACACACACACACACACAAGAATTTTAGATCCCTAAAGTTGTATTGGAACTGGACTCTCCTTCCAAACAATAACATCTTCTAGCCCTGCCCCTTTCTCAGCGCTATCGTAGTAGGAACTCGACTCTTCTCAGCAAAGTAAATGAGGTTTAATTTTCCTTTATTTCATCTAAATGCTTGTGTATTTATGCATTTTAGTATTAGGTCGTATATAAATTATTGTAAGCAATCCAATCGATATATAATATGACAGTGACAATAAGATATTTATTTCATGGAAACGGAATAATCATTTTTCTTTATTGCTTATGGAAAATTCGTTTTGTATTTGTACTGACTGGTATACGACCAATGATCAGGAACGAATTAAGTTCTATACCAAAGTACCACTGTATATCCTGTCCCCTATTTCACCCCTTTTTTCTCCCCACTTCTCATTCTTTTCCTCTTCCTTCCCACTGTGGTCATATCAAGCGCCATGGCGGATTGGAACGAATAGTAGTAGAAGACATGATGCCACGAAAGAAGGGAAGGGGCTGACAAGCACGAAGATGTGTACAGAATGTGAGACATTGGTTAGGAAAGTGAACCAGGCGGGATATCTAGCTAGAAATCGAGTTTCTTTCAGGCATGCTTGGCTTGGATGATGGCGACCTTCTGCAATGGTCCTGCAAAATTATTATGAATCAAGCGTTATTGTCAGTTTTATAAGATCCCACTCGAGTTCATTGCATATTGGACATTCCAATTCATGCTCCCCTCCCCCACCCTCCATGCACCCATGCTGCAGTCACACCCAGGTACCTCTACTGATGTTCCAATGAGAAGTTGCTTACAACCTTTTTTATCTCCTCCTCCTCCTCCTCCTCCTCCTTCTTCTTCTTCTTCTTCTTCTTCTTCTTCTTCTTCTTCTTCTTCTTCTTCTTCTTCTTCTTCTTCTTCTTCTTCTTCTTCTTCTTCTTTTCTCTACTCCTGGAATGCCTCACAGCGTTAGGGGAGGAAGAGATATCTAGAACGGGCCCTTCTGTTCGCTTCGTATATAGTAGTTTTCAGTCTCTTTGATATTTCTGCGGTCCATGTTCTGCGTGGTTGACATCTGGGTCTGTTTCTACTGTAGCTGTATAACACTGCTCTCTGTGGTGCCCTGTCTGCTGCCAATCTCACGTCTTTCGTCTTGACCTCGAGAATGGCATAGACGGGCTTCACTGGGCGTTTCTCCTAGGTAACGCAATTAGGCTAGAGTCTGAGACTCGTCATTGTCCACAACACGTTAAATCTGTACAGTATTGATGGTATCATATCTGTCCACGGATGTTCTATTTCATTGTCTTTCTCTAACGTTATGCTGTGTATACTCATGCTGACCTTGACCAACGCTTGTAATTACAAGAAAAAAAAAAAGGTGTTAGTATTTTTTACAGGACGTTACAGAACCAACACCAGGATTTTGGCATTCTTGTTTCCTGTTCATTAGTTTGCCAAATCTCACTGGACGGTCGGCTCTTAATACCATTGTCGAAAATCGGTCTGCTGCCAGATCGTCTGCAGGTGGAATCGAACCATGTATTTTGGAATTACGAAGCACGTTCGCAAGCCACACACTATAAGAGTACAAGTAACATTAGTAAATTGTTATCCATCTAAAACAAACCTTAACGATTAACCAAAAACACGTTGACAAAGAACGAAACAAACAATCCTGTCAGTTTGCACAAAATAATGAGGTTTTTTTTTTATTGTTGATTTATTTGCGACTGTAAAAGGCAAAAGGACTATTTTTTAAAACTTCTATTGTGTCAACTCGGTATTTTCTGACTGAATCTAATTTAGGGAGCTTACAATGAAAACCTGAAAAGCGTGACATAAATTACAGTAACCATGCCTTGTCTCGTAACCTGTCAATATTGTTATTAAGAATGTCAGGAGTGTTAAGCACGTGACACAGCGGTGCAGACGAATCCAGTGACGTCATAATGACATTTAAATATGGCCACCCCACTTTTGACAAGTCCCAAAGCGGAACAGACACTGTGTGGTTCTGTAGCACATCATGGCTGATGTGATGTTCTAGACCTTGACTGGTGTCAAGATCACAGTCAATTGGCTGTTTTCCTATAGGAGGCCTTCAAAGGCTGCAGTCTTCCATGGGGTTACTACTCGATGTGTCTGAGCCAGCCGTGAACAGTCTGTCACAGAAGTCACTTGGTTTTAATCCCCATGTGGGTTCCGGGGCCCTACTATGGGAAAAAACAAGAATAGACAAACTGCCTACCCTAAAGCATGTCGTAAGAGTCGACTAATTGGGAGCTTCCTTCGAAGTCGGAGTGCATTTGCCTGAGAGGCAAGGAACCAACAGTCTGCATACAGATCTGTCAAACGGATGTACATGCAACACTCAGGTTCTGGAACAGGACCTCAGTCCAGAATCGGACGAACAACCAGAACTTTCCGCCGGAGTTTACAGCCGGTGAACGAGAAGAAGAAGACTTCGTTTTAAAACTTCCTGCATCACCATATTAGATCTTCATTGGCCGAGGAATTTATATGTGTTTCACCTCTTCACTTACTGCTTGTCTATGAGGCATGTGATAAATGGTACCGCCATTTTTAAACTGTCTTTTTTTTTTAAAACGTATCCAGAAACCATGAGTTGTAAACCCTTTGGCTCGGTACTATGGATATTGCAACCCTTCGGCATTGATTCCATTATAGGTACCGTTAATCTGGGAGAAATGTGGCTTTTCTGCCTACCCCCGGGAGTGAACCCGGACCACAAGGAGTTCGTCACCCGGTCGCCGCGAAAGTCAGGTTTAACCAACTTCGCTAGAGAGCTGTCATATGACGTTACCATGATGTCACGTGCGTAACACTATTGACACCATTAACAACAAAACTGACAGGCCATTAAAAAAAAACCTTTTCATAAACTTCAATAAACATCTAAGACAAACAGAATAAACAAAATTAACATCAGGCCGCCTTCTTAGGGAAAAAAAAATTGGTCCCAATCTGACTCTTGACCCTGTAGCTAGGAGGACCCACCAACTTACAGGATCAACCGAGGAGTCACGCGCCATGCGCAAAGTGGCGCGTATGGCGCGAATGGCACGCCATACGCGTCATTACCTCGATGACACATTACTCATGGTTTTGGATTGGAAAAGCATGTGGAGTCCCGTGTTTTTACGTGTAAAAATGGTTATATCAATCCAAAGGTCACAGGTGGAAAGAGTCACATGGATAATTTGCCGGGGCTATGTAGGCATGTTTGGAAATGAGCAGGCAGATAAGCTGGCTGGACTGGCCCCACTTGCCGGTATACTGCAACTGTACAAGGCAGAGGGGATCTCGCCTATGGGATGAGGTAGCAAATACCGAAATCCCGTAACTAGAGAGAATTATCAAGCGGGAAGAGTCTGAGGGTTCTGCCACATGTGACTCGGGGGTGGGGGCGGTGTAAGAGGAGAAGTTAACCAGATGACAAGCGGCTATCATCAATATGGAAACTTCACTGGCTGTTGTATTAGGTTAGGTTAGTTGCGTATCCTTTACAGGACGTTGCAGAACCAACCCCAACAGCCCCTGGCTGTTGTGTGGTTTTTCTAGGCAAATTTACGTCCAGTAGTTTGCCATTGCCTCCTGGGACGGTCGGCTTTCTTGATACCACCGTCGAAACCAACGCAAGGCGCATGGCCCGCAGCTGGGATAGAAGCCGGCATCTCGGCATTACGAAGCGTTGTTGTAATGGAAGATGGAACTAATATGGGC